GACAGTACAGGACAGGACAGGAAGGTACAGGACAGGACAGGACAGGACAGGACAGGACAGGACAGGTCAGGACAGGATGTACCAGCAGCCACAGGATCTGGAGAGATCCTGTAGAATCCTGTAGAATCCTGTAGAATCCTGTAGAATCCTGTAGAATCCTGTAAGATCTGGGACGTGCCTGTGAGCCATTGAAGAGCTGTGGAGCATTTTTGTCCAGTATTCACATATGGGATTTCACCATAAATGAACAGACAGGACAGGAATTAACATGAGGGGACAGTAAGGGACATGACATACCAGGTCGGGACAGTACCAGACGGTACAGGATTCGAAGTGTTCCTACAGGATCGTACCAGATCGTACCAGATCGTACCGGATCAGGCAAGCTCCTGGACAATCCTATCTTATCTGTCCAGTTTCCGTGATCTCCTGAGCAAACCGGAGTGAGCTCCAGAGATCCGGTAGGATCCGGTAAGATCTTTTGAGTTCTGATATGATCCAACAAGATATGCCTCAGTAGGTCGATTTTTGTCCCATACGGGCCTTGATAGGATGTCGTCACTTGAGTGGTTGTGCGAATGATCGCGACGTACAGCACCTTCCTCATACGGCAGGAGACCTTCCCGATCCGTCAGCCGTTGGGTCGTCCCTGCGAGTCCTCTTGTCGCGTCGTCCTTCTAGGACTCCGCCGCTTTTAGAAAGTTCCACTTCCGTCGGCAGTCTCGCCTGGTTATAAAGAGGGCCTGAGCCGCTCGCCTCAGCACCGCCATAAGTATCCTTCTTCACTCCGCAGGCAGACATACGACTCGACAGAAATGTGACAAAAAGACTTGACGTTGAGCTCGTCGAGCCGAGACAGCCTGCTCTCCGAAGCATGGGTAAGCGCAGAACTTAGGTTTGGTGTACATACATGGGTTAATCCTCTGCAAGTGTCGCAGTTAACAGACGTGTTCACTGTGGTCCGTTACCCCAACAGTGATCCGGCAACCGAGCCGCGAGTCGCCGTTTGCCAATGGACTCAATTGCGAGTGAGTGCGTATATTTCTGACTTGCATCTTATGACTCCGACCGCGCTCACTTCGAGCCATTTCCTCTCGTGACGTGGAGCAGAAGACCGTGCAACCTCGAGGACTGTCTAAACGGACGGACCTTGGGCTTACGGCCGCAGTGTCCCATTCTTGTACTGAAGAGAGGTTCTCAGACGCGTGCGAGAAGTGCTGGTGGTGACATACCGATGCGTTCACCGGCGATGGACTTTCCCAGACGCACGCAAATTGACGCGTGTTTCTACTCGGTACTGGTGTCTCTTAGATCCCTGTGGCCTGCGCTCCGCTTGACACGGAAGATCCGGGTACCGCAGCACATCTTTGACGGGACGGGAGAAGTACGCCAGAACTCGACTGCGATGGTACAGTCCAAGTCTATTTTCCAATCTGCACAGCTGACCTCGGAACTCGGGATGATCTGTACGGACTGCGCGAAGCCTCGCTCGCACCCGGCAGTGATAGGGTTCACGAACTACACAGATGGCACGTCAGCGGTACGGAAGGTCCACTGCGTCATTTGCACATGACTTCAGACGCATGTCTTGAACAAATACGACTCGGAGGTGTCACATACTTGCTCGTTTCAATCCGGGTGATGTGCCCGAGTCACAATTTTTCGCGGCAGCACCGTGACAGCAGGCGATTTCCGCGCACCCAGACAAGGCGACGGCAGACCCCACTTCCAGGTTTGCCATGGTGCCGTCACACAAGGCATGCGGGACACAAGTTGCATGGTACATATCCGCGTATTCCATTGACGAACTGCCTCCGCAGTCAGCAACCCCTTGCCCAGTTGCCTAGATGGGACGGTAGCCTGCGGGTCGGGTGGGCCAGAGCGGGATATTCTAACCAATCTAGGTCGCATCAACGATCAACCGTATCTACAAGTAGATGTTGGGCGTACCACAGTAGCTTTCGAAAGTCTGATTCGCATGCTCGCGGACTTGATCGTTGCTAAGTTGTGGCTGCAATTGAGACGTTGGCGGGCCACGCGGTTTCCGCGAGCTCACCTCCAGGAGGCGCCCTCCGGCAGCCTATTCACGCTGACGGAAGACAAGCATTAGGAAATAGCTTGGAAGCGTTTAGCGAGCGCGTGGAGAAGGTATGTACGTCGGCTCCTACCTGTCGTGTCCTAATTTCGGCAGCTGCATCGCGCTACATAGGCAAGTTGGCAGACGGTGGAGGGTTGCGAACTGACACAACCTACGGGCGTTCCGGTGCCCGATCAAGGTAGCCCGTCCGATAGACTGATGCTGATGCGCCTCCTGTGATCCGCGTGTCGATCGGACGAAAAGTGGATCGACGTCCAAGGCTCGAGTCGTAAGCGATGTCGTTTGCACGTCGCTATATGCGCATTGCGCCAGCCTCGACTGAACACGGAAGACACCATCGTCGTGAATAGCAGGTTGCGCACTTTTGGCACCATACCGGCACGCTAGTGAGGAGAACGTATATCAATGACATCGCTTGTGGCATGCAGCGGAAAATGCCTCTCCGTCAAGGCGAAATCAAATGCCATCCCTCCTCGTAGAGTGCAAGACAATTACCCAACGACCATACAGCCCCGCCTATGCGATTCCAAGATAATGCACCTGCAGACATACACGTGTACCTTATCGCAGGTTCGCCGCACCGCCATCATCGCCAGATGCTCGCTCAGCCGGTCACGACCGACATTGCAAAGCAGGCTGGGGCAGCCCTCGAACTCGTCTGCGCGAGAGCCAGAGATCCAGACCCAACGTACGGGCGGATTATCGCCCTCGCCATCTCCACGCCCGCTGCTCGCGAACCGCGACTAGGCCCGGGATGTTCGGCTCGAGATCGCGACGATGTAGGCCGGGAATGGCAGAGCAGCTTCGACGGAGCGGGACGAGAACGCTTCATAGATCCTAGCCCGGGACCTCGGACTGCTTCTCGGGAACAAGAGACAGCCAGTCGGCGTGCATCGCTGACGCGCCCAAGGAGGCGCGCTGTGTCGCGTCGCGTCTCACCGCTCGAAGCAAGCACGCGTCGGGTCCGCACAGGCTCGCGTTCGACGCATAGCTTATCGACTCCGCATCTTGCAAGGTGAGATGAGACTCGATCGAGGAGTGCCTGAGATCCGGTGGGGGCGAGCGGTCACGAGAGCCCTTGATGTCAGTGGTCCCAGTGAGATTGAATGCAATCTTGCAGTGGCGGGAGGTGCTTCATTGAATCGCGTCCATGTCTATTCCGGAGCATCGGCATCGGAATGCCCCACTCGATCGTAATGCGGATGCTACAGGACAGACCGCTGGGGCAATGGTGCCATCCATAGAATCTACACCAGCTCCAGAGGATTGACCGGGGGCAATACGTGCTCTTCAGGGGATCGCCGGTGCACAATGCATCTTCGTCTGAGTCCGTCCAGCGTTCCGAGCCGCAGACGCGAACGTGCTTCGTCCTTTCGATCTGGACCTGCGGTTGGGCGATGGCCTCCGAACGTTCCTCAGGCTAACGTACACGCCTGCGTCATGGCTGAACGAGCTTGGACGAGGAAGGTTGAGGATCCGAGGCGATAACAGGATTAGGAATGAGTGTGCGAGAGCCTGAGCCAGAAGGTGAAGACTAGTGAAGAGGACAATGCACACTAGGGTCCTGTCCGGGAGGCAGGAGCATCGGCAGAAGAGAAGAACGATGTGGGGTGGACAACGCATCGAAGGCTTGCGTGCTTGGTCGCAAAGGATGCTCGAATAGAGACGTCAGATCGTGGAGGAGCAGTTACTCGAGTGCAAGGCGCAGTCACCTGTGCTGCGACACGTTGTCTGGTGCATGTCAGCTATCCCGACTCCAGGAGGGTACGCCCGCGCCGCAGTAGGACATTGAGTAAGAGAGCTGAATCGGCCGTTGGTCGAGCGCTGTCCGGAAGGCATTCACATGGCGCAATTGGTAAGTGAGTCGATCGATTATGAATGACTGCGTCGTGGGCGTGGATGTGAGATGAAAGAACTGTCGTCTGTTGGTTGTCCGGTGAAGACCTGAGAGGTGGATCGGGCGATGCATATGGTTCGCAGCTCAGGATGTACGTCAGAAATTGCCGAAGAGGTAAGGAACGCGCTCATGGGATCCTGATGGCCCCACGGAGCTGGTAATAACGATGATCAGGAGGATACGATTAAACGTACCAGCGATGTTCATCGCAGAATTTCTGTTCGCTGGCCGTCGATATAAGGACGACGGTGAGAGGAGGCTGGAGAGACACGACGCCCGACCCGTCCCCGCCATCTTCGCACGACCACAGACACTGCCCTGATCGGTCAACCTCGGAGATCGGAAAGCGGAACGAAAGCGGATGCGAAAGCTTATCTGACCAAGCCGCGTTACCAATTTCGCTCGGATAAGCCAAGCGACCCATCAGCAAAATTACCAAGAACTGTACAGCTACGGGTTGCCGGGCTGCCAGAAATTTGTGACTCGCTCTCTCTCCGTTCCACATCCCACCGCACATTCTCCCTGTTACGCTCGGACCCTCTTTGCTCTCTTTTCCTCAGTTCAGGTGAGTCATCGTGGTGGCTGTGGACGCTTTGCCTGTCACGCACAGGATCCGGGAGCTGATATAGTTTCACGCAGGAAATTTTATGCAGTTTAGCGCCAAACTGCACCTGAACGGTCGAGCATAAAAAGAGAGGGCTACCGCAGCGCGACGGGGGCGGCGAGAGCGCGGATTGACGTCCGAGTGGAGGCGTAGAACAGAGCAAGGTGAGTCCGCCGTGCAGCCGGGGCCTGGGAGCCCGGGATCGCGAGAATGAAGGCCGCATGTTTTTCGCCGGGCAAAGGGCACGCCAGGAACCAGCACGCGGCTTTGTGATGCATTGCCTATCTGGGCTGCCCAGGCTCTCGCGGCTACTTATAGTCCTGACTCATTTTTGATTCCGCTCATCTCAATGTTCACTCTTCCCTTGCCCAGGTCTTGTCGCTGTAGAGAGGGTCGCCGCCATGTTTTCCCTTAATCCCGGCTCTCTCTGCGATGTCTGCGCAGAGGAGTATGGCTCGCACAACTACCCCCATTCTATCCCGTGTGGTGAGTCCCCTTTCAGCCCGCCCCGCACGAAAACTTTCTGACCACCGTCGCCGCCGTCGTGCAGGCCACATACTATGCCTCAACTGCTGCAACAACATACTGGAAAAGACATCGCCGCGAATGACTCCTTCCTGTCCTTTCTGTCGCGTGCCCTTCACTAGCGACACCATTCGTTTGATCCGCGTCGACTTCGGTGGCCACGGGAGCGGCTGGTCGACGCCGCGGGCCACCGACGCCCCCGAGGGCCACATACTCGGTGCGGGCGACGACGACGTACTCTTGTTCATGGGCGACAAGGACCGGGACAAGACCCGCGTGCAGCTCGAGTCCAAGGTCGCGCGCGTCGCCGGCAAAAAGTGCTCCGTAGAGGAGGTCAAGCACCTGCACCAAGAGCTCCGGAACTGGCTCTCGACGGATAAGAAGCGTGATGAGCAGGTAAGCGTCGTCGTCATCTGTGAGGTCCCTCCCCGATTCCCCGTCGATGTAAGAGCACGGCCTTGTGCCCGATGTGAGTGAGGGTGTGTGGCGCCCATTACGATGTGCGTGCGACTTCGGCGATCGCTTCCATTGAGCATGACGCCATGTTGTTCCTTCTTCGTATTGCTCACCTTGAGTTCTTCCATCGCCTTCGTCGACCTGCCCTTATTGTTCAGCATGCAACCCACCCTCATACCACTCACCTAACATGGTCGATCGGGAGTCGGGGAGGGGTGCTCCCCGTTCCTGCATCATGATATTGACGAGACTCGTAGACGGCCGCCCTTGAGCTGAGTTCTGCGTTGCTGCACGCGATCCTTGTCAACCACGTCGCACACAAGCATGCCGGCGAGATGGCGAAGCAAGTCGAGAACAACCTCCGTGACAAGCTGAGGGAGGTACATAACGAGAAGGAGGAGCTCGAGCAGGAGCTGCACAGGTGCGTCTCCCGCTTTTCGTGATCGTCGATCTTCACGCTGACGTCGTTGTCTCTAGAATGGTCGGTCCCTCGCCGCATCCTCGGACGAATTGCGATTACTCACCGGTTTTCTTACAGCGCACACAGGCTGCAGCCCGGTCCGCCGAGATTCAGACGCTTCGTGCTGAGATGAACCGCCACAAAATCAAGACCGCGGCGCCGACGCTTGGTGTCCCGACCACGCCGCCGGCTGCCTCGCTCGCGTCTGCGCAGAGCGGGCTCACCTCGCCGCCGCGCCCGTCCTCGACGACCGCATATATGACCTCACGATCCCGGGCCACGTCGCCGACGTCTCCCACGCCCTCGTCCGCGCGCGCCGCATACACGCCTGCGACTGCGTCCCCGCTCACACGCATCAGCTCCGCGTCTGCGGCGATGCACGGGCACACGCGCTCGGCATCTGCGATCCCCATGCACCGCTCCATGACCCCCGCCGCGCGCCCCGCCTCCGCGATACCCGCCCCTGCCTCTGCGCAACCGATACCCCACCTATCTGCGAAGTCGCGGCTTTCGAGCCCGCCGCCCGCACTCAAAATGAGCCGCTCGACGAGCTCCAGCTCGGACGAGAAGGAAAAAGAGAAGCAGCGCCATGCCCAGCGCGTGCAGCTCATGGAGCGCTGGATCCCGTCCATGGATCCCGCGTCGTCGAGCCCGCCGACGGGCCCGCCCACCAAGTGGCCGCACCACCAGGCGAGCCAGAGCCATGCGTCGTTTGTGCCTCCACCCCGGTTCAAGACCCCGTTCTCGGTGCACTCGCCCTAGATGCGCGCCAGTATATTATCGTTTGGATCAGTTATTCTTCACTCACCTCGTCTCGTCTCGTCTCGTCTCGTCTCGCCTCGGCCGGAACTCCCCTACCCTACTAAACCGATAGTGTTCCCTCTCCATCATCTCTCCTCGCCTCGCCTCTCGCGCTCTCGACCGTCCTCTCTCGTCTCGCCTCGTCTCCCACCGCATTCGGATTGATTTCGAAGCGCGCGGATGGGGGGCTCCACGTCTCTACTCGCTTGGCCGAAGGTACATACTTACGCGCGTTGTATTCGGTGTCCATGTTGGATTCGGTTGCTTATTCCCTTCAGCTTCTCCACCCTGCAGCTCGCTCGCGTGCGCGCGGCCGCGTATATCCCCTTCGTTTTTTTCGTCTCTCATCCTATCTATGTGGAGCTCCCCGTCGTCTCACCTCTACCCTCTCCTATCTCCTCTAATCTCTCCGTCTCTCATCTGTCGTACTCGATAGTTCCCCTCGTCTCTTCTTTGTCCTCAGGAACCGTTCCTCGCTGAACTCCTACCCTGTAGCAAATTGCTCTCTCCTCTCCTCTTTTCCTCTATCCTGTCGCGCTTGCGCGCGTGCTCTCAGTTATGACTCTCACGGATTTATAGAACGTTACGATTACCGTACGATACCTCACGAACTCTTAGGACTTTGTTACGACTTATACAGGTGTTTAGGCACACATATTCAGTGTGATGGCTCAGATCAGTCGGGTGTCAATTGGACGCTGTTCGGTGAGTGAGACTCGATTGCATGCTAAGTATGTATGCCCAGTCTCAAGGCTGCAGGCACCCGAGCGATTCGGTGCAAGCAGCAACTCACGTACTGTAGGTGCTGCAGCAGTTTCAACGCATCCCAAACGACGTGATCGCGCATGCTGTGGACTCCTCGCCATCGCCGTGGTGTCGTCGAACCAGCTAGTCACACGAAGTTACTCAGGTCGCCGCACCCGACTGCCATCGTTTGCGAGGGGAAGACGGGTTAAGGGCCACAGACGTGTCGCTGGCTGATGAGCTTGAGACTTTGAGGGGGTGTCGCGCATGCGCCGGTGGGACATGTCGACGTGTACCCTTATGTTCAGAACTGATGAACTATGCGAGACGTCGTCCGATGAATGTCGCAGAAGGAGTTCAAGCGACCCAGTCAACGGGCTCACACGCATCGTCTGACGCATAGGTCCGACTATATGCGTGATTTCGGTCAGTATATGCCAAGTACATGCGGTCAATATTACTTAGGAATACGTACTGACAGCTCCCTGGTGTGATCATGATGTGCATAGGTCGTGCATTGCTCGACGTTGACGACCTCAGTTGACGACGTAGCAGGGGAGAGAAGAGGAAGAAGTTGATGCAGACGCGAGCAACAAACCCTCCTTATATGTAGGCAAGCCCGCCGACAAAAGCGGAGCTCTTCAGAAGCCGCGGCGGGGTTTGAAACGAACGAGACGAAGGAGAGACAAGATCGAATGTTTGACGGAAGAGGAAGGTGCCTTGCCATATGAGGAAGGCGTTGTACGTCAAAGTCATGTGCGGACTTGCCTGATGACGACATTCGTCCGCTTCCCGTCAGAATCGGACAGACGATCAACATGTACAGTATAGACGATCGAATTCTCGACGTCAGCTTCGAGCGAGAACTATTTATGTCAATCGGGCTCCCGACTTCCACAGCGCCCGGCCCTACTACACAATTGCTGCCACTTGAACAATTCGAACCCTTAGTCTCCATAAGTACTTGAGTACTGGCTTGTTCGTCCCGGGCTCCAGCAGTACAGCGTGCACAGTAATAAGTCACATACTGTATGGGGAAAGGATGAGAAGAATGGACGGGAGAGGGCTCGGACTCAGTTGCTATACGTTACCCCACCTGAGGCTGAGGCTGACGGATGTGGGCAGGGATACGAGGGGAGAAAGAAGAGAAAGAGGGAGACACGGGGATATTCACGTCTACATAGGGCTCAGTGGCATAGACTGGGGTGTAACCTTCACATCCGACGGAAAGACCGCATCATTCAATCAGAGTTTACCGACTAGACAAAAATCACGAATGACCTTTCACGCTGGCCGTTGATTTCAGTAGAATTTTTGTTCGTGTCACTGTAATATCCGAGGATGAGAAGCGCTACGTCCTGCGGGTCCTCACGCTGAGTACGGCTCATTTTGCAATCCAAAGAACGCTCACAATTTCCGTACTAGGTAGGGCGCCCCAGTTGAGCACACGAGCACGCAGGTGACCCAAGCTTTCCTCGAGATGCGGCACGTCTGACTACATCGTGGGCTGTTGAATGATCGTGAACTTGCGTCTACCGGGTACGACAAACACTCACGAGATGAATAGGGAGCTCCCCACACTGTATACACCCTGTGCCCGACCGGTTTCTCCCCTAGGGACCTGAACTTCTAGTCCTCTTGCAAGAAGCTACTGTATGCAATGTGCACTGAGCATCGCCCTTCTCAACGGGTCGGATCTGGGTCCCGAGGACCCCATCCTGCCGTATCTTCCCGTTTCGAGGGGCCATGACGCACCTGTGTACGTTACCCCGAAGAACGTTCGAAGACACCCTCGAGGCCGCCCGTACCGCTAGGCAGAATCGCTGGCACTGGCACGTTCGCGCCGATTCGAGGCAAGGCATGGGTACGTGTGTGTCGCCCGCCGACGATCTTCCTGGACTAGTAACGCCGATTGTGGGGACGTACAGCGCTCGAGGACCGATTAGCTCCATTTCACCGTGGTCCTCGCTGCGGCTGAAGTCGAGCGGATCGCGACGGCCGATGGGTGGATGTGACTTGCCTTCGGTGCGGGCAGTACGTGTCTCCTTCGTATCACATTGGACCCGGCTGCCTGCGTGACCTCCGGATCTCAGACACCATGGGATCGTAGCCTGAGTCTTGCGGAGTTCAAGGCTAAGATCCTTTTTGTAGTTCTGGGTGGCGCGTAGACACCGGAGGAGGAGCGCGTATGCGACGCGTGCGCGTCCCGTCACAACAGCGTGAAAGTGTGACAGTGACGTGCGTCGTGCACGCGCCGCGATGCCACACCTTGACTTCGACTCGGTGCGACTCCTTGTGCGCTTGCAAATGTTTATCAACAGAACATCCAATTGTATATTCTCCGCTCCCTCTGTATCTCGTCTTGGCACTTCAACGACAGTTTACATCGCAATGCGAAGGGGGTGCGCGACGACAAGACGCACCCATTGGCAATTTTCCGCGATCCAGTCTTCATACGCAGACTTCTGTTATGTGAAGTCGTACTGAAGATGCCCGCTTTGGCCGGCGGACCGAGAGCGCATTGCGGGATGGCGATGCGGACGACCACTGATAAGGCACACGTGTAGGTATGCAGGTTCATTGTCTATAGATGTCTAGCGGGCTGGGCTGGCAATATTGTACGTCTGTAAGTCATTATCATTCATCTGAATGACGCCTCACTTATCCTCGAGCAGACTCGACTCCTCAATGTGCATGGTACCTGACACAACAATACGGCATCGCTGGCAGTATCTCCACCTCTCCGTCGACAATTAGAGCAAACGGTGCTGCATGCAAGACAGGCACGCAACGACCCTCATTGCGGATTTTATGCCGGTGGTGAGTCTTCCTGGTATCTTACGCTCAGCAGCGCAAATGGCACGCAGCGTATAACGGCATCGCCTACGACTTGCAAGGATGCCGGTCCGCTCCTCGCGCGATCGTTGGCATAACACGCGGATCAGAGGAGGCGCATCAGCCTATCAGACGCTCGACAAGTGCCTTGCAAGAGCCAATAGTGGATGATCGGGGCTCCGGTAGGTTGAGATGGGCCCCCGCGCGCTCGGCGAGTTTACGTGGACGCACTTATCGCTCGCGTACGAGCGACCAGGATCCCCTCTCGGTGGAAGTGAACGCTACCTGCCCGTGCGCGTTGTTCCCTCTACAGCATGCGACGCTAGTACTTACGAGCTGCGGCCAGCCGCTTGCTGTGCCAGTCTCGACACTCGCAAGACCACTTAACACCGGTGATCGCGGTCGAGGGCGTACTAAGGACCGAGGACGCGACACCTTTGACTTCGATCACGGTCCGTGAAGGCGAAGCGTCCCTCGGATCGACGCTCCACAACATGCTGCAGGCTGCCCGGCCTTTCAGCCTTCCAGTTCTGCCGCCGAAGCTGCATTCTCGCTTATTTGCCTGTATCTCGCCTCGGGAAGTAGAGGTCAATTCAACGGTTATTCGACCCTACACCGAGTTCGCCGCTAGACAGTGCGTTCCATGTCTTCTCTCTCTCAAGTTGCCTGTATTGCTGCGCACAACGTGCACTACTCGTGTCGCAAAGGCCTGAACCAAGGAGATGTACCTCTCCGAGGGTTGCTCGTCGCGCTCACTTCACACGACGCTCCAGGTCGCCCTCTGTGCTGCTGCGCTTCCTGGGGCGAAGCTGAGTACCTGATCGTCGTGCATTTGCTCATGCTGGCCACGCCGTCCACCAATTCAGCCGTACAAATTCGGCAGGAAAACAGGCTCGCGCAGTCGATAGGCTCCGGGACGCCGAGCAAAACTTGGTCTCCGCGGTGATAGCGTCCGTTCCGACATTTGCACTGCAGTATTAAGCTGACCGCTGATCGTCTTGTCCCCTCACTTTTTGATAGTGTCCCGCGGGATGCCTGGGCACTGTTGGCTGCAAGCCCAGGCTAACCTCGGACGCGCGAAGTGCTTTACTCGAGTGCATCGGGTTTGCGACGCTGTAAGTGTTGTTTCATCATGGTCAGATCCAAGCCTTTGCTTGCCCTTCGCATGTTGGGTTACGGCTGACATCCAATCGTTGGCTGGTTGTAGTGCAGAACACTCGGACAATGCTGTGTGTCACTGGTCGTGTGCACGAAGTGAGGGCGTAAGTATTACCCTGACCGCAGCAGGCGCCAGTGTAGCAACACTCCCGGAACATGAACGGCTCTCGCGGTGACGGTCGGTCGTTCCCACTCCATATAGGCACCGATGCTCTAGCCTCACCCCCTCGCAGCCTGTATGGAGCACTAGTAGCAATCGAAGGCGGAGCACCCGTTCATCGCGTTTTGCCGTTGAATTGTGCTTGGGGGCTCTGACGGATTTGGCAGGAAAACAAGCTCGCACAGCTGATTGGCCCCGGGCCCGGGCGGGGAGTGCGAAGCACTAGAAGGCCACGCAGTATGGGAAGATGGACGACTCTATGGAGCTGACGAGGGTACTTTGCACCCAGGCTATTCGCAGGATGAGAAGATCCGTCTTGCACTGCAGAAGACGTCCACGGTCATGGTCTCATGACCATTACACCCTTTATACGCCCGGTATGGCCTGCTCTCTGGATCGATATCATACCTACTGTACATCGCGGCCTTACAATTTGGCCACTACGTATGAGACATAGGGGGATTTCCGGACTATGATACATACATGGCTCTGCCTTGAATCCATTCTGAATACTCATACACACGAGTATTTCTGTTCTTTTTCAACACAGTCCTGTACGTCTGCAGCATCATGCATCAAGAATTGCCATAGGAAGGCACGGAACGGGAAAAATTGACGATCGAGGTGACGTTGGCTCAATACGGACTTCGGGGAGAGCGCATCCTACAAGCGGTCCTTCCGGCTCAGGAATGCGATATGCAGGAAACTTCAGTCTCGTGAGAGCGCTGAATGGGCGACATGATGATGACGTTCTGGGCCCTGAGCCCCTGCCTGGCATTCAGAGCCACAAACAATGAGCTTAAGATGACTACCATATACGGGATTAATGAGGCGGGAAAAGTCTATTAGAACAATTACAGACTCACGATTCGGGAGGATCCACAGTACGGCCGTGAACACTGGTAAACTCGGTATCGCAGCAAACTGTGTCGACGATGTGTGAGACGTATAGTATTCGTCAGATCACGGAAGGTGGCGTACCATTACAACGCCCGCCGTTGCACCTACACTGAAGATGTATTTTGCAGGTGAGATTCGCCCGTAGCCACCGCAAATTGCCAATACCTTGTGATCAAGGCAGTCTCCATGCTGTACAGGATGACCAGACGCAGAACACGGTTGACCCTTTCAATGGTAACAATCAGAGCTGCTACGCAGCCTGGTGAGGTCAGGCAAAAAACGGCGTACGTAGGAAATACGGAGCGACGCCGCCAGAATACGCTAGCTAGGATGATCGACATCACGATGTCGGATGCTGCCAACGAGATGAGTGATCCGAATGTGCCGACCTGGGGGAGAAGTGTGCGTCAGCTACTGTCAGCTCAACTCGCAGAAGAGCTGCATACGTACCGGGCTGGCTGACAAAGTGGGCGACATGATCCTAGACACAGGTCAGGCCTATGTACCAGCAGAAGCAATAGTACGTGCATTTTGATCATAGTGACTGCCAGGTCAAATATAGTGAAACAGCTGTAATCGACGCAAAGTTGTAACATCACTTACATAGAGCGAACACTGGGTGGAAGTGAACTTCAGCCATGAATAAAGCGCGATGCACAGGAATTACCAAATGTCACGAGAGCACTAGTCATCTGATGAGTCCAGCATATGCGTTAATACTGGCTGAACAATGGCCAAAGCAGCGATGACCTACGATAATGGCGCACAGATACCACTTGCGGCTCACTGGGACGATTCACAAGTCAATTTTGAGTCTTATCCTGCACTATCATTATCATTACTGACGCCTCCAAACACGATACGAGAAGATCCTGAGAAGTGCAGTCAAACGGTATATAGTCATAACGATCTCGTCACGCACCCTTTTTGACCGAGATCACTGATAGTCTAGAAGAGCAGCGTGACAGTTCTGTAAAGTCTGACAGAGCTCGTGACACTCACGCTCACGAGCAGAATGCCCTAAATGACGATGAGCGAATCTTCACAATGCAGATGCCAAATGACAAACCATGCCGCTCCTGCGAAGGTATACGGCATCATCAAAACAGGTCGTTCAGTATTGTTTATGGCTTACCACGTCTGCCTGTCCAACGCAGGCGGGTCACTGTGGTAATTCACCGTGTATATGTACGCCGAGTCAACGACGAGGAACAGGTGAACTACGTTGATCGCCCTGCAGAAACATCTTAACGCAAATCTACTACCAGACTGAGCAACGTAATTACCAGACGAAGAAAACCTGTGAGATGGTTGATCAGTAGGCTTCATGCACCCGATGCGGCGAGGACTCACCAAGCATCTCATCAATTTAGGGTCTGATTGGCTATGTTTGAAATAGAACACGGCTTGGCCGTTGTTTATACCTTGGATGCTACTCTCGATTAGTCGCCGCGGACGCATGGTATACCGAAGAAAAAGTCTTCTTGCGGCAGTTCACTCACAATGCACCGACAACAGCACCTGGGACGACATGGTCATTGTGTCGAAGATGAATGACTGCAGACTTACCCAGAAGAAACGCTCCTATAGTCCCGTCTAGTATACGATTCGAGATCTTGGGCGTCGGCGTAGCCATTTAGCGAGAATGGATCCTGGCCTCCAAGTCATCGGTGCCCTGAAGAGAGATACGAGGGCACATAAATAGGATCCAGAATGCTGCGGAATCGCCCCCGGCTTCTTCCTTGCTGACCGCCTGGATGCATCAGAGATCGAAGGACGTAGCACTTCCTGACAGCTCTTCTACGAAGCGTTCACAGGGACAAGGGAGAGGGAGATGGAAATGGAAATGTTAGTCGCACCTCGGAGTCCTGACAGCGTCATCTCCATCGAGCAATGGCCATGGCCAACGCACTAGTACCTTCCCGTCTACCCACGAAATCTAATGCGAAGTCCTAATGAATCCAGTTCTATCAGATAAGTGTGGTCTCTTTGCCTACACGCCATTGGTTTGCATAGTCGGTTCATATTCCGGCCGCGATTGCACCATGTGCGTTGATCGAGGAAGCAGGAGAATGAGTAACACTACACGGAGGCTTCACTGGTCTGCATCACAGAAGTAAGCTGGGATGCAGCTATGTCCACTTCGTGCGGGAATAGAACGGACGGATCCCCATAAGTCCCCAGGTACCTACCGGCGAGACGACAACACAGGTTGTCGCGGCAGTGGCTACCTGTGAATTCCGTGGGCACAATAATGCTATGAGATGGGACAACAAATTCATCGGGATACCTGAGGGTCAGACCAGCATCGTATGCATTGTACGCAGGAGACCGCACCGTGATTATTGCCATAAGTTTAAACTAACCACGTCCCATGATCATGTCGACGCAACTTGCATCTGCTGTGCACTAGATCACTGACGGCAGAAGACGTCAGGCACTAGAAGACAACCGTCAGCGGACAAAGGCGAAGAAGACGTACCGTGAGTAGATAATGTACTGTTTCATATAAGTGCCGCGAGAGCAATTCAGCAAGGCAGCGTACGTTGCCTAATCGGGCCCTGTGCACCAATGTACGTCTCAGGGCCTTCATACATGGCATAAGACTCGATGTTGCTCACCGAATGGGCACTTCGGGTATCGTGACGCCGTCAGACACCTTGTCACGGTCGTTATGCACGGGCATATCTGGTTGAAATGTTGAGAGCTTTAGGGCGGGGCCCAATAGATAATAGTCTCCGTTGCATACCATAATAGCCGGCAAGCGTCATAGATAACCGAGTAACGTATACTGTTTGGCAGCTGCGACAGATGCAGTCACGACCACAACTAGTTCCAACACGCCAGCGATCATGATCGCATGCATCCCAGTCCTAGCATAAAGACTGAACAGTCGGGACGTTGTTGCGAAACATAGCTCCTCTTGTCAGCTGTGATCAAAGGCGGTATCAGTGTGAAGTACCGTGGTAGAGTACTTGCCCCGTATGTATCTCGAGTGTTCCGGAGAGTCAGAGTCGCTGCATAGCCCATAAAGATCGCAACTGAGGCAATCACACTCCTGTCTACTGGCCGTGCTGTGACACTTCCAGTAGGCGCGAAGTCAGCTTCTCCGCTTGATTACCAGGCGTTTCACGATATGTGTGGTTCACGGAACTGGCTTAAACCCGTCACTACAATTAAATTTACAGCGCACTCACAAAACGAAGTGTAGCCCCGACCTAGAAATCGGATACGCCGGAACTTCGAACATCGAAAGAGCGGTGGCTCGCCCCGTGCACTGGGCCCGTGCCGATGACGCTCGTCAGTCTTAGTTTCTGCCGAGCATTGAGAGCGACAAATAACGAGCTTAGAATGACTGCCATATATGCCGGTGAGCACTGTCTAGCAACTTGCTCGACAACATTGTTACTCACGTTTTGGGAGAACCCAGAGTATCGCCATGAACACTGGCGTATTAGGCAATACCGCATACTGTTTCATGAGCGCCGCGGTTATATGCTATTCATAACGCGGAGGATTGTGACTTCGTACCGTGACTACACCCGCGATTGCACCTATGCTGGAGATGACACTTCTCAGTCACTATTGATTAAATGGTAAAGAATTGTAAAGAATTGATACCTTGTTATCAAGGACGTCTCCATGCTATAGAGCACGACGAATCGCAGAAGGCGGTTGACACTGCCAATGAACGTCAGCGCCACTCGGACTCGTGAAAGGAATATCGACGTACATGGGGAAGACAGAACGACGCCTCCAAAACACGAAAGCTAAGACGATCGACAACATAATGTCCGATAGTGCTAATGTGATCAGCGACCCGTATGTGCCCAGCTAAGGACCACACTACATGAACTGTTCAATCATCAAGGGAATGAGGCTTACAGGATTGGTCGGCGCGGTCGGTGCCATAATCCTGGACAAAAGTCAGCGTAAGACTCGCGCACTAACGAGGTATCGCACATCTTGACCATCGTGACTGTCATGTACAGTGTAGATGTCAGCACTGACCGCGCCATCAGCAGTGGACTTACATGTGGTCAATCCTGTGCAGCGACGGTCAGCAGTGTACAAAGACACCAGTGGAAGAGTGATACCAAATGTGATAAAAGCGCAGACCATCTGCGTGAGAGGAGCGACCTTGTGAGTATTTGTGAGCAACAACTCAAGTAATCATCACTTACTACGAGAGCACTCAACATCCATTGGCGGCTCACTGCAATGTTCGGAACGTCAATGTTGCGCCAATGTTGAGAGAGATGAGCAACGAAACACAACTGACGTTTCCAAACGCGATACGAGAATATGCTGTGCAACGGAGATAGGTTTATCATTGTAGTGCAACGTCAGGGCAATGTCATCGCAACATACCCTTTTACGCCGAGATCACCGACGACCTTTGAAATGCGCGTTCACATTCAAATAGACAGCAAATACGGAGAACACTCACGCTGACAAGAAGGATGGCCTATATGCATGATTAGCCAATCATCGCTAAACGAGTGAGCGAAAGCTGCACTGACTATGACGCTCCTGCGGGTGATGGACGCTATCACTCCTCGTTCCTCGCTCAACAACTAAGACGACTTACCAAGTCAGTGTGTTGAGATTAGAGGGGTTGCTACGGCCATCGACCGTGTATAGATATAAGGCATCGATGACCAGAAAGAAGTGGAATACGTTTACTGCCCTAAACAATCATCGTCAGCAGTTGCGTGACAAACCGACACATGAGGACGACTGACAAAACGAAGAGGATCTGACGGAACACCGTCAGCAATCATGATCAATAGCTTCGCCGCACAGCTGACGCCTTACCAGACATTTCATTATGAGAGGATCTGTTTTTTGATGCCTGAAGTAGAATATAGCCTGCCCGATATTGACACCTTGCAATCTGTGACGCATAAGCAGGGGAGTAGCGTAGAGAATGTAAACCGGTAGAACCACTTACACCGCACCAATAATTGCGCCTAGAGTGAAAGCATGAGGCATCTAATCCGCATGGACTACATGAGACCGACTTACTCAACATGAACGCCCCTATAGTCTCGTTCAACACGCGGATGGGCACCTCAACCGTTGGCGTAGTCATCGCGCAAGGATTGTACGGCAAGCCTCGTAGTTGTGCACCACAGAGCAATGCGACGTCGTATATATGAAGGCCAAATCTCAGAATGATACCTCCGGCTTCCGCGCATGCTGCTTGTCGGAGGACACCCGACTATGGAGCACAGAAGGGCTGCCATGATAAGAGCTTGACCACAAGGAGGGCCGAACGACAGTTGCGACATACCAGCGACATCACGCTGATGATAGAGGTCGAATGGAGATAACACTGAAAGTTGCGGTCAGCGTGGTTAAGTCCGGGAGAGTCACTCCATCACTGGATGGCTATAAAACCAATGATCAGAAACAGCGACACGGAAGAGTGCCCAACCGGACATACGCCAGTTATATTCATGACATCGCAACGGGACTCAAGCCCGCGACTCCGACCTCCTCGGGCCATCGAGGATACGCTGCGTCCTCGTTAGAAGCGGAATGAATTGGGGGTAAGACGCACACAGGGAGGACCAAGTTACCGTACGGGGAAGTGAATGAACACGGGTAGAATGAGTCTGATAGCACGAACTTTCGAAAGAAGAATGGGCAGTGCGCAGGCGGTGCGTCGCTCCAACACCGACGAGCACAGCGACAACAGACGCTGCGGTAATGACGGGCTCACATCGTGGCAGGGAACCTCCCAGGTGCAGTACCCTCGCTGCATGTGCGCGAAGACTTCGTGCACCTTGAGTTGGAAATGGGATCACATGTGCATGGCATACAGCATACAGACTACATTCAAGGTGAGTCAGGGCACATTTCGCCGCGGGTAGACAGGACTCACTCAGAAACAAACTGCCGCAGTATGTCCACCGTGGTCCGTCAGGGTAGTCGTACACCAATCCTTGTACCGTGAATGGTACCACAAAAGGCGATTGCGAACTCTGAGCTCATATGGCGCATTCCTCTGAGTATGGCGCATTCGTAGCGCATATACCCCGCATATAAAGGAGGCGTCGGTGAGACACGCATGAGAATAAGGACGGAATTCATAGCTCGTAAACACGCAAGAGCTTCGTCGAGTGACGGTGAAGTTCAAGTCGTTGGGAATGCCTTCGCAGATGGATAGTCGACCAGGCCATACAGAGCTTGATGTTGAGTATAATCTGGACGCAAATTTGGGACGAGTAGAATATTTGGGACAGGGTAGGACCGGAGCTCTACGCGGTCAAGAGGACTGCGTTGCATGCGGACCAGGCCGATGTGTGCATGCGGGGTAGTTTGGTCGTGTTTGGCAGTGGCACCGTGGCAGGACCTGGCTGCCGTCAGCCGCGCCTCGCCGTTCACGACGACCACCAACGACCGACGACGCAGTGCGACGCTCCAAACACCCTTGACATCGTTTGATACGGTGAGTACGACATTGGACAGACTCTTACCAGCATTCGCTCATTCGCGCCCGCTCGGCACCATAGATCCCCCCTTTAAAGCCATGTCAGTATCTCAACCCAGCATGACACGCGCATCCTCTAACCCCGTCTGCTCGCTCACCATGTCCTAAACGTGACGCGCATACAGGTCTGAACCCTATGATCCTTACCTTCCCCGTGGCGGTTCTTCCTCGAACCCGGCTGGCAGCGCGGGCGCGGGCAACGCCAAGACGGCTGCTATCCAGCAGCAGATTGACGACACCGTTGGTATCATGCGCGAGAACATTACCAAAGTAGCGGAGCGAGGCGAGCGGTTGGATCAGCTCCAAGACAAAACAGGTGCGCACTCAGTCCTCGTCGACGTTCGTCGGGTCGTCGGACCCGCGCGCTGCGGATGCGGGCTGTGCTAACCGGTATCACAGACAACCTCGCCGTGTCTGCACAAGGCTTCCGCAGGGGAGCCAACCGTGTACGCAAGGTGCGTTGTTACACAATCTACGCTCCGCGCCACACTTATGCCTCTGGTTTGTAGAATATGTGGTGGAAGGATATGAAGATGCGCATCATCATCGGCGTCGCCATTGCCATCATCATTATTATCATCGTCGTCTCCGTCGTGAAAGCGACCCACCATTGATCGCCACCTCTCTCTCGTATCTTGGCCCTTGGACACCGTTCTGTCACGTCACGACCTGATGCTCCGTCTGTCTTGTGTGTGATGTGTTGTATACATGATACTTATCTATGCACGTACTACTATAATTCCTGTTTCTACTGGGTACGGCTGAAGCGGACTACTTTTCCCATTCCTCCATCCCTCGCATGACTGCGCATTGCCCGCCTATGCGCTGGGTGATGTCAAGTAAGATGACTGAATGCACTGGCCCGGAGCAACATCGAAACGACGGTGACGTTGCATCCGCGGGGTCCGGCAGCTCAAGGCACGCCTATCTCGACCGAGGTCCGTCCAGACGCCATGATGACAAGGAGAGCGTCCATAGAACACTACAAAATTCATGCATCGATGACCATAGCAGACATGATATGAGAGCTTATGTTTCAGCCAACAAACTAAGAAAAACGTAGGTCCGACCTGGTAATGTAGGTGCAAGTATGCATTGGGGGTAATACACGACAACAACGGGGTATCGTAGAATCGAACGAAGGGTAAAGCTATCAAAAATGCCAATGCGAACCACGGCAAGACAGGAACAGCAGCTGCCCGTCCAGCGCGGCTCAGATGCGACTCCGGCACATAAGTTACTGCACATAACATCCATAACGATACTGACGTAGAGCCGACGGTAGGAGTCCCTACTCCTCTTCGCCCTCGTCATCCTCCTGGATGGTCGCGGGGCCCGAGCGGCTCGCGGGCAGCTGTCGCCGGCCGCTGCGCTGCTGCTCCGTCTGCTCGAACGACGAGTCAGGCAGGGGTGACGTGCGCCCCATCGGCGACCTCCCAGCCTTGCTGCGCGCACGCCCACTCGTACTCGGAGCCGCAAGCCCCGCATTCCCGCGTTTCCCGCCCTGGCGCCCTGCGTGGCCTCTCGGCGGCGCGGATAGCATCGGCACCTCGGGCGCGCGGGGTACGAACGGCGACGCGTACGTGGTCTGCGAGCTCGTGGCGATGCCCACGCTCGTGCTCGTGCTCGCATGAGTGGGCATCTGCCCGAGCCCGCCCGCGAAGCCGGGCCCTTCCTCGTCCTCGTCGACCCAGTCGCTCTCATCGCCGAGGGTCAGGGACGCGCGCCCGGAGAAGACGTCCCGAATGCCCTGTGCGCCGTCGACGGGCGGCGAGACCGCCAGGACCTCGATCGCAGAGTACGCCGCGCGGTTCTGCCAACCTGGCGGCTCGTGTCCCCAGCTCTTCTTCCAGCTCGAACGGCCGAGCGAGGAGAGGTATCCGGTGCCGCTGCTGTTCGGGTGCCCGAAGGGCGTCTCGCGCTTGCGCGCGACGAAGGAGGTTGGAGCATGTTGTCGCCGCGGGGTCTGGCTCTCCTCGAGAGAGCGTCGGCCGGGCGGACGGTTCGGCGAGCTGTTCCGCCTGCTCTCGCTCTCGCTAAAGTCGTATATCGACCCGGGCCGCGAGGACGTCAGTGAGTGCGCTGAAGACGCAGAATTTGAGCGGAGGTGCCCTATGTGTGGTGGTGGTGCATGAGTCTGCCTGACAACACGCGTAGAGGAACCGGATCCCCCTCTTCGATGGTACTTCGGCAGTGGTGACGCCGTGCGCCCAGGATGCATCGAGCCCGCTGAGCTAGCGGAGGGCGACTTCCGATGCCGATGTCCCATGAAGCTCTGTACGGACGACGGCCGCGAGACGTACTCTTCTCGCTCCGAGTTCGGCGTATGGCTACCGAACGACCGTCGGCTCGCGTCGCTCCTCCGTCGCGTGACATCGGTGTATCCAGGTGAGTCGAAGGTCGGGAACTGCGCAGACTGTACAGAAGAACGCTTCGAATTGACACTACTCGACCGCCGTGATGACGCCGATGCCCGCTTGGCGCGGTTGTTCGCGTTCCTACCTGAGGACAACTTGCCTCGGTTCCCGCTGGCTCGTCGCTTGACGGTTCCTCGACCTCGCCCAGCTATGGGGGTTGAAGGACCCGGACTGTTGAGCTGGCGATTCTGTGCCATACTCTGCGAGGTCAATACGGGCTCTTCCTTGCGCTTGCCTTTCGGATCTTCCTTGAACCACATACGGAATGCCGACAATAGGCTTGCGCGATTGCGGCTCGCACCGAGGCCTTTGTTTCCTGTGATGTTCGGAAGGGCAGAAAGTGTATCTCGCGGTGAGTCGGTTCCATTGGGAGGAGGCGATGACCTGGCACCGGCCATGACCCACGGAGAGCCGGTTTCAGCCTGCACGTTCACAGTGCTGGTGGATGGCGGAGGCGTAGTCGGTACTCCTGCGTCCTTGGGCTTCAGAGGCGGGCTTTTCAACAGCCTACTCGAGGCGCTGCCGTGCGATGCTCGAGGCTCCTCGGCGGTGGCTGGCCGCCTGTCTGCACTGTCTCGCACACCCTCCGATGACTTCTTCCGTACCAGCCCTGCTGCCTCCAGTGCAGTCGTCGCGCGTTGCATGATGCTCACGCTCCCCGAACGCGCCTTCCTGCCCCTCGATCCTTGATCCTTTTCTTTGTCCTTCATACTACTACCAGGAGTAGATGGGCCAGAGCGAATTGATATGTCCGCCATGGACGGCGTCGGCGACAACAGTGCATCGGTAGGAGACTTCGCCCTCGGAGGGGTCCTTGGACGAACTGTGGTAGCCGCAATGGGCGTAGGAGGGATCAACTGCAGTTCAGGGGCGGAGACGGCCTGTGCGAGCGCGGTAGGTATGGAATTCCTGGCCGGTGTCTCGCGGGAACGGCGCTCGCCGCTGTCCTTGTCGTTGGCACGCTCTTGTTTCCGTTCCTCTTCCCGTCGTCCATGCTTCAGTTCGCCCGCAGACTTGACCTCGTCTGAGGACTCGACGAGTTCGGTCATAGGCTTCACGCCTTCCTCCAACACGCGCCTCTCTGCCTTGCGCTTCAGCATCCACCAAAGCGCACCCGTAGCATCGCAGGCGTCGCTCAGGACGGAATGGACGATTTGAGCGGCGTCGAGCCCCAGCGCACTCATTGAGTTCAGGAGGTCACGCTCGAGGGGTGTCGAGAAGATGATCGGAGCCGGCGTGTTGAGTACAGAAGAGAAATCTTGCGGGAGGACAGGTGCAGAAGACTTGTCGAACGTAGGCGTCGTGGGATCAGACAACGTCGAGGATACCGAACGTCTCTTGGTGCGCGCTGGAGTACGGGTGGGTAACACCGGCGGTACCTTGGATGAGCTCGACATGACACTGGATCCTTGTCTCTGTATGGGAGGGCGGGACGGCGTCTGCTCCAAACTGTCATCGAGGGACTGGTCGACGTCTCGCATGATGTCAGCACTCTTCCGAGGCGTTTCGGTGTCCTGTGAGAACAGGTCATTTGTAGAGTCATCTGGCGTTGTGGGCGACGTCGTAGGGAATTCTGAAGAGGCAGAGTGGTAGGTGGACCCTGAAACTGCCGAGTTCAGCTGTGACGGCGGTCGGACTAAGGGGGCAGACGCAGGCCGTGATGGAATAGCAAGGCTCGTCTGCGAGGCAGTGGGATCGACGGGTAAGGCAGTCCCTTGGGTGAACCAGGGATGTGCGAGTATTTGAGCGATCGTTGCGCGCTTGTCGGGGTCGGTTTGCAGGATCGACTGGAGCAAGTCGCGAGGTTCTGCACAGGGGTGAGCCCTACATCGGATATTCGCGTAGTGTACACATACCATCCGACAACCACTCTGGATCCTCAAACTCTCCTCGGATGACCTTCTCTTTCATCACATTCTCGTCGTCGTCGTCGAAGGGCAGCGTACCAGTCAAGAGGGTGTAGAGTATCACTCCGAGGGACCATACGTCGACTTCTGGACCGAGGTACTTCTTGGCCATGAGCATCTCCGGAGACGCATATCCTGTTGTCCCGCAAAACGTCTCCAGCAGGATTCCGCGCTCGAATTCGCGTGTAAAGCCGAAGTCTCCGAGCTTCAAACGGCAGTGCTCGTCAAGTAGGACGTTCTCGAGCTTGAGATCGCGGTGGACGATGCCCTTGGAGTGCACGTAGGCAACCGCGAGGCATAGCTGGCCGAATATGACGCGCGCTTCCTCCTCGTTGAGCCTGCCCTTCTCCGCGAGGAAATCGAATAGCTCGCCCCCGGAACAGAGCTCCGTGACAAGCCATATGTTGGATTCGGTTGCAATGACCTCGTATAACTGAGTGATGTGAGGGTGATGAAGCTGGCGGTGGTGGTGTATCTCTCGTGTTAAGGAGGCGGACATTGCTTTCGGGATCTGCTTGATGGCGACACGGGTTCCGGTCAAGCGGTGCACTCCGAGACGCACTTTACCGTACGTCCCTGCAAGTCGCTTAGGTAGAGGGTCAAATACGCGACACGCCTGCTACACACCTTCGCCGATGACCTTCCCTAGTGTGTAGTTCCCAACTACCCGAATCTTCTGGGATGAAAGCTCCTTCCCGAGTTCATTATAAGCGTTGGCGAGCTGAGCTTTGTGATTTTGGGCTTGAGACACCGATGTTGAGTGCCGGTGGCCGTTCACAGCCATTGCAACATTTACAAGAAGCGAAGGTAACGAGTGACGACGGTAGGACTCGGAGGAGTTGTTAATGCAATCGAAGAGCGCACGTTGAGCGTGAGCTCAGGCTGCGGTCCCGCGGTCCCGCCAGAGCAATGTGCCTTAATTGAAACCCCGAAAACAATCGTTTCAGATCCCGATATTTGGTATTATGCCAGGATATCAGCTTTTGTTGATATTGCTTTCAGCGTTTAGTATACCAGTCGATGAAGGTACTACATACAACCGTGTCCCGCCACCACCGTGGATTTCTCTGGTGTCTCGTGTGCATTCACTCTCAACACAGTCAAGTCCAATCGGAGCAGAGTCGCCGCAAATCATTCACTGCAACATGTAGCAGTGCTGCAGAGTGGTCGACGTAGGCTCCACGTCTCAGTTGAGAATGCTTTCTGACCTCTCCATGAAGTAGGCTTGGCCCACTGACATCTGGCCGCGCCGGGAGCAATGCATGTACCTGTGCAGACGGCATCTCAGCGCAGTGAGCCTGAAGTGCAGTGCTGTTAAACTATGCAGGTACAGAAGGGCTGGACAGATCCGAGTCTCTGTTGCACTACATCATAGCATGCATGTGCGGTATCTCGAGATCTCGTCGATGTGTGCGTGCCTAGCAGGTGAGTACCGGAGTACAGCTGAAGGCTATTGCCCCCTCCCTGTGTTGCCTACGTATACGTTGATTATGTGCGAGAGATGCACATCGTCCGCAGTGAAAGCTTGGTGACTCGGATACACATCAGTCCAACGAACGACTGCTGTGATATGGCTGTGTAATCAGTTTCACGGACTTCGACGAATTCGTGTACCTTGATATCAAGGATGATGGCGCCGTGGCGAGGTAGAATTGATTCTTCGATCAACGCCTCCCCTGCGCGTGGAGCCCGGGGTGGCACCGTTTTAAAGTTGGAAGTATCGGCCTCGATTCCAGTCAGCGCTGTTGCGGGTAGTGCACTCATCCAGCGTCCGTCACGGTCAGGATGTCATCCATGACTCACCCTCAGGCTGACGGAGACCCTTCATGGTTTGTAGGTCTTGGACTGAGGTGGATGTCCACTCGTCTCTTACTATATCATCATTGGACATTCCCTCGTGATGAGGGTGCTTAGTTCGTTGTCTATACCAGGCCATCTTAGAAGCGTGCGCAGTTCACGGGTGCCGAACGCAATCAACGTGAACGTACGGTCCTTCATCACAGGACATTGGAAGATTTCCCAGTCACTGCGGATCCCGATTTGTTGCCTGTGGTTCTCCTCTCCGAGCTCGTAGGAATGACGTGTCAAGGTAGGTGTCTATATAGCAACAAGGTTTGTTATTGACGTCGCACTTCTATCTCTCCAGGTGGGAGCTATGGTCCGAGATATCATGATATCCCGAGCCCTGGGACGAACACTGTTGCATGTTTGACAGTTAGCACCAAGATGACCTGACCAACTCAATTTATCGAAACCACGTTCAACATGTATTCGGACATCTATAAGAGCCCTCAAGTACTTAAGCGGCCGCGCTATCGCCTAAGCTGCCCTACGTGCAACAAGTACCACGAACATGTCCGACACCGCTGCTGATGACCCGATACAGGTCAATCTGGGATCATTCTTTCTAGGTAAGTGCTGATACACTCCAAATACTTAGCTGACCACGCAACTTGCGTATATATCACGATCAGGAAACATCGCGGATTCTATGTGAGAGCCTCAATCAGAACTTTGTCTACTCATTATGACTTAGCACAACAGGCTATTCGGAGTGATCACAGTACAAACATACAACTATTTGATGTATCGCGCTTCAGATAGCTTGATTTTGGGTATTCTGGTGAGTAACAAGTCTTTGCCATGTTTGCCGGACTTTTCATGGTATGCTTTACATCATCGCAGTTATCATTATGTTGGTGAGAGTGAAGGGCGCCGTCTGCTGCGAGATCCGTGGATGCACTAACAGATACAAAGGATTATCGACACTCTACAACTCGCGTTGTTCAGCCATCTTACCTTCACCTACGTCGTTACTGATCTGTCCAACTCAACGGCGATCGATCGAATCCTATGGTGAGTTGTTTTCGGCCCCTCCCAACGTATCTCAGACTTGAACAGGTGTTTCCCGGTATGTTGATGCTCGTGTTCTTCTGTCAGCTTCACAGAGATGAATAGCCCACTGACATGTCGAGTAGACAATCATACTTTTGACTGTACGGTCCAACAGTCATCTGTGCATTTGGAAGCCTGCTAAGCAGCGTGCCACAGGGATTGAGCGACTTCATTGTTCGGAGGTGGCGTACTTTACTCGAGTGAACAAGTGATGATCCATGACATTGTTTGCGTTCGCAGCATATTCTGTCATCGGATTTGGAAATGTGAGTGCGCTTATTTCTACCTAATGCCATTGAACCTGATGCATGAGCTGCAGTGAGCCAGAGGAACACTACACTCGCCATAGCAATGGTGCGCTCCCCGATAGTGGTCACGGCTGCTTAGGATTCATGACTTTGTGATAGGCGGTCAACAGCATAACGATATTCGGTATGTCTTCACCTCATCGGAAGACAATGCAAAGGATCAACAGAACCATGGGCATGATCAGCATTAAATTGCGGTGCGTGTACTAGCATTGCACGTCACAGTCGCCTACATGCTGATTAGTGCACTATGTTGTCCAGGTCTCATGGCCAAAATGTACAGTTACTTGCAACTTCACGTGTATCACACATGCCTAACATGTGTGGACAGTGTCTCTGCACAGACGGTTGATGCATTCAGAAGCAAAGAAGTATCGGTGAGCTCTTCCATCGCGTGACACACACTCGTCTTGACGAGCTTGATTGCAGGGTTTGGTCTATGCGGGGCTCATCAACAGCGTTTGCGGGAACGTCCTCATAGCGGCATCTCTTTACGCCATCTTGAGGAAGCATCTGAGGGCCGCTTCCAAGTACGCACGCGACAATGCACCTACAATATCGGGTTGTGTCACTTATTTTGATCTCTAGCTCCAGGACAAGCTTCATCGTGCGCACACTTATCGCCTACAGCGTTGAAACGGGTGCGACGACAAGGTCAGTAGCGTATGCCAATTCCACACCGGGGCTCTGAGTTACCTCTGGCTAGCATATGCGCCCTGGTCTGCCTGATTGCGGTAACAAATTGCCCCTCACCCTTTGTCACCCTACTGAACGTCTTGTACACAGTACGCAGTCATGCAGCACAATTGCATCTACATTGCTCTGTACTCTATCCTATCCAAGGGTACGCAATGACAGCCCCACGTCTTCGTCATGCTGAACGCTGCAAGTAGTTTCCCTGAATGCGCTCCTAGCTACCCTCAACGCGAGGCGTGGTCTCCGAGAGAATGACGGACCGCGAGGAGAAGGGATCATCTCGGTAGCGGGATCCGTAGCGAAGTTCCTCGGCGGGAAGGTCAACACGGACAGAACTTGCGCCAGGGTAAGTGGTCTCATCTTTCTCGTAGCACATCACACGGATGGACCAGCTGTCAACAAAGGACATTCAAGTCAGTGTTCAGACAACCATCGACCAGTTGGTAGACGAAGAGCCATTGCCAAAGACCACTGTAAGGCGCCAAATACGCACCCTGCTTAACGTCGCTGAACCCACTCATCGTTCGTTCAAGTACCCGAGCCACGCGCTCACCGAGGCGATAGGATGAACATCATGCAATGATGTCGATCATCAGATTCCCGGGCACGCCAACCTCGAGAATGGGACAGGTCTTCGTCGTCGTCCTCGGCCGGAAGCAACACGCACAACGCACAAAAACGAGTATGTATGAATGTAGGCACGAAGCAGAAACGGAAATACATATGCATGTAGTTGTTCAGGCTCAGCCCCGCTTTGACTTCTTTTCTTTCCGTTTCCTACCGATGAGAGAGCCAATCTGTTGACCAGCCTTGGGAACTTCATTCGACTCAGACTTCTTCACTTGCGGCTGCGATGGGTCCGGCACTCGTCGCTTTTTGCTAGGTCGCTCCTCAGTCTTCTCCGTCTTGACAGCCGGAGACGACGTTACGCGCTGTCGTCGTGTCGAGATACCAGGTTCCTGGACAAAACGTCAGCCTGAGTCGAAGCACCTCATTGCGAGGCCAGATGACATACTGGTTGTTTTTCGCGCTGTCGAGTATCCCGTCGTTGAACGACTTGCACGTTCTCGATGGAGAACTCGACAATAAGGGTCCCTCTGCTCTTGACGGGCGCGCCCTTTTCCAGCTCGTCTTTCAACCGCTTCAACCGCGCCTCATCCTTCTGCGGCTTCTTCTTCTCGTTCTTCGCCATATCCTCCAGCTCGGCCTTCCACCACTCTTCGAACAGTCTGCCGACCTCGGGATTGTTGTTCGCCCATCTGAGCACTCGCAGAGCGTCTGCATGTTTCGTCATCTCCAAGAAGCCGTAGCCTCTACTGCGCCCTTTGCCCGTCACAGGGTCGACGCGGTCTGCCTGGCGCACGATCTTGGCTTGCTGGACACCCGTGTCGCGGCCAGCCTTCTTCTCTTTCCCATGACCCTTCAACGTCTTCGACTTCACACTGCCGTCATTCTTGATGGTCTCGTCTTCGTTGGCAGGTTCGACCGACTCTGCGAGCTCGTCGGGAGTCAGTGGATCCCGTGCGCCCCCCTTGACCTCCTTCTCGAAGGCGCGAACGGCGTGCACAGCAAGTCTCTTCAGCATGCGCTCGGTCGCAAAGAGCGGCAGCTGGCGGATGCTTAGTCGTGTCTTCGAGACGTATAGTGATGGGTTCGAGCGGAGGAGTGCTCTTCGAGCGTTGAACGACTGTGCCCGTCTCTCCACCTCTGCTGGTCCTACAGACTCGGCAGCGGGCGCGTTCGGCAAGATGACTGCAGGGGTAATCAGAAGAATTGTTGCTGCGAGACTACGACGTGTACTCACTGCCCTCCCGGAGGAGATAGAGATTGCGCTTGTCTGCCTTCTCTCGTTGTCTTTCGCCCGCCTCCTTGAGCTTGCTGGCTTCGTCCCTTGTTACAGCACGGTTCACATCCAATGTTCGGCCGTGAAGAACGAGGTTCTGTGCTATTGACGAGGACGGATCCGGGGTTAGCAAGGAAGGCAGTTTGAAGGGATTTTTCTTGGGCTGTCGACGCAACAATCCATGAACTGCAAGAAGGGGACGAGTGGTAGAACGTACTGCTGCGACCTTGTCGTTGTCTCCCAGCATCTCGGCACGTAGGATCTCACTCTGCTCGACGGCCTTGTCTGCGTCGGCTTTATTCCAGAAGCAGACGAAGCCAGTCCCGCGAGAACGACCAATCTCATGATCCATCGTAATGCGAGCGTACCGAAGAGGTCCAAAGGAACGGAATCTGAGGGCTGTGAGCGAGGTTGTCAGGCACAATATTAGACCGTACTCACAATGTTCGCAGCTCGTCTTCTGTCGCCTCGAAAGGGACATTCCGAACGAATAGCGTGGTGCCGCTTTCCGGAGGAGGTAGCGCAGGCTTTTCCCGGTCCTCATCCCCTTCACTCTCCTCCGCGCCCGTCAGGTCATCTTCATCGCTGTCACTCCCACTGCCCTCATCACTACCACCGTCTTCGTGTACTCCGATCTGCTCATCGTCGCTGTCAGACTCCTCGCTCTCGCTCCCCCCATCGCTCTCATCCTCCATCTGCACGTCTGCGCCTTCCTGCTCCAGCTTCGCCTTCTCCGCCTGCCACTTGTCCTTGCTCAACGCCCAGTCGACCGCGATTACCCGCTCCTTCCCCCGAGTCTCCGGCCCTTCGTCCTCCTCTTCCAACTCGCCCTGGCCCTTCGCCGCTTTCTCTGCCTTTTCCTCCTCCCTCCGCTGCTTCTTCTTTTTCTGCTTGTCCGTCACTAAGCGCACCGCCATGCCCGCATAGACTTTCATTCCATTGGCCCCCTCCATCGCGCGCTCCGCGTCCTTGCGGCTGAGCATCCAGACGAACGCGAAGCCCTTCGCGCGGGGCTTGCCCTCGCCCTCGCTGTCCTTGAGCGGGATGTCAACGGAGTAGATCGGTCCGAAGGGGAGAAACACGGCGCGGAGATCCTGCTCTGTGGTGTTGAACGGTAGGTTACGCACGATGAGCCGGCTCGCACGACTCGGGGCTGCGCCCTTTGCATCGGGCTTTGGTGCGGCAGCCTTCATGGCCTTGGAGGGGGCTTTGGCTAGGCCGTCCAGTCGCTTTTTTAGGGTCGCCGAAAGCAAAGAACCTTTGAATACGTGCGCATGAAGTTTGTTGACAGCCTCTGATGCGGCGGCCGGTGTCGCGAATAGTGCATGAGCTGTACGAGCGTAGTTTAGTATGCACTCGTGGATGAAATGGGATATGCCTACGTACCTATTTCGCTGTCTTCCTCTCCACTACTTATTTTGACCGGCCACTCCACCTTCTCACCGCCCTGGAGTTTACGGATCTTCTTCCATAGCGCCTTGGAGTCTACTGACGGAGGAAGACCTGAGATTACCACTGTGCGTATAGCAAGAGGGTCTTTCGATGCAAGCGGCTGAGGTCGAGGGGCTGGAGACTTGGCTTCGGTCTTCACAGGCGACTGCGTCGGGTGTTTGACCTTGACTTGGGATTTGTCTCTGATCTAGGCAGCAATATATTGGCATCTCACGCGCTAGGATACGTTCGCGTACTCACCTTTGAGTCCGCCCATTGAGCCCTCAGCTGCCTCCCATCAAGCACGAGTCCCTCCTCCGCGATCTTGTCGGAAGCCATTTGCGCATCTTCTTTAATGGCGAATGAAACGTAGCCGACGCCTTTTGATACTCCTGAGCCGGGTTCAAGCACGACAAATGCAGACCGTACAGGTGCGAAGTCAGAGAAGAGGGTCTGCAAATCCGTAGATGTTGCTGTGTATGGTAGATTCGACACAAAAAGCGTCGATCTACTCGCTTGCAAATAAGTCCAGTAGCACAGCAGTCAACGTTGAATACGTACCCATGAAATTCCCCTTCTTCTTCCCTTTCCTTCCGTTTGCCGAGCGAGGATGCCATCTCTACAGTGTCTGCCAAGTGTCTGCCTGTAAAGAGCTGCCGGTGGATAAGTTACTTAATGGAAGGCGATCTTCGAATACAGCGGACTTTGAAATGCGCATCACATGCACACATCCGCCACTTTCGCGTCTCGACTCTCAACGTCAACGCTCAGCGGCTATGACTGCTTTCGAGTTTCCCCTCTAGTTTGCTATGCTGCTGCAGGCCTTGACGCTTCGGGCACTTTTTGATACCGAGACCATCACGCACGGCAATGCAACGGCCGAGTACCCGAAGGTGTCGGACGTTGAGGCCGCTTTATTGGAGGAGATTCGCGGGCACCCGCAGCATACTAATCCGGTCGAAAGCGACATAGACTTTGACAAGGTCTAGGTCGGTACAAATCATGTGAGACAAGCGTTCTCTATGCTCAGTACCTGAAATGTCTAACTTTCTTTATAGGTTGTTGACTGTACCCTCCCGGTGCAAGCGCGGCCGAGGTAGTGTAAGCCTATCAATATATAAACGATGCAAACATCGGAACAAGACCAAGACCAGAGTTCTCAAGCGCACATATGAACGGGAAGCACAGCTGCTGTGTGTCCTCTGTACGTTAGCGACTTTCTTATGCGGTCGTCATTTCTTACGCCCCATAGTCGTGTCAGCTCTCATTGCCCACCAAGCAACGTCTCTTGATACGGTGGATGAAGATGTTGAGCCTAGCTACTAAGCAAGTGAGTGCGGGTCCTCTTGGGAAGTAACACCTCTGACGAGCGTACCAGATCAGAAGATTATTGCTGCGGCTGGTAGCTAACGGCGCGCTCCCTCGTCCGGGGCTCACGTTAGCGAGCTTCGGCAGACACGGCGAGAAGGCCGCATAGATGCCTTGTACAATCACCGGCCTATAAACCTGTCCCCTCTCCTCGCCCTTCGCTGGATGGCTGCTCACCGACCGCGCTAGCCGTGCGTGAGGCAGCGAGGCTTTTTCGCGCACTGAAGATCTGCATCACCGACCTGAATACGCATTTTGATTATCCGAATATGGCGCGGAACACAACAACTGCAGCGACATCGAGCCTCCCATACAGAAGTAGCCGGCTCGGCTTCGTCAGCAATACACACACGCCTCCACATCCATCCGCCGCTACACTACACTCCTCGTCTCGCAAAGCGCCCAGTTATTCGCCGCCCAAGCTCATCAGGCCGTGCTTCAGCGAGTATCTTGATAGTGCTGGTCAAAGGTTCGAGCTGCGCTATACTGGTCGCCTCACATCCGACATATGGTCCAAGCCGGTCTTTCTCGCTACGGTACACGGTCCAGACGATACAGCATCCACCGGAGTCGTGGTCAAATTCACCGAAACGTACGGGGAAGAGGCACACCGATTGACGTACAATTGTGGTTTCGCCCCGCTATTACGGTTATGCGCCAAGGTCGAGAGCGTCGGGATGAGGGTGATCGTCACGGACTACGTCGAAGGCGACATGGCGATTAGCCCCCTGGGTTCTACCTCTCACTCCGCAACGCCATCAAGACGCTACATGCTCCTGGGTTCGTGTTTGGGATTTACGCGAGCCGAGCGTATTGGTCACGGAGGGTGGCGAGGTCAAGTTGATTGACTTTGACTGGTGCGGGCCTGTCGGTGAGGCGCGATACCCGGATGACATCTCGTTGGATCAGGTCTGGTCCTATGTCGGCCTGTGGGCATCTGGGTATGGCTGGCATCCTGATGTGCAGCGTAAAGGGTTGATAGCCACGGAGTACCGATGCGCGTGTTCTAGCAGCTCACGGGCCAGACCTTGTACAAATGGTCTCGCAATTCACCTTCATTCATGCCGGTAGGCATCGGTCCGCATAGTCAATGTGAAGCATACCCACGAGCAGAACCTGTCCATGGTCGGTTTGGACAGTCCTCGTGGTGGCACCAGGACCAGCAGCACGCTCAGCCGCGACAGCCTTATACGGTCGCACCTCTACGTTTCCAATGTGCTCACACCATGCTTCTATGCGTGTTGGTGACGATTGCATAGCGGATCGGGGACAGTACGGTGAGTAGACACAAGTATTACAACAATGATCAGGACTGAAGCGAGAAACAGTACCGAATTGCAACAATGCATGCAGAATCTATCGAACCAGCATTCACGACGACGAATTACAGTATGTGGCTATCTGAAGAACCGTCGTTTTTTGGATTCGACGCCTATAGTGAGGCTGAAGTTGAGGTTGATCACCAGCCCAAAAATATGCATACAACACTCCGCTGTGGTGCTCGGTACGAGGACTCCATCCTTCCCAACGTGTCCGAGGTCGTTGACCGCTTCCCCAGCCGTCAACTGCACGACGTTGTCCGCGCTGGTGAGTGCGTACGCCATGTAGTCGGCCGCCCCGTTGGGCCCGTTCATTACCAGGAGACGTTTGAGCGACTCGCTGCCGCCGGTGGGCAGCACAACGGTGTCTTCCCAGAGCGTAGCGCCATGGAGCCTGGTGGCACCATGCACTGCGCCGTCGCTCTCAGCAATGTAGAAGACCTGAAGAGCAAGGCTGTCGAAATCGATGCGGATGGAGAGGGGAGTGCCCGCGGCGGGCTTTCGAGCGCCCTGAATTTCCGTCGTAGTCCAAGACTCGTCTTCATCAGACTCCTGCAGGCAGATCAAATCTCCCGCATCGTTCTGGAACGCAACAACGACCGAAGCAGTAGAGTCCAAACATGCGACGAGCTGGCCGTTGGGGTCGACCTCGCATTGCGGGAGGCCGTCGGCCTCGACCCATTCCTCCTCATCTTCATCGTAGTGGAGGACGGCGACAGTGGAAGAGTCGGTGATGCAGGCGACTATGCCGCCATCGGGAGTAGGGATATACGCGGCTGTGGAACCCGCACGGGCGGACGTCGTAATCAACTCTTCGCTACCGACACTGTCTCCCGTCCAGTGCATCAAGACCACGGTGCCATCGTCCGTGTTCAGCGTGTACGTGGCCGTTCCCTCGGGATGCAGCGCGTAGCCAGCCGAGGTCAGGCGACGAGCGAGTTCTTGGAGTTGAGACATCGATGACTCGAGTGGCAGATTGGTCGCTGGGTGTTTTGCGGTTGCTGAGACTATAGCCTGCTCAACGGTTCTCTCTTTATACTGACATGTTTGCACTGCTGCAGTATCTTCACGAACACATCTGTAGACGGCGGCCCTTGCCCGTCAGCCGCTATCGGCATCCCAAGCAAGCTTAGTCGCGGTGTCTCGATGTGTGGCTCTCCAGGTTCTGACGTGTTTCCTGCCTTAGGACGGAGCAATCGTAACCGTGGACGTTCCTTCGTTCACACTACTGAGCGCTCCGAGGCATCCTACTCTCCGCGAACCTTAGCTGCGTTTGTGTCCACGCTCGCGTTTGGAACGAACTCGTGCGATCGTCCAGGCTAACATTAGAAGATCAAGGCAGAAGACTGGCTTGTTGATTTCAAATGCCTCAACCTTCTCCTCTTCCTACATGGATGGACTCAGGATACGCGCTGTCCTGCAGCGCAGGAGACAAAGGTGCCGATGCTTCCCCATACACTCCACAACATATGAATGAGCGCTTTTGATCCCTGGTAGGGCTCACGAACAGAGTATATGCAATATAGCCGTGTCGCTCGTGCCCTATGTCAGGAGGTGGTTCTTCCGAAACGCGTTCTCCCAGCCTGGTTTCGGCCACAGTGCGGTAACAACGTGCTAAAGCACAGTCACTGACATGCGGCGTTTCTCACCTATACAACAGGCTGGCCCCACAGCTACACGTAAGCTTACCAAACGGTTTGCTTACAGTGACGCAACATGACAAAGAAACCTATCGTTCATCGTCGCATTGGTTGATCGAGAGGACCAGAGCGAGTAGATGTACATTGCGTTGACACAATGTGCCTCAATGTCTACGGTGAGTCATTAGCTTCATCATGCAATTATGTCGCGCATCGAGTGCATTCACGAGAGCATGTCGAGATCCGTACGATTCGACAGGAAGAGAACCGGATGAGCCCGTCACAGGTATACACAGCTCGAAAAACGTAATGACGTCAGGTCACTAGATGTACAAGCGAGAAAACAATCCTTTGCAGGCTAGGAAATATCAGGACATGCGTCCACCGCCCTACTTCAGTACCTCAAGCTTCTGCTGAAGCAGGCTCGAGGGCAAAGCGGACGAACTGAGTACCTTGGTGAGTAGACATCGTTTTTCATCGAGTCAACGTACTTACCGTTTCCTTACTGGGGTATGGGACCATCGATACCTCGGAGCTCTCGGCGTCCTCGTCGTCGCAATCGTCCTCGAGGCCCTTCAGCTTCTCCCCCCTCACGCGCACCTGCATCCTCTTCTCCTTGCCCTCAATCACAATCTCTACTGCCGTCTCCTTCGAATTTTTGGCCGACTTGTCCATCACGGTGAAGAGGGATTCCTCCCGGACGTCCGCGCTCAAAGTAACTTGTTGCTTCTGCACGTTGAAGAGCGCCCATTTACCCTGAACCTCTATCGCGTACTGCTTCGTGTTCTTCGTAACCTCCGCGGGCAGAAGGTTTACTGCTGTCCCCGGTCCAAGTCGCACTCTGGCGAAGGGGAAGCCCTCCGGGAAGCACAGGAACAAGCCTCGCTTCGGAAGGAGTTTGACCTGCTTCGGCGTCCCGTGTGCGCGAAGTCTGACATTCCACTGGCCGACATTCGCGAAGCGGAAGACTTCGCTCAGCAACGCGGCAGTGAGACGTGTTCCGCGACTGCCTCCAGTCTTGCGCTTAGTAGGGTCCGGGCTCGAGTTACTGATTGGCCACGCAAGAGTCAGCGTCAGCTTCATCCGGGACCATTGCGGTAAGATGAACATACTGTATTGCTATCACGGTCGGATGTCCCTTGTATTCCGTCCATACCACAGAACCGCTGATGCCCTGCTCCGTCTTAGGGCGATACTCCAGCCAGTCCGTATAAGCGGCAACGAGCGGACCAGACGATGTGATCGGATGACCAGGCATCGTAACGCCTTGGTAACCACTCACGTACAGGGTCCCTTTGACATGTTGCGCGTGTCCGAGACGCAAGCTGTACCCGAAACCTCCTCTGTCCTTCATCGAACCTTTGAACCGGTCACGTGGATAGAGGATCACTCCCCAGTCCACTGCCGGTTTGCCATGCTCGCCCGTGAAAGCCTTTGATATGTGGATATCGTCGTCCGGCACGATGTACTTAGCTGGCCCGCTCGGTCCTTCCCCCGGCTCCAGGACGGCGAGCTCTGTGGACCGCGTGCCGTCGACTGCCAACAGATTATGACCGGCAGTAAGGATTATAGCCTTCGAGCAATCGGGGACATTGATGTGGAATCCGCTACCGGTCGCGAGCTGGCCTCCAATGCGGAACTCGAGCTTCACGGTCCAGCTGCCTACGTCCAGATCGGCGAATTGAAGCCCGTCAGCCTGGATGGTGTCAGGGAGCTGACCGTTCCAGCTAGGGTGCTGTATCTCTTCGGGGATGTACACCTTCGGGGCCATGACGGTGAAGTATAGCTCGAAAGTGAGTGCGTGTGGAGGTGGGTGTCTGTATCTCCTGCATCCCCATGCACGACTTACGAATCTCATATGTATCAGGGCGCAGGCTGATTGGTTCTTGCAGTACGGTGAACTCGCTCGCCCGGATCTTGCGTTCAAAATCGATGTGAAAAATGTTATGCGCGTGGGTTTACATGAAAAGGACCGGAAGCGAAGCGCAAAGCAATTCAAACGGCCTAACTACGTTCCATCTATACGCGCTCCATGTCTCAGTACCAGCATATCCTCTTTCGCCTCCTGCATGAGGTGACGCTAACCGAAATCGCGAAGAAACCAAACAAAGAGAAGAAGCACTCTGCTGTGGTACTCGGCACCAACTTCCCATTGCCGTCAACCTTACCCAACTCCCGTTTGTCCCCTCCATCCTCGGCCTGCAGAACAGCCTTGTCTGCAGTGAGGACGTAAGCCTCGAAACTTCCCTTCTCCCTGTTCGTTGACACAACGAGCCCTTGCAGCGGGCCCAATGCCTGATCGAACATCTCCTCGTCGGCCCAGGTTTCACCTCCGTGGAGCTGATGGACGCGCTGGTCCGCTGCGGAGAAGTAGAAGACGTGTAGGCCGTTATCGTCGAGAACGGTCGAGATGGGCGTTCCCAGAAGCGGATCGGACGCCTTCTTCAGTACCGTAGCTGTCCATCCTGCGCCTTCGTCCAGACTTCCGTCCGAATCGACCTCCGTCTCCTCGATGCGCACGAGGGCGCCGCTTTCGTTCTGGAAGACGATGCAGATACGATGGTCGGCGGTGTAGCATGCGGACAGTCTACCCTTCCCGTGGACGTTGTACACAGAAAGCGCGCGGTCCTGTATCCACTCCTCCTCGTCCTCGTCGTACTGGAATGCTGCTAAGGTGGAGGCGGCTGTGATGCTGATGATGATGCGATCGTCGGCGTCGGCGAGAATGGCGGCAGATGAGTCTGGACGAACAGACGTGGCAATGATCTCTTCCTCCCCGAAGGAGTTGCCTGTCCAGAGCTTGGATACGAGGACACCGTCCTTGGTGGAGAGCAGATACGTGCTTTGTCCGTCAGGATGCGCGGCGTAGCCGGCAGCGAGCAAGCATCGGGTGAGATCTTGAAGTTGAGACATACTGGGACGTGTGCACTTCGCAGCTGCCGGTGAGTGTTAGGTGCGCAACCGACATTTATAGTTAGCATTGGGTGCCCCGCTCACTCCATTCCCTTCGGACTCGTTAGCTACTGGTCCGGAGCGTCTGACGGCGAGTCTGTTTTCATTCTTGCGTGGTGTTACTCCGGGGGCCGACGGACGCATGTGCGATAGTCGACTGTATGTCGGACACACAGCAGTACGCTGTTGCTGTATTGCGCGCATCCTCGAATGGAAAGATTCGAAGTCTTGGGATTTTCGTATCCAGTGTGTGAGGACGACATTGATCCGGCAGGCCAGCGCTTCAAGCTTCAAGCTGTATCGTGTATACATCGCGGAACCTATCGGTACTTCTCCTTGCACTCTTCTCCGCGGAGTCCTGCGTTCGGAAGCACGCCCCCTACAAGACATGCAGGACTTCACAACTCATGACTAACTAGTTGCGCAATCAGATTACGATAACATGGACATCGTTCATTTAGAACAATGCCTGTGGTACGTTACATGCTGGATGCATCGAGGTGATCATGAACTGACCTCTAGTGTTTCCCTGATAGGACCCTGATCACGGCGCCACAAGATATGGGACGCGCGTGTTTGCACTTTGAAATTGGGAAGCGTTCATATCGACGCGGTCAGTGGGTCGTGGGTTGTCGAGTTTCGTCATGAACGTCGACCAATGTCTCCTTTGGGATTAGTATGGGTCCAGGCACAGGTCGCCAGTGTACGCCTCTGCAGAGGAGAGGCCGAAGAATCTGCTCGTTCAGATCTTCTGCCAGCTATACGGTATGGGCGTTCCGCAACAATTTGTCATTTACCAAGGTCTGACCTTCTGTTTTCTCGAACTGGGTCCATAACGATCCGACGTAAGTAAGACGGTTCTGTAGGTGATCCGTTGACCGTGCAGTAGTCAAAGCAATTTTGCACGTAGATGGTGGGCCTGCGTGCCGATTTTCACTGGGTTTCCCAATATTACAAGTGACATGAGGTTCGACGAGCGTCCTGAAACGGTATGATTCGTGTCAGCATAATGAACTTTCCAACATTCCAACATCCTGTCCACAGTCATTCCCGTGTGGCTTGATCCTCACCTTGAGTGTCTGCATCCACGCTTGGCCCGCGCGCTATGAAGCCAAGAAGACTTCGACCATCGGCCACCATACAATTCACTGCGCCCACCAATGAGTCCGATACGCCTCAGGAATTTACCACACACTGCGCAGATGGCAACCCGACCGTGGTTACCTTTGCTGATAGGGCAAGCGGAACCGGGTGCGACGCGCACAGTACAGCGCTGTTTGCCAAATTGCCGTCAATAATCATATTATACCGACAATCTTCGCTTCCGGCATAGCCATAGTAGGTCGAGCCACGTAGTCCCATTAAAATCACGGCCCCCGTACGCACATAACGGACATTATGGTACACTGGGCTGGCTTAACACTGTACAGTTCGTCATGTGATTAGCTACTTACTTACCGTACCGTACGATCGCAATCTCGCGCAAGCGCTCGCCGCCTAGTTCACGTTCGCTGTCATCACGCGTGAACGTTTGAACGTTTGAACGTTCTCCTCCCACTCCTCGTCGTTCGGCCTACATCGGTTGTCACTTTCAGCACACAGTACTTCAGTCAGTACGTGGCATCTCAGATCTCAAGTCAGCAACATGCAACTGATGTTACGCCGGATATCTTCAACCTTGGCTCGCATTCAAAGTGACGAGTCGCATTACATACATACCAGCCTGATGCTATATTACAATTCTTACATCTGATCCAACCGACCGGGGCAACATAAAGATAATGAGTCGAAAGCCGCGACTTTCACGACGCTAAGTGCACACCAATTCAGAGGACTGGTGTATGTTTCACAATCGTCCACACGCAGAGCACATATGAGACGATGTGTGGGTAGTACTGCTGAGCATTACTACCACTAACGACGTGAAGAACATTGGAAGCAATCCAAAACGTAGTAATATTGGCAAATACAGCTCCTGCAAAGAACACCAGTGAGTCATCTTCATAGGGCGCAAGACATGGGTGACGTACCTTGTTTTTCGATCACAGCAGAACCGCAACGTGCGCGCAGTGCCTTCACGCAATGATGCAGGTCTGGGTGTTGGTGTTGGTGCTCGTGCTGGTCTGCGTGCTGGTATTGGTGTTGTTGGTGCTTGGGTCTGGGTCTGTGTCTGCTGTTGATGTTGGGTCTTGTGGTGGGTCCTCCTTCACCTTCGACACGAAGGTGCCATCGGCTTGAATGTCGCCGAGGACCACCTTCGCTCCGACAGCGGGGCACCGAACCACGGCATTCTCCTCCGTCAACCCGTACGCCTTGACGGCGGCCTTTGTGCCGCCAGTCGAGACGAAGAGCTGCTTGAGCGTGCCGACCAGTTTTTTCACAACGACGCTGTCCGCCCACTTCTCGGCCTCGTAGAGACCGTGGACGTACTGGTCTGCGCCGGAGACGTAGAAGACGTCGCCGCCGGGGTGGGAGAAGCTGAGCGCGGCGCCGACGAGCGGCTGCACAGCAGCCGCGAGCTTGGTGGTAGTCCACTCGCCGCCTGCGGCAGGCTTGGAGAGGTAGGTGAGTTCGCCTCCGGCACCCTGGACGACGACGCGCACGGTGCCCTGCCAAAGAGTGGCTGCGACCTTGCCGGAGGGGTGCACGGCGAGCGCGGGGAGCGTCTTGTCTTCGGTCCACTCCTCCTCTTCCTCGTCGTACTGGAAGACAGCGAGCTTCGAGCCGGAGGTGATGCCGATCACGAGGGGCTCGTCGGTGGGGATGTAGGCGGCAGTAGAGCCGGCGCGGACTGAGCTGGAGACGAGCTGCTCCTCGGTGAACGCCTCGCCAGTCCATAACTTGATGACGAGTTTGCCGCTGTCGGTGAAGAGGAGGTAGTGGCCCTTGCTGGGGCTGGCCGCCGCGCCGTTGGCGGAGAACCCGCGGGTGATGTCCTTGACTTGAGACATCATCACCGATAGTCGAACTGTTATGATGCGAAGAGAGGGCGAGTTGCTGTCGACCAAGCCTGCGTGGACCCCCTTTTACGTCCGGACATCCACCAGCTGTTGCAGACTGTCTTGGCGGATTGCCTTGCTGGACTGGAGAGCTATTTCCGAAGTCTTCAGCTGCGTCTATTATGGCTTCCACATGCTTGCGTTCTGGTCTTCTATAATTTTTTGACAGTCGCTGAATTCTCCAAATAGCATATGTGCGGACCATCGCGAGGACCACAAGCCCAGCTACCTTGAGCGCGACATCATCCCTCAAGTGCGGTGAATTTGACGGAGGAGCTGTTGACACTATCGCAGCGAAATGTAACTGGACACACCAAGACCAGCTGTTACTACGTCAACGCTAATTAAACCCGACTGTAGTGGCTTACATCCACCGTATCGGACCGTACCGGGCCAGTAGGCTTCCATTCATGTCACATTGCACCACTGTCTTGTTCGCCACAAAGGATCATTCAAAATCAAGCTTCGGACGTCACGCACACAGCCCTGCACGGCCATGAATGCAGAGAAAGAGTAAGCTCAATGCTCCGTTCTGCTGAGTGTCCTCTCATGGACTGACAGCCTCGGGAAGTTAGCGCTGAAGTGGATGTCAAACTTGCCGTCGATACCAACTGCCGTACAGCGCTCTTCTCCTATTCCGCTTGCCGCCCAAGGACAGAGCATGGTCGAAGCGCTGTTCGATGGCAATGGCAATGTGAACGCGGTGTTCCCTTGGGACGACAACAGCTCGGCGGTAATAGTCGCCTTGAAGCAGCTCCGCGCAGTCGACCGCAACGCATCGTTGGATTTGCAGAATGGTGAAAATCAGACGGCGCGTACGATCACTGAAAAGGTCGGTATTGAGCAGGATCTACTGCCAGCGAGTGAGAGGAAGGCGAACAGGAACAGCTTCGTCGACTATATCGTCTCGATGGTGTTGTTTTTGGTGTCATACATCAACATCGGGATGATCAAGTCGGATCCTGTGAAGGGCGCCGTCGGGAAGACACTCAAATTATCGAGCAAGCGCGACGTAGCTGACGCTAAGATATTGTACGCCTGACTCTAATGTTCTTATATGTGTCTGACCGATCTCGTCTATGCAAGGTGGTACTACGCCAAGGCAAGAGTCCTACAGACACAATGCAGTCGCAGAAGTGATTCAGCTTACGGGCTTCTAGGACATACTGTCGCCTCAAGCTGCGAAAGAGCTCGATGAGAAGTTCTACAAGGCGAACAGAACAGGTACATTCACTCATGCTTGAATATCGATGCATACAGCTGAACACGTGAATAGCCACAGAAGTACCCTGATCTCACGCCGGTCCCGGCATCGAGAGATCCCTGTGTGTATGCCAAGCACGAAGAACGTAACAGTATCAGGTCACTAGATTTACAAGCGATTGGAAAACAGAACATCGGGAACTTCGGTTTGTTTGTTTGTTTCGTCCCTTTAGGGTCACTGAGGGCGGAGCCCTATGTAGAGGGAACTTCGGTCACCGCCCTACTTCAATACCTCAAGCCACTCGGAGACGTGTGTACTTGGTAGCTGACAGGTGCGCACCCGACATTTTTACTTGGCAATGGGCACCCCTCACTTCGTTCTCATCTGGCTCAGTTAGCTACTGGTCCCCGGACCGTCTGACCACGAGTCTCTGCTCGTTCTTCCTTGCATCGTGTTAGTATCCCGGCGGCCGGCGGGCGCGTGTACGATAGGCGCTGTGTGGCTTGATCCTCGCCTTCAGTGTCTGCGTCCATGCTTGCCCCGCACACTGTGAAGCCAAGACGACTTCGACGATCGGCCACCATACGGTTCGCTGCGCACACCAATGAGTCCGATACCGCCTCGGAACTCACAACACACGCGTCAGATGGGAGAAGTCGCGACCACCAGATAGCATACACGTTGAGTAAGGCCCGTCAGGTACGATGCTGAATGCAAACTCTTGTAGCAGAGTGGCCACTTGAAGGAGGGCGCCGCCGCGGCGACGGTCCACATAAATGCCGAGCTTCCTGCCGTATGTGCCGCAACTTGTCCGAGCGGACCTGTCTCTCTAACTCTTGCGCGCGCAACGATGGCCACCAATCTACATGACCACGCTTACCGAGGGACTCTGACGGAGGAGCTCCTCCAACGGTTTCTAGCCGGCGCTGACCCGTCCTTTATCAACTCCATCGGCGGGGAGAAGAAACTGACGCCGCTCGCAGCAGCCTGCCTACGTGGGCATCTCGACGTCGTCCGGCTGCTACTGGAGAATCGCGCGGATGCGAATGCTGTATCTTCGAGGGAGCGTCCGCCGCTGTTCTACGTGACATCTCGCACAACGAATAACAGACTCGACATTGCCCGAGCCCTGCTGAACGCTGGGGCCGATGTCGACAAACGTTTCCCGAAGGACGAGAACGCAACCGCGCTCATGAACGCACTTACCGAAGTCCGTGACAAGGACTTGGTACACGAGCTGGTTGACCATGGCGCGTCTCTGAGCGCGAAGAATGACGGTGGGCAGTCTGTGAGGGACCTCGCCAAGGAGGTCGGCATGGACCAGGAGCTTTTGACCAAGCAGGAGCGAAACGCGACGCGCGGCGCGGTCATTGACCTCATCGTTGCCCTCGTCATGTTTGTGATCGCGTACGTGAACAGCGGGCTCATCAAGGACGTCGCATTCGGCACCATCAGCAAGTTGTACGAAGTATCCGGCGCGAAGGGTAAGAACTTAGTACAGGTACGCTCCTGTCTCACGCCTCCCTTCGCGTGTCTGACGTGCCTCTTTGATAGGACATGGCGAAGGTAACGTGAACCTGATACCTTCAGCCACTCTACGATATAACCCAACGGTGCAGGATGTTATCGGTGACGAAGCCGCAAAGAGATTCACGCAACGCTTGGAAGACCCCCCAACTACTCAGCCGGTATGAATGTATTGGGTACCTAATACTTGGATCTCTCATTCAAGTTGCTATGCAGGTCGCGCATACCGAGCAAGTACGTGACTCCAAGCCGAACCTCAACGTCAATACAGAGCCCAAGTCCGCTGTAGACACTGTATGCGAATGCACATTGCCTGTTTGGGATCACAACTAACGACAGCTCAGGCCGAGTATTGCATGGTGGAGCCTCCAATCTTGGAAAGGAAGCCGGCGGCACTATCAGACCGGACAAATCAACCGCAGGTATGCCACTCTACCCGCGTCTGTTGGTACCTTACGCTCACTCGTCACCGCAGCCTGCTCCGTCTGAGCCTAAACCTGCCCAACCAGAGGCTGAAAAGCCTTCTCAAACGACGACACAGGTACGACATTGGAGTAGCTTCTTTTGGATGCTCGTGACTGACTCGAACTACAAGCCTGAACCAGAGCTGATTTCCGTGGAAGACTTCAAGAACAGCCTGGGAGACTATGTCCGCGACACTGGTCTCGAGAAATTCTTTGCCCGGGACGATCCATTCATCCAGACTTTGGCGGTGAAAGCCGCTGCCCTCCGCGCGGACCAGACGACGCCGCTGAGTAAACCCGAGAACATCAAACGTCTCGTCACATTGTCCCTTTACCATCCCGTTATATTCTGCGACGACAGCGGCTCCATGAGCCTCGACAATCGTTTCGCGAAACAGAGGGCCCTCGTCGGTCGCATGGCAAGGATCGCTACGAAGATCGTGCCGGACGACTGTGGCGTAGACCTTCGCTTCATCAATGCACGAGTCATGGAACAGAACCTGTCCATGGACGGTTTGGACAGGATCCTGGCCCGGACGCAGCCTCGCGGTGGCACCAGGATCGGCAGCACGCTCCGCCGCGACATCCTCGTACCCCTCGTATACAGCAAGATCGACGCCGGATCACAGTTCAAGCGGCCGCTCCTCGTCTGTGCGATCACAGATGGCGACCCGAGCAGCGAGCCTGTGACCGCGTTCAAGGATGTCATTGTGGAATGCAGGCGTAGGCTTGTTGCCGAAGGCTACGAGCCAACGTCGGTGATGTTCTGCATCAGCCAGATCGGCAATGACCAGAAGGCAGCCGCATTCCTCTCTGGCTTGCGCGATGACGAGGAAATACGTGACGTGTTGTATTGCACGGCCGAGCGACTGGATGGTGCGTTTGACGAGATGAGGGCGAATGAGGGGAGACTGGAGGAGTGGTTGCTGAAGGTGCTGACGAAGCCAATCATGGAGAGGTACGAAGAGTGAGGTACCTACCCGATTCGCGATCGCAACTGCGTATGTTCAGCTACACCTACGTACAGTACTGACGCATACGCAATTGGTATCATCTCCGAGTTACTCACTTCCTTACGCAGAGTATCTGTTACTTAAATGGGGTCATACTACGCCGTCATAGTCGACCTTCCGTCAATCGTGTAGTCCTATATGTCACAGTGACTGATGCTACTAGTCCCGTTCACACTACACCACTGGCAGGCATGACATCCGAGAGTCACTCAAGTCGTTAATATCTATTTTACGGTGATCAACCGATCCTTGAGACAGAGCAATTCCGCAGTGCGAGATGACTCATGACTCAATATCAACGAAGCTTGAAAACAATTATCGAGTTTGTATATAAACACAGGTCACCAAGGTGTCAATGAAATGGGAGGATCACCGGGGGGCTTGCAGTAGTACTTATGTCGAGAGAAGTACCAGGTGCGCGTTCAGGGAACAGCGATCCTGAGGCCTCTCAGAGATGATATCAATATCGTGTGCGTCAGTACTGCACGTACGTGAAAGGAAACATATGCAGTTGCGAATCTTGCGATCGCGAAATGAGATAATGAGCAGGGTCCGTACCTCCCTCCTCGTGCCTCTCCAATGTCCATGATCAGCTTCGACAGCCACTCCGTCAATCTCGCCTCGTCTGCCCTCATTTCATCGAACGCATCATCCAACTTGAATCTCTCGGCCGTGCAATACAAAACGTCTCGGATCTCGTCGTTATGGCGCAAGCCGGACTCAGAGGAACGCAGACACCCGGGCCAGCGCCCCCTTTGCCACTCCACTACAAGAGTTTGCATTCGACATCGCACCTGAGGAGCCGCGCGCAATGTGTATACCATCTAGTGGTCGCGGCCTCTCCCATCTGAGGCGTATGTGGTCATTGGGCGTGGTGAACCATATAATTGCCGATTGTCGAAGTCTTGGCTTCGCAACGCGTGCCTGGCAGGGCGAGCGTGAATGCATACACTGAAGGTGAGGATCAAGCCACGCGGTAATGTCACGGTGGACAGGATGTTTGAGTGTTAGGAAAGAACTCCGGTTGCTATTGCTGACGCGGGTTATGCCGTCGTATTGCTGACAGAAGTACTGAATGCACAGACACTCCAGGTTCCCTTCTGCAGAGGCGTCCATTGGCGAACTATGCCTACACCCATAAAAGGAGACACTAGTTGACGGTGGTGACGAAATTTGACAATGTGGTACCGACTGACCATGCCGAGATTAACGCTTCCCAGTACTAAAGTGCAAAGACGCGCGTCCTATATCTTGTGGCGCCGCGATCAGGTCCTATCAGGGCAACACTAGAGGTCAGTTCATGAACACCTCGATGCATACATCATGCAACGAACCACAGGCATAGTTTTAAATGAACAACAGTGTCCATGTCGTAATCTGATTGCGCAAATGAGATGCCTGAGAGGTCTTCTAGTCTCATCAAGGATGGCCATGAGTTGTGAAGTCCTGCATGTCTTGCAGGGGGGCCTGCTTCAGGACGCAAGACCCCGCGGGGAAGAGTACAAAGAGAAATATCGATAGGTTCTGCGACGCATACTTGATAGTACAAGCGCTGGCCTGCCGAATCAATTGTCGTCCTCAATCAATGCGGGAATCCCGAGCCTTCGAATCTTCAAGCCATTCGATGACGCGCCGCAATACAACAGAATTGTACCGCTGTGTGTCCGACATGCAGTCGACTATCGCACACGCAATCAGTGTCGGCCGCCGGAGTGACACGACGCAAGTCGAATGAGTAGAGATTCGCCGTCTCCGGGCACCAGTAGCTAACGGAGTCCGAGGAGAATGGAGTGAGAGGGGTACCCATTGCTGAGTATAAATGCCGGGTGCGCACCTGTCACTCGCCAGCAGCTACCAAGTGCACACGTCTCAGCATGTCTCAACTTCAGGATCTCACCCGATGCTTGCTCGCTGCCGGCTATGCTGCGCGTCCCGACCGACAATATCTGCTCTACACCCAGGACGGCGTCCTCATATCCAAGCTCTGGACAGGCGACTCCTTCGGAGAGGAGGAACTCGTCGCCACGTCCGTCCGTCCAGACTCGTCTGCCGCCATTCTCGCCGACGCCGACGACCGCGTCATCATCGGCATCACAGCCTCCTCCACCTTAGCAGCATTCCAGTACGACGAGGACGAGGAGGAGTGGATACAGGACGGCGCGCTTTCTGCGTACAACGTCCACGAGAAGGGTAGACTGTCCGCATGCTACACCGCCGACCATCGCATCTGCATCGTCTTCCAGAACGGAAGCGGCGCCCTCGTGCACATCGAGGAGACGGAGGTTGATTCGGAGGGAAGCCTGGACGAAGGTACAGGATGGACAGCTACGGTGCTGAAGAAGGCGTCCGATCCGCTTCCGGGAACGCCCATCTCGACCGTTCTCGACGATAACGGCCTACACGTCTTCTACGTTTCCGCAGCGGACCAGCGCGTCCATCACCTCCACGGAGGTGAAACCTGGGCCGACGAGGAGATGTTCGATCAGACCTTGGGCCCGCTGCAAGGGCTCGTTGTGTCAACGAACAGGGAGAAAGGAAGGTTCGAGGCTTACGTCGTAACTGCAGACAAGGCTGTTCTGCAGGTCGAGGACGGAGGGGACAAACGGGAGTTGGGTAAGGTTGACGACAATGGGAAGTTGGTGCCGAGTACCACAGCAGAGTGCTTCTTTTTCTTCTACTATTTCTTCTACGCGTTTTAGGTTAGCGTCAGCGTACGCAAGAGGTGAAGAGGATCTGCTGATACTGAGATACGAGCGTAGATGAACGTAACATAGTTAGGTCATTTGAATTGCTTCGCACTTCGCTTTCGTTTCCATGTAAATCCATATACGCCAGATATGTTGACGAAGAACCCGTTCCCAACAACCGTGTCTGTACCTCTCTTGAAAGCCATCTATACGACACATTCTGTGGGCAACGTGGCGAATGTGAGGCTACCGGGCTTCACTCTGTCTGGTTGTTCACCCGTCCAGGAAGGGTGTTGCAAGTCATCAGGGACGTAAAACTTCCTAACCATCGTCGCGGCTGGTGTGCGAGAGGAGCAGATACGTGGCGGTCGAAGAGGGGTCTCCGACGGCGGGTCCCACATCCGGCTTAGAAGAGCCTCTGAAGGCCCTGGATCAGACGCAGCGCAGCCAGCGGCACAAGACCGGATGGGCACAATTGGCGAACGACCATCTGAGTCTCCCGCCGTGGTTTTGACCGCCTCTTGAGTTGCTCTTGAGGATACCAATATCAGCAGTATGCCGCGGGTTCCCATGTCAAAATCGCATCAGTGGGCATCGAATTGAGCATGCTGTTGCGGCCGGGACCTCGTTCCTAGGTGTTCCATTCGCTTGAGGGCATGATATCAACATATCGTGCTACCTCACAATTGCTGAGGTTGTGTCCGGCCTACCGCTGCTGTGTGGACGATGTTGTGAGCGCGAGCATGCGCGTAGTGTCATTGTCAATGAATAGTTGCTTGAGTTGAAGACGCACTATTAATTAGAGTGCGGTGTCAGGTCAAGCTTGCCGGATGCTTCCGGAAGCGGATTGCCCGGGGATATCAGATCGTCATCTGAATCTAAATCTAAATCTTCCACGGCGATCTCCAGGAATTGCCCCGAGTAAGTTGCCCCACTCAAGCGCTCACTCAGAGGAGGAAGATCGCCAGCCTGTCATGTCGCGCCGACGACAGCGGCTCTGAGTCTATGGCCGCAGACAACCGTTACATCAAGCAACGCGACCTCGTCGACAAATTATCATGCAAAGCAAGTTTGATCAGACATGGCTACAGCATTAGCAAACAAGAAATACACGCGAAAGTATCAGTCTACATCGCCAGTGCGTTCAAGCCGTCTTGACGCCACCCCAGGCAACGTTCCGGCCACCTGTACGAGGCGCAGCTGCCGACGGCTCAGGCCCGCCCTTTGCAGCCTGCGCGTTGGCCTTTTTTGGTGGAATGGGCAGAGGGCTGTTCCGGAGACCGTCGAACACTCGCTGCGAGTGCTCCGTGTTCCGGATGAACCACCCTGCATATTTTCTACCAAGCGTTGACTCGGCGATGTGCACCATGTTCTGTGACAAAGAATCAGCGTGTTGACAAAACTCATGAATGGGGGAACCGACCTCGTCGATCACGAAGTCAAGATCACTCGTCGACGTTATCTGGCCATCCAACAAGCCCTTCTCGTTCTCTGTGTCAACCCTGCTCACGCTCCTGCTCGCCTGCTTCATGATCATCAGCTGCTGGACCATCTCCTCCTCGTCCGCATCAAGGAAGTTCGCGAGCTTCGCTGCGCCAAGCGACGTATACAGCTTCAGGAAGCTGCGCAGCGTCGGCACGGGCGCCTGGGCGCGAACCTCGGAGAGGAAGAGCGCAAGATGCCGCTGCGCGGGCTCTATGGGCGGGTCCTCCAAGTACATCGCAAGCTGGTCACCCTCTTCGTACGGCGGCGGGTTTGCCGCGATGAACTTCGGGCAGGCATAGAGGAAGAGCTCCTCGCATGCGGGGAGACCCTCCTCGCTAACGTAAACGTGAGTCTGCGGACGGAGACAAGATGTCAAGTGGGACTGACCCTCGAGACATCTTGGTGAACTGCTCTCCGTATCGTTCCTTGACGATGTTCGAGATGTTGTCGTCAACTCGCATCGGCGAGAGAGCGCTGCAGATCGCGAGGAGCGCGTACATTCGATCCGCGGTCTTGTTGATCTGCGGTAGACTGTGAGCGAGAGTTGAGAAGAGTCGGGCAGGCGGCTTACTTGGTCGTACTGGTAACTGCGCGTATGGTATTGACGCATTCGCATAATGAAGTTCAGAATGTTGACGAACGTCCGGATGGCGTCGGGATACCGCCGGAGCATGATGTAGCAGAAGCCGACGTAGTAGAAGGTCGTGACATGGCAAGCAGTGACACGCATGAACGGAGACTGCAGAACAATGAATATTATACCCGTGGAGGGACTGACTATATGCGCACCTTCTGGCTAAGCTCGACATTTTCCATGACCTTGAGGGCGAGGGTGAAGTCGCCAAGGAGTGTGTGCACGCGCAGAAGCCCGATAATGCTGAAGTAGCCTAGCATGCGGTACAACGGGCGTACGCCATACTCCCCAACGATCTCGCTGCATGGACATCAGCAAGTCTCTCCGAACCCAAGCCTGAACAACGTACTCAATCTCCTCGGCAGACTTGCCCTCTTGCAGCGCAATGATGTGTTCGTGGATTTTCGACTTTTGAATGAGCGAGTACAGCACGTTGAGAACGCTATACGAGCTCCACACCTGGCTCTCGTCCGAGAGCAGGACGATCTCCTCGTCTGTCTTTGACTTCACTTTTGAACGCCAAACGCAGAACGACTGGTACTGATAGATGAACTCGTCGATGATGTCCCAGAGCCACTGCTCAGGAAGCTCGAGAGCTACAGGGCCATCCGAGTCTAGAGTACGCATGGTGAGAAGGACGTGAGATAGCCAATAAGCGTTTGCCGCTCACTCAGCAGGTAGTTGAACAGCTCGCAGCTGTTCTCGTAAGAGTGGAAGCGGTCGTCGATGTCGGGCTGTAGCCGCGAGTATACATGGCGGTAGTAGAGCTCGCGGTACAAGATAAGGAAGATCTGGTCTGTACGAGCATTTTAGCGTCAGCTTTCGCGGGATGAGATGCTGCCTCACCATCGTTCACCAACGGTGCGATCACCTCCGCCTCCGGCCACTCCGTCTTCGCGTAGAACTTCTCCGTTAATCGGTTCCACCCACTCTCGTACGCGACAGTAATCTCCGCAAGGTTGTTGTCGAGGACAGCTTGGTGGAAATGTACGATGAACTGCGAAACATTGGTACTCAGATGCGGGGCGTTTGGTGCACACTCACTCGCTTGACCACATCTGGCACTTGAGAGAAGGCAGCTTGCTGTGCCATTTGCTGCTGAACGGCCAAGAGTGTAGCCTCGTCAATCCGAGACTGGGCTGCAATGGTTTCAGCGTGGTTCTGTGGATCGACAAATTCTCGCTTACCATCCTCGTACATGCCATTTTGACCGTAGTTTCCGATAGCAAGATTCACATCAACGTCCTGAAGGTCCTCCTCAAGCTCCGTTTCCCAGATCGTTGTGCGTTGTTGAGACATTGTCGCCGCGGTGGAATGCAAATGGGAGAGTAGAAGCGGAAGAGAGAGGCACGCAGCAAATTGTGATCTCGATAAAGCCTGAATAAAGCCGATCACAGCGCGCCATAGCAATTCAATACAAAACTCTGTATTAACTTCCTTATTCCCTCACTTATCGCAACAATACCCAGCTCTTGAATAGACTGCAAATCTGCAACCACCTGCTAGTACTACCTCTGCTTCGTCCCCACCATCCCTCCCGCCATCGCGGACCAGTACAAGGGCTTGTTGCATATTCCACACTGTTTCTACGCCATCCCGGCATACATGCAACATGTGCGCGGTCTTGCGAAGACGCATCCTCAGCAGCGAGTGTGCTTCCAGCCAGTTCTCACTGTCCGGTGGCATCCACAGAACATGAAGGTCCTCGTATCCAAAGGGAGACGCAGAGCGGTCGCTTCAACACTTACAGCGACTGTGGATGATGAGACGCAGGAAGGGAGGGTTCCACGGAAGGTATGTGGCCCCACTGTGTCGTCTCGGTGAGGTTGCCTGAATATGCACGCTTTGAACAGGAGTTCAGTGATTCCCTGCTGAGCTGGAGGTTAGCCGTCCTACGCAAGCACGAAACCGCCGTCTCAAACCATCTATCGCGGACGCGAAGACGGCCAACCGGTCATAACTCAAGCCTGTACGCGCCCGAGTCGTCCAGCAGTGTCTCCCGTCGCACTGGAAGCTGTTCATTAGTTGCACCTCGTAGCTGCTCTCGGCATACGTATGCAACCAAGAGTGGCCGACGCTCCTACTCTACATCTGGGGCAACCGATGTGACGTCTAGCGTACCCATTGATACGTCTGCAATACTCGACTTCTTCAAGGCGTCTGCAGCACCCGGCAGCCGCATACCCTCAGCACCCGACGGAAGTGACGACAACTTCACCGTCAGTGCACTTCTGTTGATCATATACCGCATTCTGACAAGCATGAAGATTCCCAGAGTATCTACGAGGGTTCGGAAGGCCCGTGCAGATGCCGTGCGAAGAGTGAATGCAGTCATGCAGAAGTCGTTCGGGACACGATTTGAGGTTACTGTGTTCGGAAGTACTCTGTACGGTACGGACACTGCCGACAGCGATCTCGACCTTGTCATACTGGTATGTGATATTCATTATATGTGAACACCCTGCTTCATCAAGCGCTAGGATCAAAAGAGACCCAAAATGCTGTCACCAACTGACGATGAAGAGCTGCGTGGTTCGTCGCGCCACCTTCTCTTGTGAATAGTAGCTATATAATGTACGTTACCCAGGACCGTACAATCTCCAGTGAGTCGCTCGCTCGGTGTTGGTCACGCATAGTTTACTCATTTCTTTCAGAGCCGTTGCAGCTACACTCAGGAGGGCAAAGCGGCGATCAGTCCCCATGTTCACCAACATTGAAACCGTTGGCAAGGCCGTCGTCCCTATTGGTCAGCTCTTGATACGTCTCATACAATGCTGTAGACAGCGATTAACTATGTGGCTGCACAGTGAAGTTCAAGGACACGGCAACGAGGATATATTGTGACATGAATGTCAACGATCAGCTGGGTGTCCTGAACACTTCGCTCATCATGCGATATTGCATTCTTTCCCCACTTGTCCGTCCGATGATGTTCGTCATCAAATACTGGGCGAGACATCGCGGGCTGAATGAGCCAACGGGCCCGCAGCCGGCATTCAACAGTTATACGCTTGCTTTGATGACTATCGCCTTTCTCCAGGTAAGTAGCACAATGCGTATGGCTCCGAGCAGTCCTTGATCATCCACATAGATGCGTGGTTTGCTCCCAAACATTCAGAGCGGCCACGACGGCGAGTACCCCGACGAGGATAACTACGTCTGGTTTCGGAAGGTCACTCGTCTGACAGGGGAGATAACACATATGAAGTGCGACACCTTCGTTCGGCCTATGCGCGAGTTTAAGCCTGCCCGCGATACACCTTCCCTGAGACAAGCACTTGTCGAATGGTTCGAGTAGGTATTCTCGTATGGTATCGACCTTATAGGCTTCATTGACACGCATCTACAGCTATTGGGCATCTGAGCATGATTACAGTAAGACCGCCGTCAGTGTGCGTGACGGCGGAATGATCGCAAGGATGCACATTGTCACCCGTCATTCAAGCTGCCCAGTAACTGGCGACCACTTGCGTCCTCAAGCCCTAGACGAGATCGCTTGGGACGACGGCGATGTGCAGATGACTCGGCACCGGGAGGTTGCTACATCAAACGAACGGATGGCTTTCCTGCGGCCGCCGATGTGTGTGCACGATCCTTTCATCCGTTTGAAAGTGGGTGCTTCTCTGCACTGGTAGCCGCAGTATTGACTTCGTGGCCGGGTGTAGAACTTGACGGTGGCCGTCTCAAAGCAGAATGTCAACCAGTTCAAGGAAGGGTGTGCACAGGCCAGCAAGCTTCTGCAGGAAGGGTTGCCCATTCAGCTCCTTATGTCCAAACGCCTCGCGAAGTGTCCAGTCAATATCCCGACGCTCGAGCCCTCCGGCGGCATGTCATTGTAGTCATACCATAGGTTATTCGGCTTTACTGTTTTGAATGCAGACGACGAGAGCCTCTCGAATGGTTCCATCTACGTGCTTGGTCGTCGGCATGAACTTGCCGTTGAATCTCGTATGGTGGTCTTTGCTTTGCGAGCCCGCGCTATATGCTTGTGATCTGCTTTCGGACATGGAGGTCGTCGCGCGATCGTTGGGGTGGTACATCGCCTTGTATCGTCGCGGTCGAGCTCCGGTTAATTTCCGGTACAAGTGAGTGCATTGCTTCTAGGACATGTACCCATAGAATACTTAATGGGGTGATCTGTTTTTATAACAATGGTGATCACAATCAGTAAGTGTCGTGTTTGTTAGTTTGTGATCGAGATAAGCATCATCAGTATCAAAGTTGGTTGGTGAGGCTTGCGTTTCGCTACTTGCCACCTTTCCACCACTATGTCCATTTTCTACGACTCACTTCAAGAGGATGAAGTAGAGGAAGCATACAATATCGAGGCGGCAGGTAGACCCGCGTTCCAACTACAGAGGTCGGCCTTGTATCCACATACTGCCCTCTTGTAGGTTACCCACCCGACGAAGCGGCGAGCCTGGACGCTCTCAAGTGAGTGGAACGACCATGAGCACATTGCGGATAACCTATTCATTGTCAGGTATCGCCAGACCCATGTACCCGACCTCTTCCTAGGTGCATACATCGCCGGGGTGGGGATCGGGCGGAAACTCATCGGCTACGTCTGCGCGACTCTCTCGCCTGCATCGACGCTCTCGCACGAGTCCATGTCCACGCACATCCCTGGCGCGCCCTCTGTGTGCATTCACTCCGTCTGCGTCGCGCCCACACACCGGAAGCAGGGCATCGCGCTCGGGCTCCTCCAGGAGTACCTCGCCCGCCTGGAGCGCACAGGCACGTACGAGCGCGTGCTGCTCATCACACACGAGGAGCTGCGAGGGTTGTACGAGCGGGCGGGCTTCGAGTGGATCGGCCCGAGTCCGGTGACACACGGATCGCAGCCGTGGTTCGAGATGCAGCGCGAGCTTCGAGCCGCACCAGAGCCCTCTGCAGCAGAGCCCATCGCGCCTCCAAGCGTGCCTGCGGGGCTCTGGGAGGCTCTGCAGCGCTCAGCGACCGCACGCAATCGTCCTACAGGCCGTGCACTCGCCGCATTCCCCAACGGTGCGCAGGACCTCGTTGTTGACGATGGCCAAGGCGCTTTGCGGAACAAGAACGACCTCCTGTGTCCGCGGGAAGGGTGCGGCAGTGTGATACTGAAGAACGGCGTGGCCGCGCTGGTCGAACGGGCGAGCGTGCTCATGGAACCTCCAGAGCATACGGCGGCGAGCCTGCTGCCGCCGCTTCCTACGCCGCCGGGGACGGCGAATTGGTGGCTGGTCACGCCGAACGCGATGACGTTTGAGAACATTGGGTTCTCGAAGGGAGTTGTATCAGAAGGTACGTTTGTGATACCTCCACATATCACCCAAGTACTCAGTCGCCATTTCCAACTTTCAGGGAAGAGGCTAAAGCTGCTGAGCTGCGCAGATTGTGACCTCGGTCCATTAGGCTGGTGCGAAGAGGGCGGCAGCGAGTTCTGGCTCGCTTGCAGCCGCGTTAGCTACCGGGACTGAGGATGTAGCACGTCTGTTGCGAAGAAACCAAAATATGTAACAATTCCATGTGTTCCAGAGATATTACGCTAGCGTACAATACATAGGATAAGTGAGGTATGCACAGTTGAATGTCCTCGTATATGAAGCGGCGGGATATGCAAGCCGGAAGACGCGAGAAGCGTTCAGATGAGTGTTATGTCTTGAAGATGATGATGAGGATGAGTAGGATCAGGATCAGGAGCGCAATCATGACCGTTGAGCCTGACGGCCCGAATACTCAGTTCGTGCGGACTCGAATCACAACGTAAACACGCACTGTTATCCCTTGCACCCTTCGCCACCCTCTCGAGATTCCTCCTCGCGCCACTGAGCCTGCTTCCGGTATGGTCGAGCTCGTGGTCGAGCTCCTCTAGCAACCCCGTGTGCACGTCCAGCTCATCGTTGATCTGAAGTGAGAGGTCGCGCTGGCGGTTTATAGAGTGCGAGAGCCGGTCGAGATGCACGTCCTGGTCGCTCATCATTTGGTGCTGCATCTGTAGCATCTCCTCATTCGAGTAGGCCGCCTCGGGGTCGTCCGTGTACGGTGTGAACGGTTCGGTTTCGACGTCCGCATGGTCTTTCGTAGCACCACGCTGTGGTGACGGCGAGGGCGAAGAGGGTTTGGAATCGAGTGAAGACGTCGATGCCGATGTGCTAGCACTGCTCGCAGGCTCTTCCAGTCTGCCACAAACGTCAGTACACGGTTCGAGACACGGCTAAGGACACGAGCACGCACATCTCCACGCCAGCCGCTCCCCCCTCCGGCCCCAGCATACTCCGCATTCGTTCATACTGACTTCTCAGTAAACTCACTGCCTCCGACCGCCCCTCCTTCTCCTCCAGCGCGAGCACGCCCGCGCGCAGCTGCTGCATGTTCCGCGCAATCTGCGGTATGTGGAGCGCATTCGCGCTCGGGTTCGCCAGCGACTGTAACCGCTGCCGCTCGAGGAGCAGCGACAGAGTCTGCGTCGAGAGCGAAGTCAGTCGCGCTAGGGTCGCCATGGAGAGAGGGCGTCGAGAGAATGGGTGGGATGGGATGGCGAGCGGTGTGAGTTGGGATACAGTGACCCCCGGGCGCAGGCCGTGAAGTACGGACTTCCGAAAGAGGTAGGTCTTGCAGAACCTCGAAGAGAACTCTTGCGGAACTCAATTATATCAATGCGGTGCAAGGAACCATGGTCTCTGTCCTGCGCTCATCCTTCAAAACATGCGCATGAATGGTACAAGAATCAGCTACAGGAAAGGAGAACTCAAGGCTACACTGTGTAAGTCCATGCAGACATGCCAAGATCCGATACACAGGTGGACGGTCAAGCTAGAGGAGCAATTCAGAAACAAAATATGCAAAACGAAGCCCCTACAACACACAGCGCAAACTGTACTGACAACCTCGTCACATGAGTATGGCAACAAACAACGAAACGTCGGGATCACGGACACCAATCTATCGTACTATCGGACAGGAGGCTGACGAGGCCTCGGGAGCTTCCCTCATCTCATCTGCAGGCGAGGAGACACGCTCAACCAATCACGCTCGGATAGCTGACGCTCTCGCTGAGGTAGTCATTGCCCGGGTTGTACGTGAAGCCACGGAACTGGTCTTGCACGGTCTCGGACAGCGGCGTGTCATCGACGTGTGAGTCCTGCGCCTGCTCGCCGGTGAACTCAGAGTCGAAGTTCGCTGTGTCCAAGACGGACTCCTGCGCATCGACAATTTCGTCAGGGATGTGTATGATCCCAAGGCAACAGAAAACATACCACGCTTGGCTTGAACGGCGGCGTGATCTTCTTCGCCATAAGCCTTACAGACACGAGTCAGAACGCACAGAGTCATGAAGAGTAGCCAGGGCACCCACCTATTCCAGTCAATATGCTTCGAGAAGAACGGATGACGCTTAATGTCCTCCGCACCGTTCGCGCCAAGGCGTTTGTCGGGATTCCGCTGCAGCAGCGCGGTCATGATGCTCTTCGCGTCGTGGGGCATATCCGGCGGGAAAAGCAGCGGGTCTGAGAGAATGCGCTGGTACATCACGTTCACATTCTCGTCGTAGAAGGGCGGTAGACCAGTCTGTCAACAATCAGCACGCACACAAAGCAGTGCCTAGCGGAACAAAACCAACCATCATCTCGTAGAGGAGCACGCCAAGCGTCCACCAGTCCACGGTCTTGGTATATCCTTGGCTCTCGAGGAGCTCGGGCGCGATGTATTCGGGCGTACCGCAAAAGGCTAAGCTGAGCGCGTCAGGGGTAGGACACGGTTTTCCGTGCTAGACTCACTGTTCGTCTTCTCCGACTCGGACATATTGAGCTTGCAGAGACCGAAATCACATAGGGCGATGTGGCCTGTGTAGTCAAGCAAGATATTTTCGGGCTTCAAATCGCTATCCATGGTTTAGACGTTGGGATACTCTGGCAAACGAGACAGCCATACCGATAGACGACGTTGAAGCCGTGCAAGTGCTCAAGCGCGCAGAGCAGCTCGGCCGCGTAGAAGCGACTCCGACTCTCGTCGAATTTGCCCTCTCGCTGCAGATGGTAGAACAGCTCCCCACCATTCACTTCATCTCCGTCAGCACCTGCGCAGAACGTGAGGGGATGCACGACCCACCGAATGACATCACCAAATATAGCTTGTCCGGCGACTGGAACGAGAACTTGAGCGGGACGATGAATGGATTGTTCACAAGCGCCAAGACGGTGCGCTCTGCGAGAATGTGCGTGATCTCGCCTGGCCGCTGCGCGATATTAGCCTTACGGATGGTCTTGAGTGCGTATATACGTTGCGTGTCCTTCTTCCGGACCTGCATGACCTTCCCGAAGCTGCCCTTCCCAATGACCTTGAGCAGGTCAAACTGCTCAATCGTGAGCGACTCGTGCCGCGCAGGCTTGAAGTCGATTTTGAGGTGGAACGAGCCGTTTCCGGCCGTAGCACTGTACCACTGGTCTGCCGATCGCTGCAAGCAGTTGAGGTTACTGCTACGGGGGCAAGTCTTATGGCGCCTACCTGTCCGTCCAAAGAAGGCGAGAGGTCCACCCTCGCCATCAGCAGGTCGTTGCCCATGTCACCCTGGCCAGGCACGCACTGGGCGGTGCGCAGGTACGCAGACACAGCGATGTTGGACGTCCGTGACACGTCGCTGACAGAGATCATCTCCATCACGGAGGGCGCGCACAGCAGGCACGACGGCACTTACAAATCAGCCTTGTAATTCCACTGCGGGTTCGCGAGGTCTCCGCCGAGCGCGTCGATGAGCACCTCGTTCTTGTCGAACTCGAGCACGACGTAGGGCAGCCACCAGTACCGTCTCCGCTGCATGCTCTCCCGGTTGCTGCTCCGCGTCGGCGGCTGGGACGCGAGGGCCTTCTGGATGATGTCCGGCACTGGGACGTTGGACGGGAGGCTCAGTCCGCGGCCTGTACATTCGTCTGAGTAAGCCGAGGGAATTGTGAAGACTTTTCGTGGAGCGCACCTGAGAATATACGGATAGTGAGCAGTCCCTGCCGCAAGTTCGACTCTGACGCATCCGGCGGTTTGGGTGTGACCGTGCGCGAGGGTATGGGTGTAGCAGATCGGGAGATTACCCCGTTCTCCTTCATATCCTTGGGCTCTGCAGCACCTCGTTTAGCTGCAGGAGAAACAGCCAAGCACACAAACACGTACTCTTCGAGCTCAGTTTTGGCCAGGACATGGTCGCGACCGTCGATATCAGAGATGAGCGCTGCCGGCGACGATGCGGTAACGCTCTAAATAGCAGGCGCTCGCGGAGACCGCTGGTTGACTGTGAGAGCCGACCGTGATCTTATCGGTCTCGTCGATATCGCGACGGTGGAATGGTCTTTGAGAGACAAAAGACGGAAAGCAAGGGGCCGAGACGCACTACGTTCAGCGTGCAGGACATAGGGGTGGACCCGCGCACTCACCGGATGCCCGTCACGCGGTAAACCCTACTCGTTCCGACGCCGGAGTTGTGATTTCTAAGGTGAGGAGAAACAGCGATTTCTTACAAAACGGCAACGACGCGTCGCACTTGTCCGAGAGGATCTGGAGGAGGAGGAGGTACGTTTTCACGACGAGCCTTCCGTAGACACGGTGACGCAGTCACGTGTCAGCACCTACTAACTCAAGTATCATACAATGGCGCAGGCGGCGGGCGTGTTGTGGGGACGAACTCTCTGCATGCCACTTGATTCATAGACATAAATCACGGTCAGATTCTAGCGACATCCATTCTAACAGCGGACCCACTACAAATCCTCTACGAACGGAAGCCATACCCAAGTCCTGTCAACGAAGACAATAAACGGCTACATACGAAACGAAACTTGCAGACCAATAAGAATCAGTATGAAGGTACGCCTACCCTGGGTAACTTATGAGTCCTAGGCCCAGGCTCATTTCCAACAGCATTCGCCGTGTCGACGTCAGCGGACAAGGCATACACCCAGTTTACCAAGCATACGTCCACACCGGACGGAATACTGTAGATACAATGTCCCTAGGGGCAGTTTCCTTACCGTGTATGATCGCACTGTCTCGAACATTGACGATATATGTAAGCTACAATGTAAGTACAACATTCCGACTGTTTAACGCGGTGTCACCACGGCCCCGGAGTTAGCGCCGCGCCACAGTCACGGCCCTCTTACTCTCCTCGCCATGGAAGCATCGCTTGCCAACACTGTTGTTACATATGGCTATCACCTACTTTCATACAGCCAGAAGAATATACTTACCTCGTTTCAACTCACCAACACGTATCCGCGCTCACTTCTGCCATACCTTGGCAACAAAGTCCTCCATATCACCCAGTATAGCATCCGGCCTCTCCAACGCCGCGAAGTGCCCGCCATGCGTATGCTGCTTGTACCAGACAAGATCGCCTGTCGAGGTAATCCAGGCCTTCGGGACCGGCTCCAGCTCCTGAGGGAACCACGAGAAGCCAAAGGGCTTGTTGATGTGGTTCCCGGGCTGCGCGTGGAAGGTGATCTTGTCCGCGCGCGGGCCGAGGCCGCGGCGATAGGGATAGATAGACGTCGGGAAAGTGTCTGTCAGCCAGTAGAGGGAGACGGACTCGAGGATGGTTGTCGTGCTGGGGGGCTCGTCGGTCCAGGTGAGGAACTTCTCGCCGATCCTGTTGGGCGCTAGGGTAAGGATTTGAGCGGAACGCTATGAAGCACGAGACGTACCAGGCCAAGAGCGCGAGTGGGCTGGCTGAAAGAACGAGCCCGATCGTGGAGGGACGCGTCGCGTGCTCCAGGGAGTAGGCACTGCCGGCGGTGCGGAACGCATCACCGCGCTGCAGGGCCTTCAGCTCTAGTTCATCGATGTCCGAATCGGAGACGCCGTCGACCTTGGGTACGGGGCAGAAGTTGACTAGCAGGAAACCTCATAAGCGCATGTCTGTCGTAAGGGCCGGAGACACGTACGGTGCACCGCCTTGCAGGCATCGTACCTCGACGCCAGACTCCTGCAGATGTAGCTTCCTATGTCTCCGCCCTGCACTACGTATCCCGTCTCGCCGAACCCGAGCCCTTCCAGCAACCTGTGCATGAGGCGTGCCGAGTCGTGGGTCGTCCAGTCCTTGTCCTTGGGCGGACGGTCGGAGAACGCGAAGCCCGGGAGCGACGGCACTATGAAATGGTACGGGAGTTGGTCGGGAGTTTGGTACTTCTTCTTGAGTAGCTCAAACATGGGAAGGAACTCGAGGAAACTGCCCGGCCATCCGTGGAAGAAGGCAATGGGAACAGCGGAGGGGTTCGTGGAGAAAAGGGCGACGAAATGGATGTTGTATACACGGCCATCATCGTCACATACAGGAACAGTGAAGTTTGGGAAGGAGTTGATGTGCTGTTCGGTCGTGCGCCTGTGCATGGATTGTTCATTCAGGACGATTTCTTCGCCATGCACACAACATTCATGGGTTGGCGAAATCAACCTGCTAGACTCACCAGTCATACTTCTCCCACTCTGCCTTCGCGCTAACAAGCCACTTCCGCGAGATGCCAAAGTCATTCATGTCGCGGCTTTCCTGCAAGTTCTCCCATGTCTCAGGCCCGATGGGCGAGAGTGTGATGAGCTGCTTCATCTGTTGGAGCTTCTCCTCTGAAATCGACACCGTGTAATTGGACGGCCGAGTCTTTGCGCCCGCCGGGATGATACCGTATGAAGCCATGATCTCTGGGATCGAGAATGGCACGAAACGGTGAACGAAGGTAGTGGGTTCAATGAGACGATTGGACTGGAGATGATCGATCTAACTTACGGATGATGATGCCTCTGGGCGGAGGTACCCATGTGCGTCTTGTGTGCATCTGCGGTCATCCGATCCCCTTCGTCATATATGAGTCACGGCTACTAATAAGTAGACGACTAAGTTACATACGAAACGGAACTTCAGCCGGTTGAGTATGCAGACCAATAGGAATCAGTATAAAGGTGTACCTACCCTGTGTATGAGTCCTAGACCCAGGCTCATTTCCGGCATTCGTCGTGTCAGCGGACAAAGCCTACCTATACCCAATCTACCAAGCATACGTCTAAGTACACCAAACTGAGTATGTGAATCAGTTCAGCGAGCTGTGGAACCGACTCCTATCACCCGCCAGATGGCGTTGCCCACTACATCCACGCCGTCATTTCTGAGCGCGGCCCGCCTCTTCCCGTCCTCCGCGATGTCCGCGCCGATCACGCCCGTGCTCTGCCGTGCGTCCAGTATCTTCGTCACGATGCGGTCGGTGAACTCGGGGTGCCCCTGTACCGTGAATATCTGCACGTCCTCTGGCTTGGGGTCCGCCGGGTCCGCGGAGTCGCGCAGACGGACCATGCCTTGGTTCGGCGTGATGCTGGTCGAGCCGAGGAGATGGAAGGAGGGCGGGACGGAGGGGACGTGATCACGGTGCATTTGGTGAATGTTCTGCACGGCGCGACGTATAAGTCAGGGGCTCGGGCGGGTAGAGACAGCGCGTAGAACGTACCACACTGTCCGCACCAAAAAGCTTCTTGCCGATGTCGGTCAGCTGGAGCTCTGTGATGCTGATCTCCCAGTTGCTGTTGGGTACGCATTCACCGCCCAGTGCGCGAGCTATAATTTGGTGACCGAAGCAAATCCCTGAGGAAGCGGTGAACGTGAGTTCAGATCAACCGGGCGAAGTCACGAAATTATCGCAACGTCAATGCGGGTATACTTACCGATGAGCTTAATGTGCGGCTTGCTCGCCGCCACATCGCGAACGTAATCAACGAGCTTGTTGATCCACTCAAGGTTCTCGTACGCTGAGTGTTTTGATCCCGTCAGTATGATGGCTTGATAGTCGTCGATATTCTCGGGGTACTGAAGGGCTTCGCGAACGTCATACGGGTCGAGCGTGTACTCCCCCGCGTCTGCGGGAAGCGACTTGCGCAGAAGTGCGTTGAAGATCGAAGTGTAATCTCCGTCGGTGATCTGGACGGTGGCGATGGGTTCATCGCAGAGGAACAGCGCTATACGGACAGGCGATGAGGATGCCATAGTACGGTATCTGTCTGGCTTCCACCAGTGTGTGTCGCGGTAAGAGATCCTCTGTTACATTGATCTTCAGTTGAAAGCAGAAATGAGTAGGAGTCGGTATTACCTCCCTCGTAGTAGTGGTAGAGGTTGAGTGAGTCAGTGTCCGATAATATTCGATCTTCGCTCTGACGCGATATCACGTTCGCAAACATGCCGAACCATGACTGTCGGATTCATCTGAGCCCACAGCCATTGTGAATCGTTCGGAGTGTGATCTATGGGTTTTTGTTACTGCAAGGATTTGTTACGACTTGAGAGCTGCACAGTACTTACTCGAGGTCCGAGTCGTTATGCGATTTGGAAGTGGGTACTGGCGTGACGTGACGGACGCGGTGTTACAGTCTATACTGTTGTGACTGTACTTAAGTATCTGAAGCGAATGGTCACGCGTCTTACTACAGTTTCATAAGTATCATATGGATCATACAGTAATAAGCGCTCGTAGTCTGCCGAATACACTGTGACTTCGTTGATTCAGTTCAACTCGCTCGCAACTATTCTTCTGTCATTTTCACCATCACCGTTGTCAGGTCCATAAACATATCGGGAAGAGCACTGACATTTGCCTTCGAGTTCATCATGTCGAGGTGTTTCAAGTAAACGTCGACGTCAATGGCGAGGAAGCGACCTCAGAACCAAGACGATCCAGTGGACTGGTAAATCAGGTGCACTCCGGGCCAATTGAATATTGAGTGGTCACTGGTGATGGCTATCTCCCATTCGATTACTGAAGCTACTGAAGCGTCGCCTGCAGAATAAGCATCTCATTGAAACCACCACCTTCATCGAGTTTCTCGCGGTAGTCTCACCCCCGGATAGTCAGAAGCATGGCTCTGTTCGATACGGTCCCGACGGGCGCAAAGATTCAGCCATACAATTACACGGTATCGATTCCAGAGGAGAAGCTCCAGCAGATGAAGCAGCTCGTCACCCTGTCGCCCATCGGGCCTGCGACATGGGAGAACCTACAGGAGAGCCGCGACCTGAATGACTTTGGCATCTCGCGGAAGTGGCTTGATAACGCGAAGGCAGAGTGGGAGAAGTACGACTGGTGAGTCTTGAACTTATGAAGATGCGACTATGTATCTCCTTCGTGGCCATGCTATCGTCTTGACTGCGCATCCCATGTACAGGCGCGCCACCGAACAGCACATCAACTCCTTCCCGAACTTCACTCTCCCCGTGAAGGACGATGACGGCCGCGTTTACAGCATCCATTTTGTCGCCCTGTTCTCCACCAACCCTGCCGCTGTTCCTATCGCCTTCTTCCACGGCTGGCCCGGAAGCTTCCTCGAGTTCCTTCCCATGCTCGAGCTCCTCAAAAGGAAGTACCAAACTCCCGAGCAACTCCCATATCACTTCATAGTGCCGTCGCTCCCGGGCTTCGCGTTCTCCGACCGCCCGCCCAAGGACAAGGACTGGACGACCCACGACTCGGCACGCCTGATGCACAGGCTGCTGGAGGGGCTCGGGTTCGGCGAGACGGGATATGTAGTGCAGGGCGGAGACATAGGAAGCCTTATTTGCAGGAGTCTGGCGTCGAGGTATGAGGCCTGCAAAGCGGTGCACCGTATGTGTGTTTGGTTCTCACGACAGACCTGCGCTCACGAGGTGTCCTGCTAGTCAACTTTTGCCCCGCCCCCAAGCCCGACGGCGTCTCCAATTCGGACATCGATGAACTAGAGCTGAAGGCCCTGCAGCGCGGTGATGCGTTCCGCACCGCCGGCATTGCCTACGCCCTGGAGCACGCTACGCGCCCCTCCACGATCGGGCTCGTTCTTTCAGCCAGTCCAATCGCGCTTCTGGCCTGGTACGTCTCCTGCTTCATGGTATTCCGCTCAACTCCTTACCAGGGTGCCCAACAGGATCGGCGAGAAGTTCCTCACCTGGACCGACGAGCCCCCCAGCACGACAACCATTCTCGAATCCGTCTCCCTCTACTGGCTGACAGACACTTTCCCGACCTCCATCTACACGTATCGCCACGGACTCGGCCCGCGCGCGGACAAGATTTCCTTCCACGCCCAGCCGGAGAACCACATCAACAAGCCGTTTGGCTTCTCGTGGTTCCCGCAAGAGCTGATGCCGGTCCCGAAGGCCTGGATCGCCGTGACTGGTGATCTGGTCTGGTACAAGCAGCATACGCGCGGCGGCCACTTCGCAGCGTTGGAGAGGCCGGATGCTATATTGGGTGATATGGAAGACTTCGTGGCTAAGGTATGGCAGAATTGAGCGCGGCTACGTGTTGGTGAATTGAGGTAACTATGCTTCTGGCTGTATGAAAGTAGGTGATAGCTAATAAAACAGTGTTGGCAAACGATGCTGCCATGGCGAGGAGAGTAAGAAGGTGACTGTGTGGTGCGCCATCGCGCAAGTGCTCGCTCCGGGGTATCGTACTACTCGTCACTGCTACCGTCATATACCACCGCCCTCCTCCCCTCACGAAGGTCGTGTTTAGATTTTGCCTAGGGGAGACCAACTGTCTTATTCTCCTCCTGGTGAAACTGTGGTTTATCCTCACTGCTACAACTTCGGGGACACCGGTTCCTCGAAGTGTGTAGTGCGGAGCGGTGAGTTCTCTGGCAGTTTTGCGACTTCGCACGGTTCAACTAACGCGTGCAGTTGCCAGGGGAAATGCTCAAGCTGTCGAGACTCGAGCTACGCAGTGACTCGCAGATTGTGCATGTTCAATTACGCCGGTACAACTAGGACTGCAATGAGTTCTGGCTCTCTTTCTGCCGTGGAGTCAGCTCCCCGAATGAGGAGAATAAGGAACCATCGTATGTCCAATGGACTCCTGAGGGTGCAGAGGTAACCTTCATGTCGAAGAATACATCACGTCTGGTGCTGAACTGATGTAGGATCAGTCGGAAGACGTCCACCACCCGCGACTGATGCGTTTGTTGACACTCGTCTGCCAGCAGCGACGAAGAACTGGTGGATTTGTCCCAAGTCAATAATCGACTGACTTCCGGACAAGCGCAGTCCAGACATTCACATTTGTGACAAACCACCTGCACAAATCTGGCTTGATAGGAACCTCAAGGGGCCGTCAAGGTCGCGATGTTCACATATGGTTCGTGCCTTCCCGGCCTCACCCTACTCCTATTGCTGATGATTTTCCACTGCACAGTGCACTGTTGGTAGGTCTAGAACGCCACAGCACTCAGAGGGATGCTCGATATGCAGACCGGTTACTACTGTTATCTGTACCGGTGGCCACTTCGACGCGTCTGGACTGCCAAGTTCCAAGTGCCTGTCCCTACAATCCCTTAGACTCGATAGGGCAGCGTTCTACCTGCGGAACGACGGAGGGCAAATCTCGATGCCGGTGGGCGGGAGAACGGATGGGAGATTCGAAGTTCGATTGCACGGATCGCGCCCCGCTTACCCCTGATCACTGGAAGCGCCTGCCCCGCACTGACTGCTAGCGCCAGCCACCGCCACCTGCCAGTGTGCGCGCTTTATGGCCGCCAACATTGTTGCGATGTACGACATGTATTGACTGGCAACGGAATCCCTGGTCCAAACCGTCCGCAACTCTGCCCCATTTGTGACACTGCTTTTCTTCTCGAAGATGTCCCGGCCAGCCACTCATCATTGCAGCCGCTACGCGGATGGGTGAACCATGACCTTATCAACGACGTCTGTGTCCTCGAGATAAGTCAGCGCCATAGCCAACGGAGGTGGACACACGGGCTTCCGATAGGGCGAAGAAGGCCCTGAAGACCGGAAGGCGCTGGGGTGTTGATGGATCGGAAGCTCTGGTATAAAATCTCGAAGTTCTGAGTTCATGGCTTTTCGCCAGCCCCGCTTCGACTTCTTCGCTGGAGTCGCGAGTCCACCTAGCATTTGAGCTGCCTGATACGACCTAAAGACGCGCTAGCTTCTTCTCAACTGACGCAGTCATGTCGAGCAGTCCAGTGCTTCCTCAAGGCGCGGGCTACGGTGTCGGTGAGTGGTCATCTTCGTGTTGTTGATGAACGCCGTGTGCTGATGCGACGACTTGAAGTGGTCGGAATCGGCCTGTTTTTCAGCGTCTTCATGGTTGGATTGACGGCTATCCAAACTCGATACACCGGGTTCTCCCCAAAGAACTCAGAAGAGTTCAACAGCGCTTCCAGGAGCGTTAAGCCTGGCTTGATCGCCTCGGGTATCGTATCTGCATGGACATGGGCCGCGACGTTGGTAAGGCAGCAATAGCCCACTGCTCGGTCAATAAACTGACATATGATTGACTTCTAGCTGCAATCGAGTGCTGTTGCCTACCAGTACGGTATCTCCGGCCCATGGTGGTATGGCGCAGGTGCCACGGTCCAGATCCTGCTCTTTGCACAGGTGGGTCGTGTGACGAGTCTCTGAGTTGGTTGGCGAGTCGGGAACTGACGACTGCGTCTAGCTTGCGGCGAAGCTGAAATTGAACGCCCCTCACGCACACACATGGCTCGAGATCGTTTACGCTCGTTGGGGCAGGACCGCCCACCTTGTCTTCATGTTCTTCGGTCTGGCGACGAACATAATCGTCTCGTCCATGCTTATCCTCGGTGGCTCTGCTACTGTGACCTCGCTCACGGGCATGAACACACTTGCGGTACGTTCATCGACTTGAGGTTGTTACCCAATACTGACCAGACAACCTCCAGGCCTGTTTCCTGATCCCCATTGGTGTTGCTATCTACGTGGTGGTCGGCGGTATGCGCGCGACGCTCCTCTGCGACTACACGCACACCACCGTGCTCTTCGCCATCATCTTCGTCTTCGTGTTCACAGTTTACACGACCTCGGACAAAATCGGCTCCTTCTCGGCCATGCACTCTCTGCTCGCAAAGGCCGCCGAAGAGGCACCCGTTGCGGGCAACGCACACGGGTCTTACCTGACCATGCGCAGCAAGAACGGCCTGATCTTCGGCGTGATCAACGTCATTGGTAACTTCGCGACCGTCTTCCAGGACCAGGCGTACTGGCAGCGCGCGATCGCGAGCCGACCTGCGACTTGCGTGAAGGCGTACCTGCTTGGTGGTCTTGCCTGGTCAGTCTCTGCCCACATCGCATGCTTCTAGTGGCTAACACATAGACCCCATAGGTTTGCGATTCCGTTTATGTTCGCGACGACTCTCGGTCTCTCCGCGGTCGCGCTCAAGGGCGACCCGGACATGATAAACCTGACCGCGGCAGACATCGGCGCAGGTCTTCCTGCATCTGCGGCGGCGTCTGCGCTCCTGGGCAAGTCTGGTGCCGCGGCGCTGCTCATCGTTCTCTTCTTGGCCGTCACGTCTGCGACCTCTGCGGAGCTCATTGCTGTCTCTGCCGTCTTGACGTACGATGTCTACAAGAGATACATCAACCCACAGGCGACGGAGACTCAGATTCTGCGTGTCTCGCATGCGATGGTTCGTCGCAGTTTTGGATTGCTTTGTCATTGGTTATTGATCTGGAAAATAGGTTGTGTTCTTCGCCATTGTCATGGGCGTCCTTGGCTTGATCTTCTACTACATCGGGATCTCCATGGGCTGGCTGTACGACTTCATGGGCGTCGTCTTGGGCTCTGCCGTCGTCCCCATCGCGTGCTGCATCACCTGGCGCAAGGCGAACAAGTGGGGCTGTATCGCAGGTGCTGTCATCGGCTTCTGCTGCGGTGTCATCGCGTGGCTCGTCTCGACCGCGACGCTCAACGACGGAGTCATTAACGTCACGGTGAGTTACACCCCTTCACCATTCCAGGGACGATCATGTTCTGACGCTATACCACAGACGACCTTTGGTAACTACGAGATGTTGTCGGGCAACCTCGCCTCGATCGGAATGGGCGGCATCATTGCGGTGTCGACGTCGCTCATCTGGCCCGATGACTTCAATTTCGAGGCCACCCGCGCGATCAACACGCCCTCACATGTTCCGTCGGAGAAGGATGGTGTCGGGCGCGAGTCGGAGGAATACGTGGACGAGAAGAAGCGCGTCGCCAGCGAGGTGTCGACCGAGCCTGTCGTGAACTCGACGGAGGCAGCGATGGTGGAGGAGGAGAAAGAGCTTGACCCTAACGCGCTCAAAAAGGCGTTTAGGCTTGCGGCGTGGTCGTCTGTTGCCCTCGTCAGTAGCTCTTCTTCTCTGTTTCATGTTACCGATGCTGACTATTTGACGCCTGCAGACGCTGATCATGTTGATCATTATACCCCTCCCACTCTTCTTCGCTCAGACCGTATACGGCGTAAGGGGTCTCACAGCGTGGGTCGTCATCGGGATGATATGGGCTTTCTGCTCTGCCATCTCCGTCGTGGTGTACCCGCTCTATGAGTCGCGTGCAGCTCTGGGCCTGATCATTAGAGGAATGACAAAGGTTAGTGATAACACACTTCCTTGATTTTATGAGCTCACCATGCGTGCAGGATACGTTCATGAGAGGAAGCGGGAAGTTCGTGCACCCAACAACGACGACTCCCGATGCATGAACTGACACGGATGTTGATGCGAGATGTATTACCTTATTATGTCACTTACGTTCGTACTGTATAGACTTATAGAGAGGCTTTCAATGTAGAGGAGCTGAGGTATAAACATCAAACACGAGCGACGTGTGCAGTGAGGAGACTCAAGATCAGAGCGTCCAATGAACCAGAGTTGGAAGATCGCATCACGTGGTCGCGTTTCGGCGGCAATGCCCGAGACATGGAAACCGTAGGAAACGAGCGTCGAGGACTCGTCCTGGATTCGGCGTCGTCGTCCAGCGTCGTCCTTTGACTTCTCCGTTCACTCACCAATGACTTGCTGACGAAAACCAGACTACAAGCAAGCCCAGGATTGCCAACCAGTCGACGACAGAGCATTGAAACTGGGCACGGCGGTACGTATCTTCTTGCAACTGTAGAAAAGACGGCACAGTACTGGTCGAGTTAGAACTGCCAAGTCATGCGACCGTTCTTACAAATTGCAGATTCTCTGGGAGGCCAAAATCACTCCCGGTTTGCATTTAGACCTGTAATTTGTCGCCTTTTCAAGCGCATGTAAGGCGCATATCGTCACTCTAAACGGCGCTCCAGTCCAGAGCAGTATTGTTTGGACTCTACGGCGACTCGACCCAGACATGTCGTGCTCCCATCACATTCTCTTCTATTGAACGCTGCCTCCGCAGGCCTTAGCCTTTGCTCCAGACTCCTGCCTCAACCCTACAGGCCTCACCGCTCGTCGCTCCATGATGCCGCGATGCACACCGTTACACCCCCGGCGCCTGAAATCTATGCGGTACTCGACGCCGGACCTGTGTACTTACCAAGCCCCTCTCACACCGTACCCGCCGTTCGCCAGGAACTCACAAATCCAATGACTCAGCTCCCTCGCTTCAGCGGCCACAGCGGGAAATGATACGCTCGTTCATGCTAGACATCCTCAGGATACCCGGTTTCGAGCTGCCGCCATGATCGCCTAACCCGATATATTCACCATTCGATGGCGGAAACCGCGCTCGTTACTCCAAACGCTATTCTTGCAGCAGCTGCTCACTGATGCGAACCACCTTGGTCCACGCAGTCGAAGCGCCATTGGGAGGCTGACCACCCAGTTATATCGCAACATCTACAACGCATGACTCACCGAAGGCCTATAAATGAAGAGCATCAGGTTCAGCGAAAACCCAAGTTGTGCATTGACGATCATGTCCGCCATCAAGCCACCTTTCACCGCGGAGACAGCCCTTCAGAAGGTCAAGGTTGCGCAACGCCTCTGGAACACGCGTGACCCTCAGCGCGTCTCGCAGGCGTACACGGTCAGTAGATTCCTGAGTGCAGTCGTTCATGGCTGATCTTTTCATCGATGAAGCCGGACACCATCTGGAGGAACCGCGACCAATTCATGAGGGGCAGGGAAGAGGTGATCCAATTCCTGGCCAAAAAGTGGGAGAAGGAGAATGGCTACCGACTCAGGAAGGAGCTATTCGCCTTTACCGATAATAAGATCGCGGTGCAGGTAAGTGCATAGCCAGATCGAGGTACAAGGCGACGTAAAGTGACATCACTTTGGCAGTTCTTCTACGAGTGGTTTGAGCTCAAGGCCGACGGCTCTAAACAGTGGTATAGATGCTACGGTCTCGAGGTATGAATCGGCGACACGGTTCTGTCAAATTGCGAGCTAACTCGATATTGCCCCTTCAATAATAGGATTGGACGTTTAACGATGACGGGCTCATGCGCAAACGTCAGATGAGCGGGAACGACGTGCCGATTACTGAAGAAGAGCGCTGGTTCAAGGAGGACGTTGCTGATGAGGACTCTGTCGAGATCTATGAGAAGCATTTGTAACTTGTTGTATCCGAGCTGAATGCAACACTAACACGATCCCAGACAGCTATCCCGGCAGGTCAGCGTTCCTTCTTGGCTCGAGACGGAGAAGATTGCAGTTAGGCTTCAACGCGCCCCAACAGCCGACGTCGGCCCTCCGCGTAAGAAGCATCAGCCCAGGGTCAAGATCACTCTCATGTCCGCGACATGTCCGCTCTTACCAAGGTCCTGCGGCGGCTCGCTTGTTTCCCGATTACGAGTTTTTAGTGATCTCGGAACAGCCTAGTGGCGGCACGCCGGATCACATTAAACCACGATGTGGGAGTCCCTCGGACTCCCTCAAAGTGCAAGGATCGACATGACGTGAGCTGTGTTCAACAACCGTCGCGGCCGCAATTTCGCTATGGCTAGGTCGTTGGCGGGGTTTATTCGCTTCTTGCCGACGTTGTTCTTCGCGCCCTAGACTATGCCAGATCGCGCAAGAAGGTGATTGCTGGATTGGGACGTTCCTTTCACGTTAAGCTTTGGACCACGTGCGAGGGATGCACGCCATTCTGATGGCAACCTTCTTGGACTTCGCTGTCAGGAAAATGCGGCCGCGAAGTATCTGTGTGAGCGAATTCTCTCACCACAATCTGGCAGGTTCCCTCTCAAATCCGCATTGTCAAGGCCGGATGCGTCGTGTCTGCTCTGCGGGGGATTCGCCCAAGTTGCCATGGCGTTCGCCGCACGCTCGCCTCCGGGACGTAGCCGCGGCGTCGCGGTCAAGGTACGCCAGTCTGCTTCAATGTAGTAGCGTTTCGCGCAGGGTGACGTTGACGCCCATATACGCAAACGCACGCCGTTGCCGAAGACGTACAACGCGACCCGACTCCGGAAGGCTGGACGCCCATGCTAGTATAAAGCCCCGTGGGCGTCGCCACCTGGCCTATAACATATCCGGCCTTCTTCCCGTGGCATCTCCCAGCGTCCATGCACGTCTGTATTGGCGTCTGCTGGAAGCTCTGATTCATAGCCCGCACCTATCAGCCCGAACCCGATCCACTCATTCGTTCACGCCCCATACCCACCTGGGATAAGCGCATCCCGGCCTCTTGTCGTGTCGTGATCGGCCGCCTGGAATTTCATCCGTCGACCTGATCCATATATACCGCGACCTCTCGTCCGCTCGTCTTCTATCCCAGCACACACTCTTTCGATAACTTAACTATCTAACCATGGGCGTTATCACCTTTGCCTTCGTACTGGCAGCAATCTACCTCGTCTGGTCGCACCTCAGCAAGCCCCGTCGTGCTCTACCTCCCGGACCTAAACCGCTTCCCCTTGTCGGGAATATCACCGATTTGACTGCTCACGAACTCTGGTTGCGCGCGCAACAGTGGGCAAAACAGTACGGTGAGTAACTGTGCAGCTCTTCTTGCTCGCAGCGGTGTCAGAAAGACACGCGGAGGCGTGTAAAGCGTGTCCGACATACCCGGGCCCTGTGTAATGCAGTGGCGAGAGTTCGGGGCATGCAGGTTCCTGGTTAGTGTTTCAGGTCTTTAACCGAGTGGACCCTCGGTGTCCAGTGCATGCCGGCGGGGAGCTGACATATCTTCATCCTCGTGCTGAATTTGACCTCACGGCGACTTACCAATTTGTCCACCTTGTAGGTGACCTCACCTATCTCCATGTGTTCGGACAAGGTCTCGTCTTCATCAACAAGTATGAAATAGCCGTTGAGCTGCTGGAAAAGCGAGGCGCCGTCTATTCCGACAAGCCAGGCCTCGTCATGGCCGGAGATCTGTGCGTACTACATCCGTGCCCGGTGAAGCGAAATGAGTTGGCTCATGATTAAACCATCAATCGCAGATGTGGCTGCGAGAACATGGTACGTCCCGCCGCATGATCGGGCAGCAGGCGGGACTGTCGATCTAACTTGAGCGCGCGCGATATAGGTCGCGTTTACCCGTTATGGCGACAAATCGCGCCGCCAACGCAAGCTAATGAATATGGCGCTCGGCGTGAACAGCGTCAAACAATACAACCCCCTGCTTGAGGTCGAGGCGCATGACCTGCTTAGGCGGCTACTTCAGAACCCCGCGGACTACGTCGCAAATCTCAAGCGGTACGTTCTCGTCCCTCACGTATGGGCCTTTGCCACATTCACTTACTCGGGACTGTCTTTTCAAGATATGCTGGTGGGCTGACATTGTCCGCGGTCTACGGGTACCAGGCGCGATCTAACGACGACGAGTTCCTCGGTCTCGCCGACGAATGCGTTGACATCTTGTCGAACCATATCGCGTCTGGTGGTGGCATCTGGCCAGTCGACGTTATCCCTGCTTGTACGTGCCCTGCTGACCGGGGGCGAGTGAACCTTCCTGACGCACAAATGTTTCAGTACAAAAGCTGCCTGACTGGGCGCCCGGCGCAGGTTTCAAGCGCAAGGCAGCGGTATGGAAGGCAAAGATGGAAGAGTTCGTCGAGAAGCCTTACGCCTATGTCAAGGAGCGAATGGTATGTTCTCTTTGTGCATGACAGATGGAGCGAACTGATCGGTTGTGGTAGCGAGATGGGAGCGCCCTTCCGTGCTTCTGCACAACATTGCTCGAAGAGCTCCAGGAGCGCTGCAGCGAGGAGAAGAAGGAGGCTGAACAGATCGATCCTCAGCGCGATTTCGACATTCGGTGGACCGCGAACTCTATGTACTCGGCCAGCATTGACAGCGTAAGCACCATCTCTTCTCGGATCTAACGATCTGCTCATATTCCCGTAGACTATGACCACTGTCTCTCACTTTATCCTCGCCATGATGCTTCACCCCGAAGTCCTCGCGAAGGTACAGGAGGAAATGGACACCATTGTCGGCTCTGGACGTCTTCCAACCTTTAGCGATCGTGCATCATTGCCATACCTCGAAGCTGTCATGAGTGAGACGCTCCGCTGGGGTGTGCCCGTCCCCCTGGCGCTTCCGCACCGTTTGATGGAAGATGATTTCTTCAACGGCTACCACATACCCAAGGGCACGATCGTGTTCGGCAACGTGTGGTGAGTCTTCGCAGCGGGCTGTGGTTGTGAGAGTCCGTCTAAACGTGCCTTCTCAGGAACATGGTCCGTGACCCTGCGGTATACCCTGAACCCGAAGCGTTCCTCCCTGAACGCTTCTTGGAGCCCGCCGACGAGCTCACCGCGAAACGCCGTGACCCGCGCAACTACGTCTTTGGCTTCGGCCGCAGACGGTGCCCTGGCCTGCACCTCATCGAGCAGTCCCTCTGGATTGTGATGGCGTGTATGGTCGCAACTCTAGATATCTCAAAAGCTATCGATGACAATGGAAACGTCATCGAGCCGACCGTCGTCTTTGACAACTCTGTCTTCAGGTGAGCGATGATGTATTGGCAGACAGATTGTGTATACAGTACTGAGAGTCTTCGGCGAACAGGACACCCGCGCCCTTCAAATGCGATATCCGCCCGAGGTCGGAGCAGTCGTTGAAGATCATCCGTCAGGTCACGGAAGGCTCGGCCTGATTTCTCACTTTCTAGCTCATAGTTGCTGGTACACTGAAAGTGCATACTGTAGTAATAGTTATTCGCGCACATCTGTTTTGCATCGCACATTCTACTCCAATTGGGCTTTGGTTGCATCTCCTATCCTCAACGATTTGACTGACATGTTCCATCAACATCGCCATACAGCATTGGTACTCAGCGGATTTGAGAGGTACATGCCAAGCGAGTCAACCTCATTGTGCAGTAGGTGACACCCGATGGCCTACGCGCTGTATCACTGCCAATTCAGAAGGTGATAGACTTGGTGCATACTGTCATCGAATGCTCTATGGGTATCGGCCTGCAATGCAGTATATTCACCTCGTAAGTCAATCCATACCGTCAGCTCGCTAGTATAGGGTATCTCTTGGGGTTCCAATCTTCGGACTCTGGCGAGATTACTTACTGCATGCTGAGTTCGACATGTCTACATGAGCGGGTCCTGGAGCCCAAGTGTATCCAGCAGGTACATCCGGTGTTCCTCCGGGGTTCATCCTTCGAGTCCCCGCGGAGATACAGGCCACCAGTAAGTAATTCAAACAGGGCGACCATGAGCGCATCCTGTCAAAGGTCCGTATATGTGCCAGCAGTCAGACTGACAGTAATAGAGAACAATACACAAGAGCAGACAGAGCGCGACGGTAGTAAAACACGGTATAGATAATACATCTTACATGCGCACACCGACCATCAGCTCGGAAACACCACTTCTTACTTACACAAACAACTGGGCAAACTTCTCCTTGTTCACATTTCCATCTCCATCTCCATCCCGTCCCATTCCTCCTCGATCTTCTCTCCGACGCTCGTTGCACGTAAGCTCGACTGCCGCTTGATGCTCCGCGCGGAGAAGCCGTACGCGTAGTCCCCGTCCACACTCTCCACGTCCACGAAGTCGCTCTCGGAGACGGACCCGCTGCGCGAGCGAGAGCTGGAGCGGATGGACGAGCGCGGGAGCGACCAACCGCCCATACCGTCCGAGGGCTCATACGAATGACCAAGTGCGGAGGCGGACGCCGAGGACGAGCGGAAGGACGACTGCGCAAAGCCGGTGGATACAGGCGAGCTCCACGCGTCTGAGGCGGACGCGCGGCTCACGAAGCTGTATCCAAGCGGGTCGCGCTCGCGGTACGCACCATGACCCTGCGATGGCAAAGTGATCGGCACCGCAGCGGATCGCTCGACGCTGTACGTAGGGCTGTCCGTGCGCGGCGGGGCTGGGCTCTCGGCGCCAGTGGGCACGCCGAGCACGCCGGGGCGCAGCTGGGTGAGGCCGCCCGCGACGGCGACGTCGTAATCATGCATACGTGGGCCGGAGCGCGCAAAGGACGAGAGCACGGGCACCGACGGGGCTGGTACAGAGCTTGATACGGGGAACGGCGCGGGCTGCTCGAGGGAGAACGAAGGCGGACTGGGCTTGGTCGAGACGCCCATCGCCTTAGCGTTCTCAGCGCTTGGCGGCGGGACGAGGCCACCTGATAGGTAGGAAGGCCACAGTGCACGGTCATCGGGAAGGGACGTTCCCCCTCTGGCCGACGGGGCGATGTGCGAGAGAATGGCAGCTGCCTGTAGAAGGAAGCAGTGCATATTCGGTATTAGGCGCTCGTGGGAATGAGTCAACACCACGCACCTCGAGCAGCTGCACCTGCTGGTGCTTGCTCAGGAGGAACTTGGACGCCTCGCGCCAGTGCGGCGAGTGCTCCCAGCGGTGCTTGATGAGACATGACGGGTGCCGGTAGACCTTGGAGCAGCTCTCGCACTTGAAGATCGTACCGCGCTTCTTCCCTGTACCCTTGCCAGCGGTGACGCTAATTCCACCGCCGAGGTCTGCCTCCTCCCGCTTCGTGTCATGTGGAGGTGCAGACGCGGACTCGATCTCGCCAGCTGCAGATACGTAGGTGGTCGATGCCTGGGGCGGCGGCGTTCCGGATAGCGAGAGCTTCGCGAGAGAAGTGAGCGCGGCCGCGGCCGTGGAGATAGTGACAGGTCTGTAAACAAGAGTATATGTCTTCGGCGAGCTCAGATGATACGTGTAACGCACGAAGGTCGGCTCGCTGCCTCCCGCGCGTCGCTCAATCTCCTCCGTGCCTGGCCGCTGGACGAGAGCCTGCGATTCTTGTGAGGTGGGTGGACTTTCGCCCCGACACCCAGACTGCTAGGTCCGGTGCTGCTGAGGCTGCGAGTACCGTAGCTGCTCGGTGCTATAGGGGCGGCCGCTTCTCGGGTAGCATCCTGCTGAACGGGGATGGGTGCCGCGCTGGCCGCGACCGCGGACAGCGAGAACAGGCCATCTAAGCCACCCTGTCGATGTGCATACGTCAAACACCATCTCGTTAGCGGAAACAATTTAACACACCGGTGGTGCTGCAGTGGTCACGCTCATCGCGTACACGTACTACTCCTCCGTCAGGGAATTTACGGCAAATACGAAGAAAGATGCAAGAATTGGATAGCGGCGACGCCTCCGCACAAGAATACGACTAGATCATGAAACGGTGGCCATGTACAGTGAGGGGAGAGGAGAAAGTGGGATTGACGAGAAGGGGGGATAAGGAAGTTCACGAAGGCTAACGTTTGAAACTCCGGTATTCATTCCATTAGTGCATTGACCAGTATGGTTATCTCGTACTTATATCGATCAAAAATAAATGACTTCACTTACTGACTGACTGACTAATCGTGATCACAATCGAAGTAGATCGGCCTACAAGCTTATTATTACATGTACAAGCAATTGGCAGAACAACGGTGCGTGCGAGCACCGGGCCACAGATAATGTCACGCATTTGACAGTACTTTCTGTAGTTCGTGTGTGTAAGTGGGCATAGAAGTACCACAAAGCGGTAGAGCATTTCATGACAATCGTTGCAGCCCGAGTCTACTATAGTAGGTGAGTCATATCATAGCTACGAGTAGGAATGTATACATATCCACGGAAATCTCAACTTTCCTTCGATCATAACGTACGTCTTTCATAGTCTGAGTCTTGCAGCTAGTGTCCAGCTGATCCCATGCTAGATCTCTTCCCGACAAAGGTGCATAGGCGGCACCTGCAATTACCTCGTCCTATATTCAGGTGATGCACACACTCTGCCGGTCGACCTCAGGCCTCAACCATGTGTATGGGCTTCGCTTTGGCTCGTCCTCGACTCGGTGTGCAACTAGGTCCCATTGTGGTGAGTTTTCAATGATGCATGAGTGATACCGAGTCCGACACATTCCGCCTGTCGACACGTCCACACTTGCTGCAGACTCCAGAGGAGTCTAGCATATTAATATAGCATTAGCTGTTATATACTTACTTCTAGACTCCCTTCCGAGAAGCGGCGTGCACAGGCGTACGCGTATCACTGCGGACAAAGTAGGTTGCACGGAGCGCTTACATCGTCAGAACATTGTCAGAACGTGTATATCATCTCGAAATCCGAATATTATCTATTTTCCTGGACCGAACATTGAAATGCAGCCAATGAGGAGCCGTGCCTTTCAATGTTCGGTCACCGATAATAATTCATGTTCGGATTTCGAGATGATATACTCATTCTAACGATGATCTGAGACTTATCCAACGCCAAACAAAGGGGTTTGTCCGCAGTGTATGTAGGGCATCGCGGCTTGGTCTAGGTTTGTTTTCAACTGATCCACACGCTCTACCGGTCGACCTCGGCTTCAAAATTCCGGTCTGGCTCGCCCTCGATACCGCCCGTTTTGGTAGAATGTTGATGGGGACACAGAAGAGAGCTAGAGATTCAGGCCTCAGGACCTGAGCCCAGGCAACCCAGCGATGTGGAGGTTAAGTACCAGTCTGAGTGCACTCTGAGTGAGCGCGTTCTTCCTCAAACCGGTGCCTAGACGAGCCAGATCTGACGGTACCACGCGGTGTTCCCAATGCGGGCAGCACGTGACATGCGGACAAAATGATGCGCCCTGATTGGCCTGATTGCAGACAAAGTCAACGGCCGAATTTGATGAGGGCTCTGACTCTGCGCCGGCGCCATACGTGTCGAGATCTGACATGTCACCATCCGCCGCCCGAGAGCTAGATCTACGCGATGCGGGGAGCGTCGCCAGGCATTGCCTTTGGAGGCCTTTGCCCATGTGTGTTCTCTCAGGAACGGACAACGGAGCCCGGTGGAGGTGAGTTTAATATGACCGCGTGGCACCGCGGCGCAGACAGAGCATACGTGGGCGAGCCGTCTTCCTGAGAAAGTGCATATTCGGTGCATGTGCACGCAGTAGTGGAACCATCGCGCTTGCGTGGCTATCCGGCGCCGCAGTCGGTTGATTGAGTCAGAGTGACTGCATAATAGCAACGCTTGATAATGTACATGTACTGACCTCGATTCGTCCCACATTCGTCCAGTGGCCCTTGTTCCCGACGGTCATGAGGAATCCGTTGCATCCGACCCCTGCGCCCCCGGGGTTCGGCGATGGAAAGATCGCCCCTGTGGTCAACTCCTCGTAAGTCATCTGTATCTTGTGCCATGTAGAACGGTATCAGGTATGTACAATGTCCTGGAACCGTTCTGCATGCGTGCAATACTGCACATGCAAATCAACTTGACAACGCCTGCGATAGCTGGATATCGAAGTTGCTCTTTGGATGGCTCGACCCGTTCTTGCAAGTCGGCTTCTCCCGTCCCCTCGAGAAAGAAGGTACGGTTTGTTGACAATCGCCGGACGTGCATATTCACTAATGTAATGTCCATTCGCTTTGGCAGATCTATGGGAGCTTCCAGCAGAGAGGCTCACCGACCCGTTAACCGATGAACTCGAGCGCAACTTTTATAAACGCTGTCCTCCTGAGAAGCGGCCGCGTTCACGGCGAAAGACCCCAGCCGACCAACAGGAGAGACCGGCCTCGGTGGCATCGACTTCGAGTGCTACTATCGAGAACGAGAAACGATCCACAAACGACAAGAACGGCCTAGATACGAAACACGCCACGGACGACAAGGATGACATAGACATCGAGGATAGCGCCGGCTCCAAACCACCCCCTCCTACCGGTGGTAAGAAAGCCAGGAAGGGAAGGAAACGTTCGGAGTCGGGGGCGACCGAGAAAGACAAGAAGCCGAAGTACGACTCGTCCTTGCTGAAGGCACTCAACCGATGTTACTTCTGGCTTTGGTGGACGTCCGGTATTCTTACTCTTCTCGGCAGTAAGTGTTTCTAGACCTCTTCAGGCATTGCACCGTTACAACCGGCTCTTCGCAGATACGTTGCAGACGACCACTCCTCTTGTAAACCAGCGCCTCCTCAACTGGTTGGAGGAGCGGTATTACTACTGGCAGGTACCGTCCGCAGACCGCGCTCTCATCTCGCAGCCCCAAGGCATCGGCTACGGCATCGGGCTCGCCTTCGCGATCTTCGTCATGCAGGAGGCGTCGAGTCTCATGACGTGCCACTACACGCTCATGTCGATGGAGGTCGGCCTGCTCGTCCGCACGAGCGTCGTCGGCGCGATCTACCGCAAGTCCCTGCGGCTCAGCGCACGCTCGCGGCTGGAACACAGCGTCGGAAAGATCACGACGATGATCTCTGCGGACGCGACGCGCCTCGAGCGCAACACGTACTACGCACACAACCTCTGGGTCGCGCCCATCCAGATCGTCATCTGCCTCGCGCTGCTGATCAAGACGCTAGGCTACTCTGCGCTCGTCGGCCTGGGTGTGTTCGTCCTCGGCTTCCCGGTGCAGGTCGCGTGCGCGATTGTCATGTTCCAGCAGCGCAGCAAGGGCGTGGTGCTGACGGACAAGCGGGTGCGAACTGTGACGGAGGTCCTCCAGGGCATTCGCCTCATCAAGTTCTTCGGCTGGGAGGAGTTCTTCGAGCATGAAGTCGGTAAGATTCGGCAGAAAGAAGTCAGTCGGGTCAGGAAGACAGGGTCAGTAGATTCTAGCATCCGTGCACTCACCGTCGTCCACTTATCCGGCGGATGGTTTTGCGCAGATTGGCGTTGGCGAATCTCATCAGTGTAGTCACGATCTTGCCCGTTCTCGCCGCGGTCCTTTCCTTCGTAAGTGACGTCGTGTCTCAATGCTCCGTACGAGACTCAATACACTCTGGGCTGTAGATCACCTATGGACTAAGCGGCCATGACCTCAACGTATCCATCATCTTCACTGCGCTGCAATACTTCAATGTATGACGACTTTGCCGACGGCTCTGTATCGTATCTAACGCATTTGCCCTGCTAGATCATCCGCCAGCCCTTGATGTTCTTCCCCATGGTCGTTGCCTCCTGCACAGACTCCATCGTCGCGCTCGGGCGTATCAGCGACTTCCTGACCTCCGAAGAGCTCGACGAGCCGTACACGATCCAGTCCGAAAGCAAGTTCGCCGTCGACGTCGAGGGCGACTTCACGTGGGAGACCGCGCACAAGCCTCCCCCGGAGGAGTTGCCAGACTTGGCCGGCGCGGATCGAGGCAAACATGGCCCGTCGAGAGGCCGACCGCCGCAGGACAAGAAGGATAAGCAGAAGGCGGATGGCAAGCGCAGTGGCGGATGGTTTGGCAGGAAAAAGAAGGACGAGCCTGTGCTTCCTACCGAGGGGTCTCAAGAAAAGACCAAAGATGAGGAGCAGGAGGAAAAGCCGTTCGAGTTGAAGGACCTTAACTTCAAGGTCTCGGGCGGATCGTTCGCTGTCGTCCTGGGGCCCATTGGTTCCGGCAAGGTGAACCTCAACTCCGGGGCGGGTTGTTTCGATAGCTGAGCCCTCCCTGACAGAGTTCCTTGATGCAAGCTCTCATCGGCGAGATGCGAAGAACGAAGGGACATGTGGGTAACAGTGAAGTTTCACGCTGCCGGTGCTGACCGCACTATCCCGCCAGACCGTTTTGTCATCGTCGGTCGCGTACGTACCACAGAATGCCTGGATCATGAACGCCACCCTCCGAGAGAACATCGTCTTTGGCCGCGAAGATAAGGAAGAAAGGTCTGTCATCCTATCACAGTGATCCAACCGTGAGCATGATAACTGATTCAAGTCATGCAGGTTCCGCGCCATAGTGAAGGCATGCTGTCTTGAACGTGACCTTGAGATGTTGCCCTACGGCGAGAAGACTGAGATCGGAGAGAAAGGCATTAACTTGAGCGGTGCGTCCATGTATTTCGTCTCCAAAATGACCAAGCAGAGACTAATCATGAAGTCTGCCGCAGGTGGCCAGAAGGTAACCACTCATCATTGCTGTGTACCCATCGTGCCCTCACGTTCTGATCCAGGCTCGCGTCTCTCTCGCTCGCGCCGCATACTCGGACGCCGACATCATTCTCATGGACGACTCGCTCAGTGCGATCGATGCCCACACGGGAAAGATGATTCTGGACAACCTCTTTTTGAACGGTCCTCTCGCTGGCAAGACCCGCGTCCTCGTAACCCACGCTCTCCATGTCCTGGACAAAGCCGATCAAATCTTCGTCATGAAAGATGGTACTATTGTCGAGCGCGGCTCCTTTGAGGTGAGTCTGCATGCCTTCTTGGTTTCAGTGAAATCTTAACGTTCTTTTTGATTAGGTTCTAATGAAAGATAGTGTCACCTTCTCGCGCATGATTGAGGAATACGGAAACATGGAGAAGGAGAAGGTCAAGGCTGAGGCCCAAGCCGTCGAGAAGGTTGACGAGTCTGTGGCTCTCGGCGCAAGCAAGGAGTCCGACGTCGCGCAACCTCAGCTCATGCAGGAAGAGGAGCGGCTCACAGGATCGGTGTCATGGAAGACATATGGCGCTTTCTTCCGCTACGCCGGTGGCCTTGCGTGGGCTCCATTGCTCTTGCTGTTGGTTGCCCTTATGCAGGGTGCTCAAGGTATGCGGTTTCCGTTGTCGGATGGTATGAGTGTCCTTAAACCCGCCATCAGTCGCGAACAATTTGTTCCTCGGATACTGGACTGCGGGAAGTATCAAGGGATTCAACCAAGGGGACTACATGGGAACATACGCTGCGCTCGGTGTGGCTAGTGCCCTCTTTTCATTTGGCGTCAGCTATGCCTTGACGTAAGGATTTCAGGTCTAAGCGGAAAGGCTGCAGGCTAACATTGTGTATCAATCACCAGTACCTCTAGTCTCCTGGCGGGATACAGCATGTTCCAGAAGGCCTTTGCCCATGTGATGCACTCGTCGGTGTCCTTCTTCGACACAACGCCAATCGGTAAGGAACAACTTGTCTGATTATCAGGAGATTTAGGTGGCTCATGTCACTCAGGGCGCATCATTTCCCGCCTTTCGAGAGACCAGGATACTATCGACGCGGAAATCTCCATGACCCTCTTCGTGGTACGTGACATATTTTGTGGATCGTTCGCGTATTGCTGACTCGCAAAATCGGACAGTTGTTGTCGACTCTAAGGTATGTCGTATATACATCTGTGCCCGCGTCCAGCAGTGGCTACATTGGTCAACAGCTCGGTGGTAGGAACGATATTCCTGGTGTTCTATACATTCCCCTACCTAGGCATCATCTTCGTTCCCTTGGGCATTTTCTACATGTTCGCCGCCGTCTACTACCGCCGCAGCTCGGTTGAGACAAAGCGCTTGGACTCCATCCTGCGGTCTAAGTTGTACTCTGCCTACGCCGGTACGTCATCTAGAAGTCGCTCTACCCACGACTACTGACACAGCCAACAGAATCACTCACCGGCATCAGCACTGTCCGGGCATACGGAGAAGAGGTGAGTACCTTGACACACCCCTCCGCTGCACGACCGTCAGGGCTTACGTCACGTACAGGATCGGTTCATTCAGAAGACGGAGTATGGTCTCGACGTCGAGAATAGGGCCTACTACATGGTCATAGCTATCCAGCAGTGGCTCAGTACTCGGCTCGATCTGCTGGGCAACATCCTTGTCCTTGGTATCGCTCTCTTCGCGGCCGGCTTCAGCAAGACGATCAGTCCGAGCAAAGTCGGCGTCGTGTTATCGTACACGCTGAGCAGTACGTCCGTTCCTTCGTGATTAAGACCTTAACAGCTCTTTGCTCACCCCACCGCTTAGTCACGCAGGTCTTCTGTACGGATCATCTATTTTCTATTTTTCACACGTGGATACGAGGACTGACATTGACAACCGTACAGCGCAGGTTGTTCAGACGTATGCGCAGAACGAGCAGAACTTCAACGCTGTAGAGCGTATCCTGCACTACGCAGAGCTGCCGTCTGAGGGCGACTACACGAAGCCTGACGATCCACCCGCGGCGTGGCCAGAGAAGGGCGAGATCCAATTCAAGGATGTCGACTTGGCGTACCGCGAAGGCCTGCCGCTCGTCCTGAAGCAGGTCAGCTTCTCTGTGCGCCCAGGAGAGAAGGTATGTACCGATCGCCATGCCACAATTCACCGTTACTCAAGGCGCACATGTAGATTGGCATCGTCGGCCGTACTGGTGCCGGAAAGAGCTCGCTGATGCAGGCGTTGTTCCGGTATGTCGCCCCGCACGCGTTGCGCCTGTCATCATTGACGTTATTGCTTTCTGTCCTGCGCAGCACGGTGAACATCGCCGATGGATCCGTCGAGATCGACGGGGTGGACACGCGCAACATCGGGCTGAAGACGCTACGGAATCGCTTAGCCCTAGTCCCGCAAGACAACGTGCTCTTCAAGGGCACGTTGCGTCAGAACCTGTACGACCGCACCCTTCCGTCTCCCTCATAGCCCCTCATTAAGGCTTCATGCAGTGATCCAGAAGGCACGCGTACGGATGCGGAACTGATCTCTGCCCTGCAGCGGACGTGGCTGTTGCCGAAGGACGGCATGCACGATGCCGCGGCGGAGGCGAAGTTCAGCCTGGACTCGCTTGTCGGTGACGAAGGGTCGAACTACTCCGCAGGGGAGAAGCAGATGTTGGCTCTGTGTCGAGCGTTGGCGAAGAACAGCCGCATCATCGTTCTCGTCAGTTTCACTGTGTTCAACGAGGTGTATGACATGCTGATGCTGTGGGATGCAGGACGAGGCGACGAGCAATGTTGACCTCGAGATGGACGCGAAGCTGCAGAGGACGATACAGAAGGAGTTTGCGTTGTCTACTCTTCTGTGTATCGCGCATCGTCTGAACACTATCGGTGAGTGGCTTCTCCGTAGACCACTCACGCCCGCGCTGACTGCTCCACGACAGTGTACTACGACCGTGTACTGCTGATGGACGCGGGTCATGTGGCAGAGTTCGACACGCCCCTCAACCTCTTCGACAAGGAGGACTCGATATTCCGCTCGCTCTGCGACCAAGCAGGACTATCGAGACAAGATATCCTGCGCATCCGGTCCAACGTCCCCGTGTCTCCTACTGTGGCTTCATGACCTTGCAGGAAACAGACAAGTTAGAGGTATAGGACTCATGAGTACTTTGCATTGATATGATTATAGATGACACTACGAGCATCATGACTCAGATGTAGGCTACATACGCTGAATATCCCAGCTCATACAGTACTTCGCTTTTTACTCAGAAATGTGATCCGCTTGGCGGGTTTAATATTGGTATGTCAGTCTGCGGTCACCGCTGCCTTCTGTTATTCGTGTTGTGCCATTTATATCGTACGATGGTGTATACAAGGTCTCTGTTGTCAATCTTTCTGCTAGGTCTTACAGCCGAGCGAAATATCAGACGGTTCCTCAATCGACAAGTGCGAGCGACCGGACCATCAGTGTCACTTGGAACTTGATGACACTGACTGGAATCGAGTATCATGAACCCAAACTTTTCTCGGAGCAAACGCCATAGATTCACCTTCGGACAAGCGTACAGCTTCGTTCTGAACAGCTTCCACTTGGAACAGCACTTACGCCGGCACGGAGAATAAGCTATGGCATTTGGTGTACAGAACAATGCAAATCCTGTTCGTACTGTGGGCACAGACGTCGCCGCCTGTGTCGCCCTAACTACGAGCGGCGAGCTCGATCTGAGCGTCCTTGTACAAGCCCATCCTGCCGCGCCAGAACGGAGGGCACAGTGGCGAAGCTGGTGCCGTGGGCGAGCCGGAGGTCTGGGTGGCCGACAGTTCGTCGTGCCGCGCCAGTATCTCACTGAGTATCTGCGGGACATCTTCTGGTTGTACCGAGCCTAGCCTGGGGAGCTGATAAGTGGGAAGACATAGCGGAGTACCCGGAGCACACGCACCAGTCGCCGAGGGGGTAGACTAATATATTGGCCGCGAACCTAGTGAACGCGCGTGTTGAGATCTAGGTGCTCTCCGATAGTACTGCGAAGCATGACTCACTTGTGTCCACCGACGTGCGCGACCTCTCCGAGCGAGACGCGATCCCACAGGTCGCGCTTCGTGATCTCGTTGTGGAGGGCCTTCGCAACCTCTCCCCCCGTCTCACCGCACCTGCAGTCGCGCGGGCCGTGGGTGCACACGTACAAGTGTAGCCTCGCCGCAGCCTCGCTCGCCTCGTCCATCTGCCCCTCCTCCGTCTCCGGCGCGAGCTGACTGCTCTGCGCGTGCGCGCGCAGCTGGCCCACGACTGTGTCCAGGTTCGCCAGGGACACCTCCGGGATGTAGAGCGGCGCGCGGTCCACGGAGAAAGCGGTAGCGTAGTAGAGCTCTTCGCCTGCATGGTCCTCACCAAGCCCTGCGTACCGCGGATGCACGGGCTGGGTCGGCGACCAGGAGAAGTTGACGAGCCCGCCCCAGCTGCCCGCCTCGAGTTTGAGCTTCCGCCAGAGTGGGGTCTTCAAATGTGGTGGGTACTGTGAGGGCGGCTGGTGCGTGTGCAGGAGGATGTAGCTCTCGTGGTCAGGAACCTTGCCCGCTGGTTGGGCTCGAGACGGGGCCGTTGAGAATAACCGCGCGTTTGCGCGAATAACAAGGCGTGCCGAGGGTCGGAATAGCGGGTTCGACAACACTAGCGTATAGCAGGACATTTTCGACGACAGGCGACTGTAGTGAGAAGTAAGTTGAATGTAGTACTTATGTAGATGCGGGTTGGAGAGAGATGAGCGCTGAGCAGTCGCTCCGGCAGCGGCATCCTCATTCGGCAACGTTTGTTTGCTTCCAATCTTGTCTGTTCCAATTTACAATGTACATATGATTGTAAGTAGTGGGGCACACAAGTCTTCATTTCTGCAGAATGGCTAATGGGCCGCCTTCGTAGCATGCGCCCCACCATCAAACCGCAACCTCATATGTACCGCCGTGTGCTGAGTCCTGACCGACCAATGCACTATGATTGCGCAGGGTGCCAGTGGTGAGCTGGACAAGTGTTCTGTCATGATATATCGGTGCTGCACGAGATCCGCGTCCCGCCGCTCGTCATCAATATATTGCGCGGATGGACGTCGCGCAGGACTTTGTGGTTGAGTCGTCCTTCGAGAGGATCGCAAAGGTCAAGTGGCGCACGTTCGAGGGGTCGAGCCTCATGCCGATGTAGGAGGAGCGGGAGGTATACATGAAAGAGATATGTACACACCTTCCTCCCTGAGTAGTACATAGTGGCCGCGGCGTGCCATGGAGTTGGCGACCATGGAATCAGACATAGGCCGCGGGGATGTGCAGGAGGTACCAATGGGCAAAGAAACACGCTAGGCTGTTAGCATCATTCGCTCGGAGTCCATGGACTTTTGTAGAGGTGTTTGTCAAACCCACACGGGGCTCTGATCTGACCGCCGTATCTGACCGTCTCACCTGTTGATGTGTAAGACCGAGCGGTGATTCGAGGTACGCGTGCACTGGTCAGTTGCGACCCAGATGATATAAAGTTGTGCCAGGCGTAGACACCAGGTAGATACTCTATTGCCCCGACTCACCTCCCAGGCCGCGCGATATCACTACTTACTGAGGTAAGTCAAAGCCTCAACGCGAAATCACCGTAACCGAAATCGCAGGCCCTACAGTGTCTGTCGTTCCGCACGCAGCGCTATGGCTACAGCTACAGTCTCAGAGGGCACGATTCCCTTCATACATCAAGGGGAGACATACCAGACATTCTACAAGGTCTTCGGAGACCTGAAGAACCGCACCCGCGCACCCCTTATTGGACTACACGGCGGCCCCGGCCTGGCGCACGACTACCTTATTCCCCTCGGCGACCTTACGTCCAGCGCGTCCGTCCCTGTCATCCTCTATGACCAGATCGGCGGGGGCCGCTCGACGCACCTGCCGAAGAAGTCGAAGGAATTCTGGACGATCGACTTGTTCCTCGATGAACTCGTCAACCTTCTCAACCACTTCGGGATCCATGAGGAGTTCCATTTGATAGGGCATTCATGGGGAGGGATACTGGCGACGGAGCTCGCAGTGCGCCGGCAGCCGGCGGGGCTGAGGAGTCTGGTGCTGACGAATTCCCTGGCGAGTTATGCGCTGTGGATGGAGTCAAATATCAAGCTCCTGCAGGCGTTCCCGCCCTGGGTGCTGGAGGGTATGGCGGCGGGATACGGGGACAAGGCCAAGTTGCTGTCGTCGCTGAAGGAGTTCCATCTGAAGCATGGGTGCTTCCTGAATCCCCAGCCGAAGGAGTTCACGGGCACCCTGGAGGACCTCTTTGCTGACGACGACCGGATCGTAGTGCCGGCGACGATGTGAGTCGTTAGTTTGTGCAGTCACTGAATGTAGTTATTGACGGTGATTAGATCCGCGCCGGACGGGGAGTTGGCGTCTTGGACGATCGTCGACAGGCTGCATCTGATCCGGGTACCTACCCTCGTCATCAACGGAAGGATGGACGTCGCGCAGGACTTCGTGGTGCGGCCTTTCTTCGAGAAGATACAGAAGGTGAAGTGGCGTACCTTTGAGTCGTCGAGCCATACGCCGATGTGGGAGGAGAGGGAGGCATTCAACCAAGAGGTGCTCGCTTTCCTGGATATGAAATTTGTATGAGCGCGACCTGAATGTATGATATTGAATGGGGACTCTCCTTGAATACTTGTTTCTGGTCAAACCACGATGAGGCATCGAGCTAGGTTGTAACAAACCTGATGTACGGTGTCAAGAGTCTGAATGACTGGTTGGTGTGTTGTTGTATGTCGTAATTTTCTGAAACTGGTTTGGAATCAGCCTGTACGCCTATAGCAAGCACAGCTGCACACTGCCTTCAGCGGGCAGAAAGAACGCTGCCGACGCTCGGTCTAGTAGGCAGTGAACTAATGACGGCTTCAATCTGTCGGAGTGGGATGGCGCAGAGACGCGCATACTTAATGTTATGCGCATTCCACCACTGGTGGTGGAGTATATAGCCCAGTGAGTCGAAAACTACGAAAGCAGACTGGTAGAGCACAAGGTTTCTGTTATTCAGCACAACTGACAACGAGATGATGATGGTTGACGACAAGGAGATTAATTAGAACGAGACATTTCAGTAGGAAGTCACGTGATTCATACAGCATCAGCGGCGAAACGAGTTTAACGACGGTGAGGCAAGTTGTCTGTCGACAACTCCCATCCTTTGCCAAACCCCTGCTGGAACAGCGCGACATGCTGCAGAAATGCTCGCTTCATCGGCCTCCTCGTCTGCTGTGACCATACCAACACCAGGAAAGTCCATCTTAAAGCGACCACCACCTCCACAGCAGTCGTTCTTCTCCTTGGCTCGCCTCTCGAAACTCTTGCCAACTCAGCAAGCAAACGCGAACCAGGATGAGGCGTCGACGCTTAAGCGAGCGCACTTCATCCTTCCGGAGATGACGGTGGTCTACCCGATATCGGCGGCGAACCCGCCGTCCACGCCGAACATGAAGGAGGAGAAGAAGTCGATTGAGGAGCGGGAGCTGGAGAGGAGACGGCGCATATTGAGGGGCGGAACTAGCATTTCGAGCGCGGACGGCGACGATACTTGGTGGGGCCTTGATCAGGTTGAGTCGTTCTACAGGGAGTGCTGCGTTGGTCGAGAGGAGGTTCCAGATCCAGGTGTCTCACTTGCGTTCAAAGTGAGTCGTCTCCCTTGGTCTGCTGTCTGTTGTTCTGCAAGAGCATACCGATTACTTTCCGCACCTTCCACACGTCAGCGAACCGCTAGTTTCGTTGCCTCCCGAACATATGGACCGCACATGGGAGGCGCGCCATGCGGGACGGTCCTCTGTATAACCCAGAGCTGTGTATAGCGCAGAGGGTGTGGCGTACACCCAGTTCAGTGTGGAACTGGTGGTCTTGCGGATGGTCGATCGTCCGACAAATGCCTGTCGGCGTGCGGGGTTATCCTGTGACGAGACCTGGATATCTCATCTTCTGGTGACATATCTCACGTCCATTGACGGATAGTCGGTTTCATCCGGAAATGCCTTGCGACGTGTGGGTACATCCTATAACGGCAGACAGTCTGCCCTGGATTTTGCGTGAATGGAGCTTGCTCGCGGGAGTTATTGCAGGGAACCGGGCAGAAAACAACCGAAGTTTGGTCAGTGTTGCAGCTTGGCTGCAGCATTGTTTGGTAACTTCGACTACCGTGCTTTTTCATGTCGTGCCCACGGAGAGGCTCATCCATGCAGAATCCGGTGGAAGACTGTCTGAGCGTGACGCTCTAGGCATTCAATTTAGTGACATATCTGGACCCGAACTCACACATTCACCAGCGTGCTGTAGGCACGAACCCTCGCACAATCGATCTCTCGGGCATCCAGTTGACAATTGGGTCGGCATCAGTGCTGTCGGATGTCTTCACCATCGAATGGGGTCTGCGGAAACTCGTATTCAAGGAGTGTGACTTGGACGAACACGTATGTCCATCAGCGTATTCTCCTAACTCTCCGATCGCCGATGACTCGTACAGATACTCAAGCCGATACTACACTCATTACTAATACCAGACAGCCTCACCTTCCTCTCCGTCGCGTCGAATCGACGACTAAAGGCAACAGCGTTCCGACTGATTGGCGCGTATTTGTCTAAGGTGTGTACAAGTCTCGAAGTACGCGTGTGCAGACGGTAATCCAAGCAGACAAAAAGCCTGCAATTTCTCGACGTTTCGCAGAATTCGCTTGACAAGAAGTCAATCGAGTACATCGCTAACGCACTGCCCGAAGCCCCCAAGCAGGGTCTTGTCTCCCTCCGATTAGACGACTGTTCGCTCAAACCTACCGCCCTAGACGCCCTCGGTGAGTACACAACTGAGCACTGGGGTATTAACGGTCAGCTCAGTCTAGTGCAGCCAACGTCGTCCGCAAGTCCTCCCTGCGCAACATCTCCCTACGACTGAACCGCATCAGCGCCACAGGTGCGGTCGCAATCGCACTCATGATCAAAGACTACCCCGACCGCTTCCCCAACGCCGGACCCAGCTCGCCGCTCTCCCCCACCATCATCAGCCCCGAATCCACGCCGCCATCCACGCCGCAGCTACCTACCTTCTCCCTCCCGCGCAACGACGGCACCGCGACGCCCCCACCACGCTCCGGACCACTCCCGCCACCACCGCGCCATCCGAACACCGTTCCACATACAACCTACACCCCGTACATCCCCCGCGCGCGGCGAGCGGCGGCGGCCGCTGCGGGGGGCAACAGCACGGCGGCTGTGGCGAACACGAATCCGTTGTCGCCAGCAGGGCAGCCCGTCCCGATCATCACTTCGTCAGCGCAGGGCGGGATCACCGCGAGACATCCGGTGCCGCACGGGCCGGGCTCGCCAGCTTTAGGACACGCGCATGGCACGCAGAGGTATGACCAGGGTCCGAGCGTGGCGTTGTTGGACAAGGTCCGTGCGCTGGATAACCTGCCGAGGCTGGGTGCTCTCCGGACGCTGGACTTGAAGGGCAACGACATCCGGGTGAGTGCTGAAACTATGTATGGCTGGCTTTGGCACTGACGTGACGGTTGAACAGACTGGGATTACGTACATTTCTCAGGTGCTGAAGCGCAATCGCACGCTGAAGGTGCTCAACTTGAGCGAGAACAAGCTGGACGTCCAGGGACTGATCGCTGTCGCGGAGGCGCTGGTAATTACTTTGACGACTCGTTAGTACAGCGGACTGACACGTCGGCTAGAAATACAACTCGTGCCTCGAGACGCTCGATTTGTCGAAGAACCCATGTTGTGGCCCGGGTCTAGAAGGGGTATGTCCTCATCTGCGATCTGTATCGTCTCCACTGACAGATATTGCGGCGAATAGATTCAATCACTACGGACAGCGTTCACTCTGAACGATGCGCTCAAGCGATTGTTCCTGTCTTCAACAGGCATGACGCCGGCTGGCGCGATTGCGCTCGCAGAGTTTCTTCCTGAGTCGAAGTCGCTGCTCCACCTGGACTTGACCATGAACAATCTCGACATTGCTGGTGTCATGGCCCTCAGCTCGGGGCTCAAAGCCAATCACACTATGCGTTGTCTAGACGTCAACATTCCTCCAGCGGACGAAGAGATGGCCCGGTGTGTATTACCACCCTATGAGATATGCGCGATGGTTGACACACCCATGACAGCATGTGCCGAGACATCCTCAACACCTGCGTTCGAAATACAGAGGAGGCGGAGAGGGCCGCCAACCCATCCAGTCCCGACGGTGCGAGCGGACGTGGCCAGGGCCGAGGCGTATGGAACATGATCGAGGAAAGCGAACTCGCGAAGACCTTCCGGCAGGACGACGAGAAAAAGGTTGCACCCCTTTCTGACACTTCCTCCGTCTCGTCCGCAGCCCCGACTGACGTCCCCTCCGCGGCACAACAGACCGCCTCCGGAGTGATCACACAGGCGCGTGCATACAAGAGCCAGCTGGAAGACGTCCTCGCGCGCTCGCCGTCGTCATCGTCGGCGCCGTCGGCGCCCGTGCAGGACGAGGTCGCCGAGATGAGCGCGAACGTGAAGGAGGCGCAGAAGAGCCTGATGGTGGTCATCGAGACGACGACGGAGCCGGAGCGCCTGCAGGAGCTGCTCGCACTCAACGACGACCTGACGGCACTGCTCGGCCGGTGTCAGCCGCCGAAGCGCCCCTTGTTCTTGCACGGGCTCGGGTTGCAGGCTGAGAACGGCAAGGCGAACGGCTCTGCGGGCGATGAGGCGTCGGGCAATGGCCACGCCGTGCATGGGTTGTCTGAGGACAGCGACGACGAGCCGATTACCCCGCGCGTGGACAAGGGCAAGGGCCGCGCGGAGCCGGAGCCTGTAGAGCCGGAGAAGGTCCTGTCACCACCAGCGTTCGACTTGGGCGATTCGGACGATGAGGATGCGCACCTTGGAGATGAGCTGATCGCAGCTGAGCCTGACGGCATGGTCTCTCCTACGACAGACATGTGAGTGCCTATGCAGTGCACACCATCGCAGAATCTGATGGATGTGCTCTTCGTCGCGGTGTATCACAGGTCACGGAGCTGGGTAGAGGAGGAAGGCGAAGTATTCCGCAAGGGCACTGTTCTGCTTGGCCTGGAAGAGATGGAGGGCGACTACGATAGCGAAGAACTACGTAGAGAGGTCAGCGTCAGTATCACAGCCGGGGCGATTTCTTGACTGATCGCCGTAAGTGACCGCAGCTGTTGGATGCGATGGTCGAACGCCCGCCGCCGCGCGCCGTGCTCGACGACTTCGGTGCTGAGATCGCCCCGGAGCTGCCTGCTGGCCCTGCATCGCCGCAGCCAGAGAAGCCTCCGCCACGCCCGTATATACGCCGCTCACGCTCGTCGTCGTCCACGCTCAGCACGACGGATGCGCAGCTAGAGTCGCTGTCGCTAGAGAAGGTTGATGCGGCGCGCACCGCCAGTCCTTCGCCATCAACTCCCACGTCGCCTTCGGTGCAGATCAAAGCGTTCCTCAGCAGGAGACTGTCGTCCGCATCCATCAACTCGAAAGAGGCGGAGTAGGCTGCGTGTTGTGTCACACAGGTGAGTGTCGTAGTCCCTAATGGTTGGACCCTTTGCTGACCCTCACGCGCGATTAGCTACAGCCTGGACATGGGGCACATTGTTATCGTGTTTATTGCTTCCAATTCACGTGGATATCCTTAGCCTACGGCAGGTCGTCATTATTCGCAACGGACACTGGTATGTATCTCGTGCTTTAAAGCGGCAGATCGTGGTTGTGTTATCGCCTCGGGAGCAACCTAGCAGCGATCCTGGCTGGTACTTGATTGGCCCACTGTATATCCCTTTATACTACCATCATAGCAACATGTCATTTAGTTTTCCAGTCCATGCGGACCGACTGCATGCAACTATCGGTCTCACAGCCGATAAGTAGCCATTCGCTGTCTGACCTATGAGTCGGACCACTACTACCGTCAAATTTCTTTCTGTTCGTACAATCGCTGCGAAACTAGTCCATGATCACCTGTTTCAACCCAACGCTGGGACGCCCAGTACCGCTGTATCCGGCCCTCAGATGGTACGAGGTAACACATTTTGGTAGGACGTTTGGTGATTATCGGTACACGGCGTATATGCATACAAACACAGCAAGAAAGCATCCGACATTACACACAATTGCGGTAAGAGAACAGAAACCTTGCGAGCCCACGCAGCTCGAATTCGACCTATGCGACGCTCTTGACGTACTCCAGCGCGAGCTTCGGGCTGTCGGAAACCAGGTCATGATCAATATCCGATTCAACATCCACGCACCCGGATCGCACTGGATCCCAGGTGTAAGATGCGCAACGCACCTATCTGCAGGCTTGACGGGGATCTTCTTCTCGACGAGCTTGCCGCCCTCCTCGAAGATGAAGTGGCTCCGTTTCGTCTTGCCGCCCTCGCCCGCGCCGAGCGCGGTGATCAGCGTGCGTTGGGGGTCGGAAAGCAGCGGGTAGGGGAGCTCTTTCTGCAGACGATCGTATCAGTGTCACCGCGTGTGGGAGGGGGAAGAGAGAGGAGGGGGGCACGGACCTTGGTCTGCCACTTGGACTGAGCGGAGGGGCTGTCCGCGCTGAGGCAGTAGACGGCGAAGTTGTGCGCGGTGAAGTCGGGGTAGATGTCGCGGAAGCCGCAGGCTTGGTTCGTGCATCCGGCTAGCCAAGTAACATGTAACGCGGTGAGCTGCGCTTCATGGTGTATTAGTATGCGGCACGAGGGACTCACGCGTATCAGCCTTGGGGACGAGGAAGAATATGACGCCCTGTTCGGCAGCGAGCGTCGCGACGTCGACGTCCTCGCCCTTCTCGTTCTTGAGCGTGAGCGAGGGGAGTGCGTCGCCGATGTCGATGGTCGCGAGTTCCGCGGCCTCTGCATGAAGATGTGAGACTCGACAGGGTTTGCAAAGGGTTTGAGGGCGTACTCTCGTTCGACTCTTCGGTGTCGGGTGCCTCGGCGGCAGCCTCTTTCGCTTTGCTCTGGATAACAATAAGTGTTTTAGTGTATGTATTTGAACAACTCCCGAGGACGCGAAGTGCACTCTTTGTTCTCTCGAGCGTTGTACGACGTTGAGACCGCACGACGAACACACACCTTCTTCACCGCAGGACTCTCATCATCCCCATCATCTGCAGTCCGTTTCTTCGTCCTCGGCGCCGCTTTTTTCACCTCTTTCGCCGGAAGCTCGCTCTTCGGCTGCGCCGATATCCTCGTCGACCTCCTCGTCGGCTCGGTCGTCTCTACAGGGTTCTTTGCGCGCGGAGCCATCTGCAAGTCAGCTAACGGTGTTCGAGTACGGTGCAGGAATGGTTCGGGACACTGGTACTGGCAGCGAGGCTTGGGCTTGATCAGCCCCATGCTTCGCGGCAGCGTTAAGCTTTATGGGGAATGTCCGGACGTCTGATTGCGCAATTGGATGCTCTAAAGTACGAGTGCTAGCCATGTTGGCGGCCGCGCTGACCTTTGTGCGCGGGGCGCGCGAGCAATGTGCGAGCGTCGTCGTGGTGTGGTCCTACTGTGTTACATACTGTCCCTTTTGATTGAACGTTCTGTTGAGATGCATGCATGTTGTCAGATCCAGCATTGGACGCGGACACGGACGTCTGCGATGCACCCTCAGGCTGACAACTATCGAGATGATGTTTGTAGCAGCCTCCCCTGAGTTCGATAATTATCTGAGGGCCGGAATAATGTTGGGTTGAGACAAGTGATCATGGAGTTTCGCAAGGATCGAACGAGAACAAAGACGGTTGACGGTAGGTAGTGGTATACCTGGAACAACCCGACTCACAGGCGGGACAGCGAAATCCTATCATATCGGACCGATAGTTGCATGCAGTCGATACGCATGGACATCTATCAACAGGCTATTGCATGTCGAGCTCGAAGTAATGTCCCTGAACAATGTCATACATAGAATTACATTACAACCTTCCGTCGGACATGGTACATGTACAGCAGAGACTACAGATACACGACAGCAACGCAATCCTACTGGGACATTTCATTTGCGACTCATATGCATACTATCAGTCGGTCGTAGGCCAGTGGCACTTCACTGACGGTTATTCAGCTGCGCAGACTGCGCCTTCAACTCTTCGCGGCTCTACATATCCGATTGACGCATCAGCTCGTGCGCGTACTGAGAGTGGCACCCGTGAATACGCACCCTAGGCTGCTCAACGCCCTGCAACACCTGCTGGCTAGGCTTGTACGGGCCGCGCGCGTGGAACGCCTGCTGCTCCGGGTTGCTGTTCAGGCCCGCACCGAGCTGCGGCGGCTCAAGGTCGCGGGGGTCGTTCGTCCTCTATCCGAGCGAGCGTGTCAGAAAGCAATCCGTAGAGGGCATGGCAGGAGGACGTACGGCAGGATGCGGCAGGATGTTGAACTTGGATTCGTTGTGCGACGGCGACATCGTGAATTCGTTAGACTGTAGATAGGGGTACGTAGACGAGATCGGTGTAGATAGTAAATGCTTGTGGGCCGTGTGTGAGTGGGCGGGGGGTGCAGAGTAGGGCACAGGTTAGTGCTGCTTATATAGGAGTGAGTTGTGTAGGCTTGTTGTGTGCGCAGGAGAATGGAGTCACTACTGCGGCGGCGGATGGAGTGCAGTGGCACGGATCTATGACGTCCCGGCCCGATCTCGGGCCCCTCACCACAATGTCGGTGCGTCGTCGGCACCGTACAGCGGATACCGTGCTCGCAGCAAACAGCAACTTGAAAATCCGACTCGAATCCGGATAACACGACTGCACCAAGGATTGCGTGATGCGAGTCTGGAACAGTGGCAGTTCGACCTAGAGATTTGGACTTGACGGGCGGCGAGGTGGTAGTAGAGGTATATACAATAGAGGGCTTTTGTCGTTGCATTGTGAATGTACTACGTATACCATACCGCGAAGGTTGCAAATAGATAACGGGGACTAGCTGTACATGACTTTACTTGGAGAGCATCATCTGCGGGTCCGGTTAGTACGCGTTTGGTACGGATGCTACGGGGGTGAACATACCTTCACGAACTCTACACGCGCCAGGAAGGATCGAGCGGGCATCAGTGGGTGATAGTGAGGTAGCATACGCTGGGCACGCACCATTGTAGTTGATTACACCATCGCCGTCCGCATCCGCCTCACGGAGAATCTCGTTGACCTCGCTGTCCGACAGCTTCTCGCCTACACCGCAACAGCCATGGTCAACACCTCCACCCACCACGCAACCGCAGCCGCAGGGACTCACCAAGGCTGTTCATGACCTGCCGAAGCTCGTCGGCGGAGATGGAGCCGCTGCCGTCCTTGTCGAAGACCTTGAAGGCCTCCTTGATCTCCTCCTCGGTGTCCGTGTCGCGCAGCTTGGGCGCCATCATCTTGAGGAACTCGGGGAAGTCGAGCGTGCCGTTGCCGTCCGCGTCGACCTCGTTGATCATGTCCTGCAGCTCCGCCTCCGTCGGGTTCTGCCCGAGCGAGCGCATCACCGTACCGAGCTCCTTCGTCGTGATCGTGCCATCGCCATCTGCGCGGTGCGAGGCGGGGTGTCAGACATGGAGGCCCGGGAGGCGAACGTACGCACCTTTGTCGAAGAGCGAGAACGCCTCCTTGAACTCTGATCGCGGCGCGCGCCGGTCAGTGCAAGCAGTCCCCTTCCTGCGGATACGTACTTACCAGAAATCAGTTCTGTTGCAAGCACGGTCGTGTCAGCATACACTTCTGTCCACAGAGGTGCCATGCGCGCACATACCCTCAGACTACGCGGGCCACAACGAACGTCAGCCCACAACATGCGCAACGTTGCCAGATAAGCTCACTAGCTGGTCAGCCATGGTATCTCGGTGGAAAGAGTGCTTGGGCGTTCGTGCGGGATACGTGGAGGGTAACAGAGAAGACAGGGACGACCGGACTACGGGAAACCTGTCCCTTGCTCGCAAGAGGAAGACTCCCCCAAGTCGAAAGTCACAGTGTTGCCGGGCGCCTTCACACTTGTTTGGCGTTGTTGCTGATCTCACCCAAAGTGGGTAACTTCGGTCATCGGGCGCACCAGGGCCTGCACCATGCCAGTGAGGCCATGTAAGATAAGTACCTACATTGTACGTATAGCAGCGTGGCCAGTGTCAGTTGCAGTTCACTCGAGAAACATGGTCCCAGAGGCCCTCAAAGGAAAGAAAGAAAGCACCGGAGACAATACTGAAGGGCTCATATCACTGATCAGGGTGCGGTGAGGAGATGGCGAATCGACCCTGCGGCTGCTGGTCCGACTCGTCGTGTGCCGGACATTCGAGTCCGAAATGATGGACAGTCTCGCGCGCGGTGTCGCAGTTCGGGCATGTGGGCGAGTCGACTCGCTGGATGCGGTGGAAGTGTCATTGTAGAGGGGCGTGTTCTGTTCGTAGCCTAAGCTGGAAAAGGATGCTCGCATGACGCCAGCTCCTTGAAGGAAGGTTTGGGTCGACTCTGTGTTCACTGTTATATTCTAGTGCCAGTACACGCCTGCGGTGAGCACTTCAGCCGGTTTGACAGTCGACGACTCGACGTACAGTTATTCTTGCGCGTCGTTGTTCCCGAGGGTCGCGCGAGCAAGGTCTCACCGCCATCGCTGGCGGCATTTCGAGTTATCTATTGGCTATCTAATCGGTATCATTTCCCTCCCCCGGGGTCCCCCCTGGGCCTTAGCGGATCGAAAGCTTTGCAATGTCGGCGCAGTGAAATCCGACTTGAGCTTGAATCCGGGTAACAAGGCTGCACCAAGGCCCAAGGGTTGCGTGGCAGTTCGACCCAGAGATCTGGACTTACGACTATTATTAGCACGAACGGTGTGGTAGTAGAGGTATATGGGGATTTGTTGTTGCATTGTGAATGTACTACGTATACCATACCGCGAAGCTTGCAAATAGATAACGGGAACACTAGTTGTACATGACTTTACTTGGAGAGCATCATCTGTGAAGCCGGTCAGAATAGGTTCTGCGCACGTACTATGCGGGTGAACGTACCTTCACGAACTCTATATGTATCAGGAAGAAGAAGCGGACATCAGTTGGTACTTGTGAGGTAGCATCCGTTGGCCACGCACCATCATAGTTGATTTGACCGTCACCATCGACATCCGCCTCGCGGATCATCTCGTCGACCTCGTTGTCCGACAACTTCTCGCCTACACCGCGCCAGGCACGATCAGCTCTCCCGCCGGCCACCGCAGCGGGGGGGCACTCACCGAGGTTGGTCATGACATGCCTGAGCTCCGCGGCGGAGATGTATCCGTTGCCGTCCTTGTCGAAGACCTTGAAGGCCTCCTTGATCTCCTCCTCGCTGTCCGTGTCGCGCATCTTGCGCGCCATCATCGTGAGGAACTCTGGGAAGTCGATCGTGCCGTTGCCGTCCGCGTCGACCTCGTTGATCATGTCCTGCAGCTCCGCCTCCGTTGGGTTCTGCCCGAGCGAGCGCATCACCGTGCCCAGCTCCTTCGTCGTGATCGTGCCGTCACCATCTGTGTGAGACGAGGTGAAAGGCGTCAGACGTGCAGAGAGGGTGGTGGCCCGTACGCACCTTTGTCGAAGAGCGAGAAGGCCTCCTTGAACTCTGATCGCGGCGCGCGTCGGTCAGTGCAAGCAGCCTCCTTCCCGCGGATACGTACCAGAAATCTGTTCTGTTGTAAGCACGGCCGTGTCAGCATGCACTCCTGTCTGCCGAGATGCGTGCACGTACCCTCAGACTACGCGACCCAAAGTCAGCCTACAGCATGCGCGACATCGCCAGGAAAACTCACCAGTTGGTCGGCCATGGTAGCTGGGTGTAAAGAGTGCTTGTATAGTTCGTGCGAATAGCGTTTTTATTCGTGGAGGGTGATAGAGAGGAGACAGACGACGCCGGGGGCGAAGAGATCTCTCGGCAATCGCCAGTCTAATTCGGGCTCGCCACCTTGCCTGCTTTGGACGATTCATTTCTACCGTGGTTGGCTTCCATTGCTATCATAGTTTGAACCTTGTGTATTGTACTTAGTCGTCATACGCCTCTATTGTGTTGTACAACACTTGTCCGCAGACATCAGTGTCAGTGCAGCCCGAGCACAGTACTAGTATATACGAGCATACGTTTGCTGTTCCTTCTTTTTTGGAACGGAGAGATCAAGGAGCTCGAGGATCAAGGAGAGATCATCAACAACATCAGTAGTACTCCAGTGCTCACTTCACAGTGTGACTGTTCAAGATCTGATTCCACGTCACTACAGGGCCTACCCGTATGGAATGAAGTGCTAGTCCAATGCTTGTGGCACAGATGTCGAGTACAGTGTAACTGTGTACTACAGTTAACTCCGGAGGCCGCCAACGACAAGGCGATAAGACCGATGACTTTGAGCTATTGAGGCAGTCTTGTCTGCACGCCTATCAGATGGCTTGAACACGTCCAGGGAGGAGGGCGACATAGGCCTGCCAACTGCTCATGGAGACATGTTGTAGTCCGATCAACGAGAGATCTTGCAGCTGTATGTGCCCAGTACCAACGCGCCACGCAAGATCCGCATCCTCCTCTGTGTGCCAATGGCACGTCCCCGCTTCCTAGATACGTGGTCAGGGATATAGCTGGAACCCATCAAGGCATACTACGACATAGTATGAGACATACCTCGATGAATTGCCGCACTACCTTTGCGACGGACTTCGCGAGCGTGGACTTCGTAATAGGCTGAGGAGCCATTCCGAAATCCCTGGTGGGGATCTGCCTGCTCCACGGAGTGTATCCGGGCCACTGTATAACATGGGTAACCTTCGTCTCATGCATTCAACGGCCCATCAACCGCGTCTTCACATACCATGAGTCGTATTGAGATGGACGGCCCGCGGTTGGTGAACATCAGATCATCTCTATCCACCAGGTTCGCAGATTGGCCTGTCAGAGCATGTTGGAGGGGCATACCGCACCGCTGCGGGCTCTGCAGGAAGAACATGATCGGCGGCTCCAGCTTGACCTCAGCATCGACGTAACGACGTCAGTCCGACTGCCAGTGCGTGTGCGGGCGGTAGGACTGCTGAGGTACGAGAACACAATCGGAAGGTGATATGTACTCCCTGGCATAGTCCTCTACTGTGAGGAGCGGCTGGGTAGGATGCCCCGGGTCGCTAGGCAAGGGAGTGGTCTAGAGAAGGATATGGAATCCGTTGAGGTACTGCTAGATACCACAGAGGGCGCGCGTACCTGCTGCTGGAAAGACTCTGTCCGGGTCGGTAATTCGGGCGGAGAGGATTGTGATGCGCTCGCCTCCTGTGTGCATTGCCAGTCAGCCTGAGCTCTGTCGATACGAATTCGACGCCGCTATCGATCATTCGTCTCCGACTGTCCACTGGATGCTGACATCGTTGAGAGCTCCGCAGACTGCCACGGCGCCAAGTGTGAGTAAAAGTCGAGATGCCATCGTGTATGTGCGTCTTACAGTGACTGTGTGATCTTGGAGGAGAGAGTTGAGTGAGAGTCGGCTACTATGTTCGTCGACCAGGCTGTGGTCGTCTACAATAGGCAGTGGATCATGGCCATGCCAGTCGTATCGTGTACTGACGCAGTGTGAGTGATAGACGCGACTTCCAGAGACGAGCGTACTCACGAACAATGGTCGGACATGGGCGGCGATGGTTGGGATATTGAGAAGTCTGAGGTAGGGTGGCAGTCAGCAATATATATCCTCAGTCGGAGCGCTACAACCACAGATGCCGGGATGATGAACCAGGTGCCAATGCGTAGACTGAGACGATGTCTTGTCACGGCGAGACATTTGAAATGGCTTATGTTTGCTTCAGTGACGAACAAGAATAGATGACAGGATGGCCGCCACCTTATTGAGCTAATCAAGCGCAAGACACATCAGGATTTGCGGTTGTATGATGAGTCCATCGAACTTGAACTTACTTTGCATTTGTATACATCACGAGTGATTGTCGCCAGGCTTTGGCAACGGTTCCGACTCCATACTCTTCACTGAGTTCAGTGTGTCGCGTAAACATCGGCATCGCGAATGACAGGGAATGATGGCTCTGCCACTGGGAGCTAGCAAGTACATGACCAAAGCATGAGTGCATTCGTTGCGAAGATGGCACGGGGGCTGCCGGTTGGCACAACATGATCGCGGTGGGTGGCCACGGTGTCAATCACTCGAAGGTTGCTAGAATAGAGTGCATCAGCGCCATGGCTACCGTTTCGGTGGAAATTCAGACACAACACGTACCGCCGCGTAGACTCGGAGATGGTGCCCACACGGCGGTCAGCCTGAGCTTGTCGGACGACGGCAGCCAGCCTTCTTTGCTATCCCAAATCGAGTTGATGGCATATGGATGGATTACAATTTCCGGTCGAGACTGAACTTTGTTTCACATTTGAAGCGGTAGTGCCCAAGTAATGCCAGTCACTGTTCACGGCGCACGCCCATAGTGTTGGTGGACGGTGAGTGTGAGATCGCTCAACCAATCAAACGCGTGGCCCCTTTGTGGCTACAATAGTTACATAAGAACTTAAAGTTACAAAATGTGTTGATAGGTAAGTAATATGTAACCCGTCTTATTGTGCAGTTACAGTCCCGTAATTCGATTGCGCGCAGCTCGCGATCTCCGAGTCCGCTGCGGCACAGCGTACACTCCTTCTTCCTCCCACCACCACCATCCCCGAGGGATGCCTGCCCAATCCACACTCTCTAGCGACGAAAAGTCGAAGGTTAAGGCCGCGGTCCCCGCCGGCTCGAATAAGATCCACACCGCCGCACTCGCGCGCATCTATTATGCATACCCGCAGCCGAACGAGTGGTCGTACGCCGGCCTTCAGGGCGCCCTCGCATTTGTCACGGACAAGTCTCGGAATGCACTTTATATGAAGATGGTAGACCTCGCGGGGACGAGGGGTATCATTTGGGAGCATGAGCTGTACGACGGGTTCGAGTATTATCAGGACCGACCGTTCTTCCAGTCGTTTCCCGGAGATGTGAGTGGCCAGAAGCGTGCATAAGTGGCGTGCTCAATTCAGATTCAGGACTGCATGATTGGCATTGTCTTCGCCGACGAAGGGGAAGCGAAGACATTCTACAAGAAAGTGACCACCACGAAGCCTAGCACCGGTACGTCTAACTCATGCCCATTGTCCGTTCGCCGCTCGACCTCCGTTTATCGGCGGAGATGCCCCGCTGCAAAACTCGATATCGCATCGGATGTACTCAGATGACATGGCTCAACTATACCGGTCCACGTCTGGATGGCATGGAGCCCATGTCACCGCGGTCAAACGCTGAAATTTGGCTGAAACGCACCATGTTCTGAGGATGTTCGGAGCCCAAACACCCTCATACGAAGTTCTCAGGGAACTAAGTTTTGTAGGGGTTTCAGAGTCCCTAAATGCTCGTGTGCCCGCTGTGTGTATGGTGACAGGCTATCTTCGGACTATACCGGGCGTGAGCAGGATGGGTTGCTGAGACTTTGCATGGCACCAGTACTGTTGGTCTGTCCGCCAACAAGCAATGCATTCTGTTCACCGTGCATGGTGAATGAGAGTGATCATAGCCAGTTCGGCCTCCGTACCACTGATAGACCAAAACATCAACCTTGATGAGGTTAATGCTTGCCGTCCGATGAACGGGGTTCCTCCCGCCACAAGTCGTCGTTGCTCACATCTATTCCACCCGCAGAGAAACCCGCCAAGTCGTCTAAGAAGAAGAAAGCCTCGAAAGGCGGGAAGATCGACAAGTCCATGATCTCCGGGCCGACCGCTGGCTCGTTCAAGCACGTCGCACACATGGGCTACGACTCCGAGAAAGGCTTCACGTCCACGAACGTCGACCCGTCGTGGACGACCTTCCTGCAGCAGCTCGAGAGCCAGGGCATCGCGCGCGAGATGATCGACAACAACATGGACTTTATCAAGGACTTTATACGCGACGCGCAGAAGAGCCCCCCGCCCGCGCCCCCAACGGCGAAGAAGAAGCCGCCCCCACCGCCCGCTCCGCGGAGGGGCCAAACTGTCGCGCAGGAGATGCCCGCGGCACCGCCGACGCCCCCGCCTGCCCCGCCCTCGCGTCCCCCGCCGTCCCGCGTTGTGCCCTCACCCGCGCCCCCTGCTCCCCCGATGCGCAACATGCCGTCGCCCGCTCCGCCACAGGCACCGCCCGCACCCCCTTCGCGCGCGGCACCTCCAACGGCCCCGCCAGCCCCACCATCACGCCCGACGGCCGCCCCTCCACCTCCCCCGCCAACGCGCCCATCGGCCGCACCGCCCGCGCCGCCACCCCCTCCGCCGACGCGTCCCAGCGCACCTCCCCCAGCGCCGCCTCCGCCACCCCCCACAAGCGGAGCGCCTCCCGCGCCGCCACCACCACCTCCTCCCACTGGCGGCGCGCCTCCCCCGCCACCACCTCCGCCACCACCACCTCCGCCCGGGGGAGGAGCGCCTCCGCCTCCGCCCCCTCCCCCGCCCGGCGGCGGGCCCAGCGCGCTCGCGAGCCTCCCTGCGCCGCAGCCCGACCGCGCAAACCTCCTGGCGTCCATTCAGGGCGCGGGCGTGCATAGCCTCCGCAAGACGGAGGGTGCGCCCCCTCGCGCAACTTCGCCGCCCGTCGAGGACAGCAGCTCGAGCGCAGGAGGAGGGGGAGGAGATTTGACGGCGGCTTTGGCGGCGGCGCTGTTGGAGAGGAATAAGAAGTTAGGGGATAGTGATGATGAGGAGGAGGATGATGATGAGTGGGATTGAGTGGACATTGGGGAAGAGTGGACGGAGAGGTGCTGTATGTTAGTTTAATAGTTATGGTAGATGGGCTTGAATACCCTGCAGGTAATGGTAATGGACGTTGCTCTGATGTCGACCATGGATTGCGGCGTGAGGTCTGCGTTGAGGCCAGCAGCTGAGATATGTAAGTGGCATGAATACTATGCATGTGAAAGGAACTTTGTCGATGACATTACAGTGATCCAATGTTGGAACTGTTCCAATGTCGCAGTACGGGCGCCATCTAATCTTATCTCGCATATCACGTGCACCGTTCTGTACTTACGCGTCTCATTGCCAAACGCGCGTCGCGTCGACCGTCCGCCATCCAGTCCTGCTCCCTACGCTATCCCTTCCTTCCCGAACTCCTCCCAAATACTCTCTTCATCATGGTGAGAACACCAGAAAGACAGAATGATTGACATTGAGCCGTGCTCACGGAAATGCGTAGTCGATTATGCAATATAACGGTGGCTCCGTTATAGCCATGGTGGGGAAGGACTGTGTCGCAATCGCGAGCGACCTCCGGTTAGGGAATCAATCCTTGGGTATCTCATCAAACTTTGAGAAGGTGCGTACTGTGCTCTGTTGCAATGTGCCAATGTTGAGTTCTGGCTAGATCTTCGCCATGACCGAGCGAACATACGTCGGTCTGCCAGGACTAGCGACAGATGTAACGACCCTGTACGTGCACACCCCTCTTCATACTCCACACAGGCCTCTCTGACTCCTCATACCCACCCCAGCCACGAACAACTGCGATACCGGCTGAACATGTACACCATCAAAGAAGAGCGGACCATGGAGCCCGAGACCTTCATCCACCTCGTCTCCTCGACGCTCTACGAGAAGCGCTGGGGCCCGTACTTCATCGAGCCGGTGCTCGCGGGCATGCAGAAGACGCCCTCGGGCGCGTTCCGCCCGTTCGTCGCGAGCACGGACCTTATCGGCTGCATCAACTTCGCAAAGGACTTCGTCGTCGCGGGCACCGCGAGCGAGAAGCTGTTCGGTGTCGCGGAGGGGCTGTGGGAGCCGGACTTGGAGCCGGAGGACCTGTTTGAGACGATCAGCCAGACGCTGCTCAACGCGGTGGACAGGGATGCGTACTCGGGTTGGGGGGCGGTCGTACATGTGATGTGAGTGTCTCGTTGTCCGGTCGAAGTGTCCTTGAGGGAACTGACGGGCGGGTCGCACAGAACGAAGGATAAGGTGGTCAAGCGTACGCTCAAGGGCAGAATGGACTAGTCATCGTCTCCGCTGTGTATTCATCTTTTGCGCTTTTCTGTTATCGGAGCATTTGACACTCGAGACTCGATAACTGAGACGGTTAGTCGCCACGAAGACTCTTGCCCCGCGGAGTCGAACAGCAGTGAGCTTGGCACGCTATGAGTTGTACCTTGGATCTCGGATAGACCCTGTGCCAACGCACCTTCGACAAGAATGAGACTCTGGCTACTTCTGGGCGCTAATTCTCAAGGCGTGAAGCAACTGCCAGTGGCAAGGGAAGCAGTGGAACGTTAAGTCAAGTATGTAATATCCATGGTGCCTAGCACCGGTAACTAGCACCTGGCAGGAATAGGTTGAATAAGTCCTTATGGGCAGTCGGGATATGGCTCACACACGTTGTCCTGACGGAGTGTGACTGCGAAGACAGTGCCCTCAAGCAACTTGAATAATGCAGGTCTGGGTGTTGGTGCTGGTGTTTTTGGGACACCACTCTGCCTTCATGCCTCACATCCCACACGAAGGTACCATCAACCTCAATGTTAACGAGGATCGCCTCGTTACTTGCGGTAGGGTCGTGGACTACACTCAGGGGCAGTATTTTTCGCGGTAAATGTGTGCACCTCGATTACTATGGCCTTCGTGCCACCGATCCAGACGATCGATAGCGAGGGCAGACAGACACTTCCTCGCCGGTCTACGGTGGATTACATGCGCGCGCGTGCATACATAGGCGCAGTGAAATGCATCATGTCTACGTCGACGATTGGGACAATGTCTGAAATCACAGCGCTCGCTCAGAAGTGGTGCTGTCGGCGACCACAGCCTGCACATCCAGACGGATACTCAAACAACATCAACATACATAGAATATACACACATGGGACCTAATGTCTCTACACCACCAAGGAGAAGAGGCTTTGTACAGCGTCCCGCCCGCACGGCCGACCCATTTCCACCAGACTACTAGTATAACAGTTCAGTACGAGTACGTGTGCCTGAGATGACAGTAGCGGAGACAGTGACACAGCAGCGGTTGATTGCAACACAAAGCGAGGATATGAGTTGAAAGGAATTGGAGACAAGGGAATCGAGAAAGAGGGAGTCGGAAATAGGAATAAGAGAAGATAGGGCTGCGCGACTGCGAGGCCACGTTATGCGTGGGCACGGGGTGCTGCGATAATGTAGGAGAGGAACACTGAGAGAGCAAGCCAAGGAGATGGGGTCGTGCGGTATTCATGCGTGTACTGGATCGGGTCGGAATTAGCACAGGACCACTTTGTCGATGTGACTGGATGTCATACCGTTATCAAGCCTCAGCGGCCACCTCAGCAGGTGCCTCTTGGGCAGCAGCCTCGGCTGCGGCCTCAGCCTCGGGCTCTTCCGCGATGCTATCCTGGCCTGGAGCAGCGGCAACGGCGTCCTTCTCCTCGTTGCCTACCTGTACCATGAAGGTCAGATCCCTGGCATCGGTCGGGCCACAATACGGAGTACGCACCTTTGACGCGGGCTTACGAGACCCAGCGCGGGACGCTGGTTTCTTCGATGTAGATGGAGGCTTCGCAGAAGCTGCACGCGACGCAGGCTTTGCAGATGCTTTCGATGCAGGCTTGCTAGAGGTATCTGCTGCCTTCGATGGTGGCTTGGAGGCAGCCTTCGACGGAGGCTTAGAGGCGGCCTTCGACGGAGGCTTAGCAGCAGCCTTGGAGGGCGGCTTCGACGCAGCCTTAGATGCAGGCTTGGCCTACGACGCGTTCAGCGCGACGCCCAACACGATTATCGAGGAATACGTACCCGCTTCGCTGGGGGCGGCCCGTCCTCGTCGGCGGGCGCGCCGTTCGTGACTGCCGCGTCTTCCTCCTGGACCTCGTCGGCCGTGCGCTTCTTGCCACGCGCCGGCTTCGGTTTGTCCTCTTTCTTTTTCTCGTCGGCAGAGCCGTCCTTTTCAATGCTCTCTGCCTTGGCCTTCTTCGCGCGCGGCTTCGCGGGGGCCTTCTTGGGCGCAGCCTCGGATCTGGGCTGTTCTTTGATGCGTGCGGAGCGGCGGGGCTCGGCGGACGCGTCGGTAAGTGCGGCTTTGCGTGGCATGGTGGGGGGATCGCTGGTGGTGGATAAAGAGAGAGAGTGGGCGTGAGCAGGGCGCGGGAGCTCGGACCCCATTCACGATCAACAACCCGCACGTGTCTCGTGGTCGTCCCGTGACTCGCGCGATGCTCTGCCACCCGCGCGAATATGGCAAGTCTTGTCTTCCGACACTCTCATGCGATACTTACGGGCAGCTACTCTATTGTCTTCTGTCTTTGTCCGCTGTCGACACCCACCAGGCGGACGGGTATGCTTGCTAGTTGACGTAAGACACCCTCAGCCTGATGCCAATAAAGCGATACAACAAACAATAATACTTTTGAGGTACTATCTCTGAACTGGGCTAAAGTCAACCAGCACCGACTCGACCGCGAGACCTACTCCGACTTATGATGGACTACCGTGTTCAAATTGCGTTGCTGTAGACCTGGGTGTACGGTAGCCATCTTTCCATTTCATAACTGCCCATCCGGTCTGCCAAATGGGTCTGCCTACAGCGACAACAGCTTGGACCTTCAACTTGGTTAGCTCAAGAGACTGTACGTTTTCGATTCGCTTCACTCACATTGACAAGACTGGACGAAACGGATGGCGGCAGATCTCTACTTGAGTCTAGTTTTTAACACATCTCTACAGTGTACACTCGCAACAATCGAGTCAGCATCACAACTCAGCTCGCTGATACGTCTCGTCTCCTTTGGAACACTGGCACCTCTGCGGTTCTGCATGGATAGCAGGAAGTTGCAAGCCATTCCGGCCGCCTACCCTCCTCCCGGAACTTGACATCATATGGGACGACCGTGACAATGCACGCGAGCATGATCTTCAACTCGTTTGCAGCGAAGGACCGTCCTGCGCTATCGACCAACCCCGCGACGTCGGAACTCATCGTCTCATACTTATTTTCGGCCAAACGACGTACCACGCATGCCTGTCGTGGCCAAACCATATATACTTCGCAGACGTACTCACGTAGTGACGCTTGCTCCGCTGGCCCTCCTCCTGTTCGCGCATGCGTGAGAAGCGGAACAAGTCGAACGTCGTGGCGTTCACGTAGTTCTATTCATCCTGGTGCGCCCCTGTATCACGAAGAATTCTGAGGTCACTTGGGCGATGGGAAACTGCTAGACTGGCATTGCTCGTGAGTTGCTATGCGCCCACTTTTACGCACCGTACTCATTAAAGTTTAGATAGGTGGAGGATACGTTGTTTACAGTGTTCCGTACGTCATGTACGGGCCAGCTTCCTATATGGAGGGAAATTTTCGAGCTTCCACAACCTGTCGTGTTGCCGTGGAAGGATCCGGGAATGAGCACCTCTTGGCCTGCTTCGGCATTTCGAGAGTCGGATTCGAACGTCCGTTGTAGATCATACACCCCGCGTAGGTCATCACTTTCCGACGACTTTGTGAGTCTATTGATCACCTTGTTTTCATGAGGACTTCGGCGTCTGAAGAGCCCACACAGAAGACAAATGGTCATCCATCCCCCATCTATCCACGCGATGGGAGTTCGAGGACATCTGCGCATTGCTCGCCATCCGTCACATTGAGCTCCTAAAGCTGCCGTCTATAAGATTATCCTCTCGCGGAGATTCGACATCTCTGGACGGTGGACGCTGGCGGCATATGCAGCCCTCGGCCAGCGCCGCGAAATAGTCAATCTGGAGTAAGCTGAATGCCTCGGGGTCAGGACCACGGTGCGCGTCACGCAACTGCGCGAGCAGAGCCGTAGAGACTCTTCGGGAGGGTGTCGACGCAAGCCCCGCGAGGTTGAGCAGCCGGTGGGCGCGCGGCCTGGCTAGCCGTCACTGACAGACCCCAAGAGGACTATACGGAGGCCTGCGACTAAGATCACTTCAGACGAGTCTAATGCATGGTTGCTGATGCTTTTCGGCGTGAATGGAGCAGTGGACACGGCCTGAGTCATACATGCGTGGGTGCAACCCTGACTTTATGGTTTATTAACCGTATGCGCAGAGCACCCCTGGGCATTCGAGCGACTTCCCTGTAGGCTGTCACTGGCTCATTGGATGGTCATCTGATTATCAACTCGGTGGCGTAGCACTAGCTGTCTGCCGGGACCCTGGGGGGTGGCTAGTCGGTGAGCGTTCGAGTTAATTCCCCCCGCGCTCTGCGAAATGCTCACGGCGACGATAAGCAAGCGCTCCATCCGTGAGGAACGGCGGCGGCGAATGTCAACATGAGTATAAATCCGTGGTGCAGTGGCGTCACTACGTAGTAGTACATCTGCAGCCGTCACGGATCGTACTGCTATGTACTACTAACCCATTGCTGTGTATCGTACACATACAGACGTTGAAGGCAGGTCTGCATTGAGCAGTCGTCAAGTGATAACTGATGCCTCGTATCGATCGTAGATGAAATCATGGTTGTCCAATTAACATGGTGGTGCGTAGCATTCAACCTTGCAACTTTCTATGTGCAGTGATGAACCACTCGTATGCAAGATTCATTGTGTTCCTGGTCCTGAGTCTAAGTGATCCTCTTCGAAATTTAGCTCAATGACATACTGATGGCAACCTAGGACGGATCTGTGTTTCGGCGAGCTCTGAAATGCTCTCGGCAACCATGCCATTGAGTCGGGAGTCGACAAGGCGTCAGTACCCTGATCACGGTCCCCGGACGTGCCGCTGCTGAGTGCTGCCGATGTGAACAGAAGTCGGAAAGCACAAACTTATCGGACAAGTATGTCTGCGCCGCTCCAGTTGCTTGCGTCCGGCTGCTAGTGCCAGTCGTCTAACAAACTCCAATTATTGTCCTTTAGGCTCAGATGATAGCCTCCTCTTAACTCACGAGGATTTCAATATACGACCAAGGTAGGGTTGCTTAAGCTCAAGCGCACTCTCCTAGACTAAAATGGGTGCGTACTAGTAGCTAATGATGCTGCACTATCTCTTACAGTTACCGCTCAGCTAGTGCCCGTACTGGTGGGAGTTGGGCCCCGGCGCCCATGAAATGGCTTGTGGTACTTATTTATCGACAGTGACTCCCCACCTTCGTATCTCTTCATCCCCCTTCCACGGCTTCCCCTAGGACTATCAATAACATGGGCACTACCGTGAGCTCGAGGTCTCCTCAGCGGCACTTGGTTTTGTTCAACTACGAAGCATGGGGTAAGCATATTGCTTTGCTGGCCATTGTTGAGATCGTGTCACTGAGAGCCATTTGTCGCAGGACATATGCGCCCTATGTGTAACTTCGCTGCGCGGATCGTGAAGATGCAGCCCACTATCCTGATTACACACTTCGTCACACCCACGTTTTATGACAGGGTGCAGACAGAGCTAAGGAGGAACTTCGAGGATCAGGAGTCGAGCCTTTTGGAACGCATCCGGTGCGTATGCCTTCGTAACCATTGATATATCTGAGCGGCGTTGAGACGGCTAGCACAGGATCATAGCACTGCCATGTGACAATACCAACCCGTTGGACAGCAGCGCGCTTCAGAACGCCTTCGCCAATGCATACGAGAAGCTCGTGAACCTACAGCCCGTGAGCTGCGTCAAGACGGAAGCGGAGATCAAGACAACATGTTGCCCCGATTTGGTCGTGGTAGATGTAAGTCGTTTCGCCCACTGTAGTTTGCATCAGTTGATGATGCCGCAAAGTTCTTTGGCAGTGCCCCCATTGATGCCGTGCGCAAGGCGAGTAAGAAACAGGTCAAGGTTCTGTTCTGGTTCGCGGGTTCAGCGACGTCACTCTTTTGTGTCGGTGGCCCTGAGAGTCAGGGCGGAAAGGGCAATCTCCGTACCAGGAGCCAGGAAGTTGCCAAACGGACCTGTATCAGCATTGAGGAAGCGGCAGCACAGGTGGGTAATATCTTTGACAGAGGGCATGGGCTCTAGGCGTACTCAAATGATGCATAACGCAGATTACCTTGACTGGCAAAGGATCTCTCGTCCGACTGCCAGGTTTACCGCCGATGTATGACTATGAAATCCAGCCGCAACGCGTGAGCTTTTCTTGCACACGCGTGTGGGATCGCGATACTCACTTCGACTCTGTAGCCGATCGCTCCACTTGCGTTGCTGGGTGGAGTGAGTCTGAGGACTTCCGAGTAAGCCCGCCGTCTGCCGTGTTTCTTTATCAGTGAACTGTGAAGTTCTCTAACGCGTGGCTCGCAGCACCATGGAAGCATGTGATGGAATAGTCCTCGCCACACCAGAATGCTATGAAACAGAAGCAATCGCGGCCTTGCGAGACTGGCTGGCAGGGTCCTCTCGGCTTATCTACGCATGTGGACCCCTCATTCCTTCCGGCGTTCAAGCAGTTGCCTATGAGAAATTACAAAGCTCGGACGCAGCCAAGGTGGAGAGCTTTTTGCATGCTAAACTAGCTAGCCACGGCGAGCACTCCGTTCTCTATGTGAGCCTCATTATCCTTCGTACAGGCGAGATTTGATCCTACATCATGTGCTCCCAGATATCCTTCGGAACCATCTTCTTCCCATTGGAGCCTGAGAAACTCGCAGCATTCCTTGAAATCGCTGTGGAGAAGAAGGTCCCCTTTGTATGTCCTCTCACCGACTCGTCAGCTGCATGCGGTCATGACGTTGTCTGCAGATCTTAAATCATACGTCACCTTACATCCCCCTCCCGGACTTCGTCACAGACAAGCTCAGCAGCTACTCCGACTGCATGGTGACCAAATGGTGTCCTCAACAGCTCGTTCTAAGCCATAGTGTACGACTGGGCCCTATTATTCCACCAAGGTCTTCTCATACTGATAGCCACTCACTACATTCCACAGGCCACGGGTTACTTTGTATCGCATGCAGGACACAACAGCGTGATCGAGGCTATAACTGAGGGAGTA